AACAGCCGATGCTTTGAGTAATTTTAAGACAAAATGTTCATATAAACTTGGGTCCGCAAATTCTTCGTTTTCTATACAGGGTGTTAAAATTAAAGAAAATGGTTTTTCGTAAATATCTTGAATATCCTTCGCCTAATTTTGTTGTAACTTGGCGGTGGTATTTATAACATTAAAGAGCTAATTCATCCCTATTAAGTCCAGTGGCGTCTCGAGCGTGATCTAAACGAATATTTGCGACAAAAAAGTTTACGCTACTGACTTTTGTGCAATTTTTATTTATTAACATCTAGACTAACAAATTTCACTAAAGTAAGTGTTGGAAATGGCCTCCTTCGGCTTAACACAACCGTCTATTCGCCTGATCATTGAATTACGCACTCTCTTGGAATCCTGAAAATACCTGGCGTATTTTTGATGTCACATAAATTAATGATTATATTTTGTAAATCCTTTTTACTTTCAATAGGAGTTTTGTGTACTAACGCTTTGAGGTTTCCCCAGAGAAAATAATCTAGGGGATTCATATCGGGTGAGCGAGGAGGCCATATTTGTGGACCTGCTCTCCCAATGCAGCGATTATGGTAATTTTCATCCGAAAATTGCCGCGCCACTACACTAAAATGTGGTGGAGGACTCTTTTCATGACTGGAACTTCTGGAATTTTTCTCCATATTCATTGTGTGGTTCAGGGAAATGCAACTAAGTGGACTTATTTTTCTCGAGAACTAGGCAAGATACGAAAAAAATTCAACAGACAAAAAAGTTGTATTTCTTGCTTAGTCCAAAGAACATACAAAAATTACAAAAAAGTCGGTGGCGTATATTTTTTGTCACAAATATTCGTTCAGATCCAGACGCCACTGCACGTAATAAATTTAAGGCTAAATTAGCTCCATAATGTTATACATATCACCGCCAAATTGCAACAAAATTAGGTAAAAGATATTCAAGAAACTTACTAAAAATGATTTTTTTTTAATTTTAACACCTTGTATCTTGAGAACGAAGAATTTGCGGCCCTTTGAAAAATGAGATATTTATTGAAAAATATGAAATTTCATAATTGCTATAGTCAGTATAGTATGCGTTTAAGATTCCGTGGGTTGCGGTTTATTCGGTTAGACAAAGAAGCAGTTTTAGGCAGTTACGACCCATCTAATAGCTTGTAGAAAGTTCATTACGGGCAACGAATCTTGTGTAATTTACGAAAATGTAAAAGACAGCTTTCACGTCTGCAGAACATTATCATGTGAATTTAGTGCATGCCATTTGAAATTCTGAAATTGGTTCGTTGCTCACAGATTTATAGTTATTTGTCTATTAAGAACGCCCGGAAATACTTAGCGCCGGAGCTTAAGTGGTATTCCTACAATATTGAAGCCTTCAACCAATTGAACCTGATGATCTTGTGATCATATCAAACAAACTGGACAATAAGATCAGTTCTGGTGTTGATGAAATACCAACAAATATTGTAAAACTAACTGTGAAAGAAATTGAAGATATTGAATGTTACATTATTAATAATTTAGACTTTTCCCTAAACAACTGAAAGTGTCAGAAATAAAACCACTGCTAAAAAAGGGCGATCCATTCATCCTTGATAATTGTAGGGCTCTCAGTATTATTAATACCGTCTCCAAAGTATTTGAATATCCTGTCTGAATACAAATAACTGTTTTTATTGATAAAATAAATTTCTTAGCAACAGTCACCAGGGCTATATTCAACGACAAACTTCAATTACACCACTTCACCATTTTACACAAAACATTTTGAACAACTTGGAACATAAGTATTTAGCAATGAGGTTGTTTCTTGACCTTTCTACAGCGGTTGGCTGCTTAAAATCATAACATCCTATTTGACAAATTGAACAGATTTGGAATGAGGGCTAATACATTGTCCTGGGTAAAATCCTATCTTACAAACGGGAAATAATATGTGTATCGATAAAAAGAGATATCATCAAGTCAGATTTCATTTGTAATGAGGTAGGTATACCACAGGGCAGTGTGTTAGCTCCCATATTATGTGTCATATATGCATCAATGCTCTAAGGGTTAGCATTAAGAATTATGACATTACAATAATAATTAATTATGCTGATGATACCAGCATACTCATTAGCGACAAAAACATTATTGGATTGGAACATAATGGTCAACAGGTGTTTGAATCAGTGATGGTTTGCAATGAATAAACTTGTACTAAATACTGACAAAACTGATTTAATAATATTTAGAACAAAGCAATCACAGATTGATATACCACAAGTACCGCTTTCTGATAGTAATATCCAAGTAAGTCAGCAAACTAAAGTGTTAGGAATACATTTAGATGAATTTCTGTCTTGAACTCCACGCATAAATAAAACTGCTTTGAAACTGAGTAGCATCAGCTATGGAATAACAGTGTTGTCTAGTTATATAAATTCAGAATGTTTAAAAATTGTATTGTGCAAATTTTGAATCGATTTTACGTTATGGAATAATACTGTTTAGAGGCAGCTTAGAACTGCAAAAATGAGACATATGAAATTTAATGAAACATGTAGAGGTGTATTCAAGCATAATTATGGATGTAATGACAGTATATGAACTTTACATTTTTGATTGTGTTACAGTGAAAAATAGAAACAATTTTACGATACAATAGCTTTGGAGTGTTTTGATACCTCACCATAGGCTGACAGTAACTGAAAAAACTTTTTATATGTGTGCAAAGTTGTATAATAAACTACCTAATGATTTGAAAGCGATGGAAGATATAGGAACCTTAAAAAACCTGAAAAGAGTTCTAGTTCAGCTGGAACCATACAGTATTTCTGGATACATGGATGCTTCGTTTTAGTTTTTGCATGGGTATGGCGTTAGTTCCACATCTAGGTTATTTGTACATATTATGCATTTGAAATTTGATTTGGAATAAATATTATTATTGTTATTAAACTTGAATATCGCATGAGTTTTTTTCTACAACCTCAGCAACCTACTTTATCCTATATTCTTCTTTCGGTGCTGTGTCCTACTACTGGAGCTTGGCTACCATTGTAGCGATTTCGGTCCTATCTTCAGCTTTTCTTATATCTTCAAGCGGCATATGAGTACCTCTCCAGTGTCGAATATTTTTCAACCAGTGCAACGTTTACTCCCCTATTTACGTCTAGCAATAAGTTTTAAGATTTTACACGACTCGCATATGTAGTCTTTCTGGACTTCATGAGGCAGCTCGCTTTCCTTGTTTACCCTTCGTAATACTTCCCAATTGGTAATCATGTCAATCCATGTTATTAGTATCCTCTGATATATCTAAATATCAAATGCTTCGATTTTGTTCATGGTTGATGTTGTGAGTGTCTAAGTTCAGACACCATTTAGATGTGGATTGCTCAGTAGACCTTCCAGCCGAATGAGGCCGATTTTTATTCTATTCTTTAATTTCCATATCACGGTTTATTTTGCTGTCTAACCAACTGATAACAACATCTTTGTCTGCAATTAGTATAGTATTGTCGGAATATATCGTACTGTTTCGATCAGTATCAGAAAAAAGTCCTAATATCTAGCAATTATTCATAATGCTTCCCTTGGTTAAATAAAGTTCAAAACATGAAAGAATAACTAAAAGAAAACTGTCATGTCTCCAAATCACGATTTGAAACTGTGTTGTCAAAATTCATATAACATAGTTTCTTTTCTTTGTACCAGAAATATTTTTGGGTGGATATAATTGAAATTAGACATCCATTGTATTTTACACAATAACAAAGAAGTAGATGAAAAATAGTGACCTTGCTTTGAAAACTTTTTTCTACAACATACTTTGTTGCAGATTCCAATTAATCTTTAATGGCAAAGGTGGCCTTGAATTAAACTGTAAAAACTTCGTAGACGCTTTTTTTATTAACAGTTTCAGGGTATGTGTATATAATCGAATTCACGAAAGATGAGGATTTTCATCATTCATCATTTTAGTCTGTAGTAAAGACAAACGACAGCGATTTGTGAATATTTTCAATGAAGTATCAGATAGGTTAGACAGAGACAAACATAATTTTATTGTCTAAACAAACTGTATTGCTAATTTGCATGTATCCGACAAAGATAGACGATGTTTTCATGTTGCATGATCGATCATATTTGCAAGATGAATAGTTAGGTTATGTTAAAGCAGGTTAGGTTGTTTTCGAATAATACTTTGGTCTTTGGTGTTCCTGTCTTGAGGTATTCATAATAATAATAATAATAAATGGGCTTTATTTCGTACCTAAGTAAAAGTACAAAAAAGGCGAAGTGTCGCCAAGATTAGCGTTTTTCAACTTAACCCTCTACTCTTAACTGTAGTTTTTTTTCAAAACAAAAACTCCCCACTAAAATTATTATTAAGGTATCACTCAAAACCATGCAATAAAATGAAAATAAAAATAGTCTGTGAAATAACCTAACTTCGCAAAATCATAATATAAGTTTGTTGTCATTATGTTCCTGACATCGTGATTTTATCATCGACGTACGTCCATTGATTACTTCAGTACAATTTATGGTATGACGTAATAGTCATCTTTCGTGATTTTGACTATAGAGGTGGCGATGATGATGTTAGATGAAGAATTGAGGGAAAAGAAGGAAGGTGGGAACGAAATGTCATACTTTGTTGATCAAACATAATTTTGAGGTTGTACATAGCATTGGATAGAGTTGCCGAAAGGTAGTTTGGAATTTGTTTTTAACGCTTCAGTATGCATCTACCAAGTCATCTTCTTGTCAAGAGTGACACCAAGATACTTTTCCCATGGTACACGAACTCCATCCACCTGAACCTCAGAAGGGGTGAAGCTACGTTTTTTAGTACAATAGATAGCCTGCGTTTTTGAGAACTATACACCATTGTACGAAGCATTTTTGTGCCTTTTGAGCATCAACGCATTATTGGCAGCTGTAACATTAGAAAAATTATCATTAAAATTACGTTATACTAATTCCTTGATTTTCTTTCAGAGTAACCTAGGTCGACGGGAACACCATCAAAATGAACTTCACCCCGTTCGGGGTGCCTCTATCGGCGGCCCTGCCTGTCACCCAGTTTTCAGCGGCGGGCAAAATCACTCAAAGCGTGACCACGCCCAATGGACAGGTAGTGGGAGTGCTGCAGGGCGGTGAGAACGGTGTTCATTACATCAGGCCGTTGGACGCTAATGCGTTTGCTAATGCCACTACTCACCAGAGTCAGGTGAGATTTTGAAGGGCCTTAGTAATAAAAATAAATGTTTTAGGGTCGTATCGTCAGTCGTTCCTATAATTGTAGGACTCCTTTATGGCCTCCTTGATTTTCATAGTTTGCTACTGTTCCGTCTCAGCGCTCTATTTTGAGGTTATGTTACAAATATATATTTGCATCGACTTGTTCATGCTTATGATTCATATAATCTGTTATATCAGCATAACATTTTTTACAATTCAAAAAGAAAACACGGACTGACACGGAACAGTAGAAATCTAGAAATCTCCAGCCTTTCTGAAGGAGAGAAAAGACTGTGGAAATCAAGGAGGCCATAAAGGCGTCGTACAATTGTAGGATTTTCATAGTTTTTCCTGCCTTTCAGAAAGGCAAGGGTATTTATATATTTCTACTCTTCCGTGTTATCGCTCTATTTTGAGGTTATGTTACAAATATCTATTTGCATCAAATTGTTCAGCCTTTTGATTTTTATCATCTGTTTCATCAGCCTGAAATTTCCTACATTTCAAAAAGAAAACATAACACAATAAGAGAGCGCTGACGCTGACTCGGAACAGTAGAAATCCAGGAATACCCTAGTCTTTGTAAAGGAAAGAAAATACTATGAAAGTCAAGGGGGTCATAAAGGCGGCCTACAATAAATTGTAGGAACGACTGACGATACGGTCCTTAGTGTGTTTTATTATAGATTTGAAGTACAAATTGTTGTGACCATGCGCTCATATATAGAGATACTAAATGAAATATTCGAAAATGAGTGAATTTTGGACAAAAATGCCAAATTTGCTGCTTTGAGAGAACATTCAAATGCTAAAATAAAAACGGAAATGTTACAGTTTAAAATGCATATTTGTGTTCAAAAATATTTGAAAGCAAAATTTCATAGACGCGATCAACTTGAAATTAGAGTTATTTTCAGGGCCGAAACCGAGCTTATAGACCCTGATCCTTTAGTCAGAATCAGGCCCCAGGACAGTCGTTACTGTCGGCAAATTTGCCTGTCACTGCTCGATAATTCTTGGCACCTCTAAACTCCAAAAGCTTTGCTCGGATTTTGATGAAATGTTGACACAATCTGTCAAGTATGAAAAAAAGAAGTTTTGAAAATCACGGCGAAGTTTCGAATGAAAAACAAAAAAATTACAGCGTCCTCAAACTTTGGACTTTCGATGTCCTGATATTTTTTTCATAGCCCTAAAAAAACTTTTTTTCTCATTTTTCAACTTTTTGGTCACTTTTCTCCATTACCACTAACTCTCTCACCGAATCCCATTCAGAATACATTTGTGAGTTTGATATTTGGTATTCGACTGAATACTTCTTTGGCCAGTACTCGGTATACAGGATTATGAATTCCAATATTCGGATACCCACTTTGTATTCAAATCCCGGCATTCGAGTTCTGCATTGGAATCCTGTTTCCGAATATTGGATATTCCTTGGAATATTGGGTTACGCTTTACGCAACTTAAACGTGTTAAAATACGTTCACGGTGGTTGTGGATGGCACAAACAAAATAGCTACGTAATGTTATTTTGTTTGTGTGGACGGTGGTGCTTCTAAATTTGCGATGCCGACAGATCAGATTACGTATACGCTTGTGCAGTATTGACAGTCTATTTTATAATAAACTTTAATACCTGTTATAACTTTGTGTGATAACAGATAAAGTACTTATATAAAAAGATAAGTTTATTTTTTATTATGTGGGTAGATTGTGTAAGAATCATATATTTTGTTATTAAGTTTTATTCTATTAATTTTCCTTGAAAATCTAATGAAAATCAAAGAATGATTTTAATATACAATTAATTTGTTTAACCTCACTGTGACGCTATGTATCAAAATGTGATTTTAACTTTTAGTTAATATAGTCATGTATTTTTTTTAATTTTTATTACTTCAGTCCATAAATAAAAATCAAGTTTAAAGTGCGCATGCGTTTTTGTTAGTTGAGATATTTAAAAAGTATTCATGTTTAAATTAATCCAGATATTCAAATACATTTTCCCATTGTACAAATATTCGAATCTTGAGCAGTCGGAAACATTTTAAAATGCAGTATTCAGGATTGGTATTCGAATACCAGATTACAGTATTCGACCAAAGTTTGTTTCATTAGGAGTTCAAAATTTGAGACCAGACATATTTACCTACCATTAATGACATTTGATTTTCGTGTATCTAGAATTTTAAGCAGATCGTGTATCTCTTTGTTTAGCTATCATCGGAAAACCATATTAAATTGGCAGTGCGTGCAGTTCGCAAAACACGCGACACTACTGCATGTGCATGTATCCTAATAATACGTAATACGTAGTTCCTTTGTAGAAAAGGAGAGTTCAAATCGGCGTCGCTCGCTAAATGGACGAAGCAAAACTGGCGGCATTTATCTCGAGCGATCGTAATAATTTCATAAAAAGTGAGCGGCACTCGGCGGAACTATTACGGCTAAGACAAGGTTTCGTGCACTTTGTTTTTCACTGGCTTCATCACAACAACAATAATAGCACACGTATCTTTTTTGTGTCCAGCCTCTGTATGTTGCAAGAGAAAGTAGATAGTTCATCGTTCTCTGAATGTTCTCGGTCCTTCGATTAATTTCATTATTGTTATTGATTAAGCGAAAATATACAGGGTGACTTCGAAGTTGAGTCATTTATTTTAACAGTGAGTAGATCTGATCAAAAGAAATGTTTTTTTCCTTTACCATTTTTCTGGTAAAATTAAAGTAACAAAGTTATAGCCCTTTGGAAGTTTGAGTACCGCCCTGTCTCAATAATGATATTATGTTCTCGTGTTTGGCAACAACAGATATAATCCGCCTTATCCGTTCATCGCATCGGAAACAAAAAAGCGAAAGAATTTGGAACGATCTTTTTACAATTATTTTCTTCAGTTGTATACAGTCAGTATCAGTCGGTAGTCGGTAACGCGTAAGTGAATAATCGTGTCTGTTGCGAGGCTCAAATCAAAAATGGCACATGTTTACGAAAATGCTGAACTTGTGGACATGGTTCTTATTTACGGGGAGTCTTTACAAAATGCTGCCGCGGCATCACGGATCTATGCGGATCGGTTTCCCAATCGAGTGCAACCAACCCCTCGTGCCTTTGTTAATGTAGTGCAAAGAGCTCGTGAATCAGGTGACTTAAGACCTCACAGAGGAGATCATGCCGGTGCTCCAAGACCACACGATCAAATAGAACTAGAAGAACAAATTTTAGAATTAGTAAGTGATGATCCAACAGTAAGCACCCGACAAATTTCAACTCAATTGGCGATTAGTCAGTATAAAACTTGGAAAACTCTACGTGAAAATCAGTTCTATCCGTTTCACATACAAAAAGTGCAGGCCTTACAACCGGAAGATCATGAACAAAGGGTTGACTTTTGCAATTGGCTTTTAAATAAACATCAAAATGATGACAATTTTTTAAATCATATTTTAGTGAGTGATGAAGCTCTCTTTACTAGAAACGGAATTATTAATTCACGTAATTCTCACGTTTGGGCTATTGAAAATCCCCATGAAATAAGGGAAACCAATTTTCAACAGCGATTTGAACCAATCAACCTGTGGGCGGGAATTGTTAATGGAATTTTAGTGGGGCCTTTTGAATTACCAAATCGCTTAACTGGTGAAAATTATTTTGATTTCTTGCAACACAATTTGCCTGGTTTACTGGAAGATGTGCCTTTAAATATTAGACAAAACATGTGGTTTTTACAAGATGGGGCACCACCCCATTATGCAAGAAATGTGCGTGAATTTTTAAATAGACAATTTAATAATCGTTGGATCGGCCGTGGCGGTTTTGTACCTTGGCCGCCAAGGTCTCCGGACTTAAATCCTTTAGACTTTTGTTTGTGGGGTTGGCTAAAAACTCTAGTGTATAAAACACCGGTTAATACACGCGAAGAATTACGTGCTCGAATTGAGGAAATGAGTACAGTGATCAGAAATCAACCAGTGATTTTATTGCGTGCTTGTAAAGAGACATGGCTAAGACGCGCCCAGCTGTGCGTCGAGCAAAACGGAAATCATTTCGAACAGTTTTTGTGACATGCTTTTGGGCGCACAGGTCCGCACTGAAATACTTGTCGGGAGGATACTTTATAAAACAAGGTAACATTTTTTTTTTAATTTTTTTTTATTTTTACACACATATTTTGGTTTATCTTCCTTCTACAATCATTATCTGAAAATTAATGACTCAACTTCAAAGTCACCCTGTATAAGCATTGATTAATTTATTCTACCTAAAGATAGCCATTATAATACTAGGACGTCATCCGAGATGAAATTTGTCACAGCTGTATTTCTCTGCTCCCCAATAATTAGGGATCTATTTTGAAATGGTTAGTGTCGTATAGCTCATAGCTATATTTTTTTTTTGGAAGCTTTTAATAATGGAATAACAAGACAATCCACGAACTCCTAATGGCAAACAATGTAAAAATCAGGGGAACATGTTATTTCTGGCGTTCTTCGTACTTCTAAATGCAACTTAGTTGTTCTCAGCTGTTGAACCCCTGGCGTAATAACAGTTAGTTTACATTATTAAAAGTTATTTTAAAAAATCATTACATATCAGGTTAAATGGATACCGTTTTTACAAAAACATATCCTGTGTCACGAAGTCTAATAACTAAATTTACAAACATCCTTGAGGCCGGATGATTTCTTAAAGGAAACCTCTCCGCATACAACCTGCATGCTGCGGCTGCATTTTGTTGGCACTCTCCGTATGTTAGTATTATGTCCATTAATTCATTGTTTTCGTAAATATGAACCATTTTTTTTTCGCACAAAATAATCAAAGAAATGAAAGTATACGCAATATTAAAAGACTGATACAACTGATCGAACCAAAGACTCGTACTGAAAACCATACAATAACTCAAAAAGTTTGCCAAATTCAGATAAACGATAAGAGAAGTAAACAAAAAAAGGTTTTACTCCGCAGTGGTCGGGAATATCAAAAAATCTGTGTAATAACATTCTTATTTTTAAAAAATTGTAATCTCTTACTATTTCTTCTATTATGCAACTTTTGTATAGGTGATTTTTGGTATATCAACTACAAGCAGTTAAAATAAATGACTGAAAACACCCTGTATATATGGGGTTGTCCAAAACGGACGCAGGAAAGTAAACGCATATTAAAACAAGAAAGATTGATATTCAAATCAAGTTGGGTACTTTATTTTGAAGGTTCATTTATACCATTTATGTATGAAAAATAATATCGCTCAAATGTTCACCACGACTGGATTTACAGACGTCCACGCGATGGTCGAAATTTTCAATGACATTTTGCAACATGGTCGGTTCTATGGCATTTATCTCGGCAATGATGTTGTTTTTGAATTCTTGGAGGGTGGCTGGTTTGTTGACGTAGACTTTGCTTTTCAAATATCCCCATAAAAAGAAGTCCAAGGGAGTCAAATCGCACGATCTTGGTGGCCATGGCACATTTCCTCTGCGCGAAATCACGCGATCCCCGAAGAAGGACTGCAATCGATGGATATTGACGTTGGTTGTGTGGCATATTGCACCGTCTTGTTGGAAATAAACATCGTCCATATCCATTCCTTCAAGTTGCGGCAAAAATAGTCCTCTATCATCACGTGATATCGCTCAGGATTGACAGTAACGGCGTCCCCGGCCGCATTTTCGAAAAAGTAAGGTCCGATGATGCCTTTTGACCACAATGCACACCACACAGTCACTTTTTGAGGATGCATCGGCTGCTCTTGATACTCATGGGGATTTTCGTTCGCCCAGATGCGGCAGTTTTGTTTGTTTACCGTCCCATTCAAAGTGAAATGCGCTTCGTCGCTGAACATGATTTTTGATGAAAAATGGGCATCAATTTGGCGGTGTTCAAGGAGCCAATCTGAGAACGTGCGGCGCGAAATATGGTCGGCCCGACGCAGCTCTTGCGTCAGTTGGATCTTGTAGGCGTGTACATTCAAATCCTTGTGGAGAATGCGGAGCAAACTGGTTCTCGAAATGCCCAATTCTTGGGATCGACGCGTTGTTGATTGTTTCGGATCGTCTCTCACACTCTCCTTCACAACAGCAATATTTTCCGGTGTGCGAACGCTCCATGGCCGGCCAGAGCCTGGCAGATTTGCCACAGAACCTGTTGCCTCGAATTTACGCACCAGACGACCGATGGTTGTTTCGTTTGGGCGGTTGTTGCGACCGAAATGTTCACGAAGCGCGCGAAACGTGTTTTTTATTTTTGCACCATTTTTGTAGTGTTCTTGAATAACTTTAATGCGGTCTTCAATCGAATACGACTCCATAGCGATCAATGGTAAACATTCAACTAACAAAATGACATGTCGGTGACAGAAAACAAATATGGCGTCTATGTCAAATTGACGTTTACTTTCCTGCGTCCCTATTGGACAACCCTTTATATCATATTTCTTATGTTTCTCTTATGTTTATGTTTCAAGCTACAGATTTAGATTTACGGCTCAACCCATGAAGTTATGTTATGGCATTTCGCCATGTCTCAATTTTTGTTATATTTTCTATACTTATCATTTATTAGCCTTCATTGATGTCATAGTACACAGACAGTTTACTGTTTTTTTTTTATTTACAGGGTGCTCAGATAATAACCCTTCCGATAACAATGCCTGGTGCGAAACCGGGGGATCCCCAGCAGACAGTCCAGATCCAAGTGGTGAACCCCCAACCGACGCCTGTCTCCCAAGCGAGTCCAGCCAGTTCCCCAAAATACCAGTTCTCCCAGATTCCCATACAAGCGTTTGGACAAGGCGCTACTGTTCTCACGGTCGCATATAACTCGAATCAAGAAGGAATACAGATCGTAAGTGTACATTGTCATTTCTTGTTTTGCTTTAGATTGATGATATCGGATCTCTAGAGTTATCACATGCCTTTTGTGATGAGTCAAATATGAATTTGGAAAAGAGTACCCTGACGGATCGCACGCCACTGATATACGTGCTGTCGGTGTATACAGTAAGATCCGTGCACTTGTGCACAATACGGCTTACGAGGTCTATAAGATGAGTAGTGAGACTGTTTTTTTTTTAATTTTCTTATTCAAATATAATTACAATTTTATATTGTCACCCTCAAAATAACTTCCTTCTGCAACCACACAGCGCCGGAGACGGTTCGTTCACTCCTCATAGCAGTGCTGGAAGTTCAATACTGGAATAGCCTTCAGCTGGTCGGTTACAGCCGTTTCAATGTTTTCGACTGTCCCAAAATGAGTTCCTTGAAGTGATTTTTCTACTCCGGGGAGAAAAAAAAATCACAAGGACTCAAATCAGGTGAATAAGGGCGCTGAGGAGCCACAGGAATGTTTTTACTGGCCAACAATTATTTTATTGACATTATCGTGATGGAACACCCAGTTGTTCTTCTTGTTTGGTCTCACACGAATTACCCTTTTTCGAGGCTTTTGAAGAACCTCCCGGTAAAAGTGTTGATTGACCGTTTGGCCTTTAGGTTGAAACTGTGGATTCCGAGTATATCGAAAAAACAAATCAGCGTGCATTTGATCTTCGATTTCGTCTTCATTGCTCTTTTGAGCATTGGACAGGTTGAAGTGTGCCACTCCGTAATCTGGCGCTTGATTTCTGGGTCGTACTCAAACAGCCAGGATTCGTCACCAGTGATGACACGTTCCAGAAAAGAATCATTTTCAATCGAATCCCAAAAATCAAAGCGCCTTTCCTTCCTGATGTTCTTGTGGTCTTGTGAATTTTTTTTTGAACCATTTTAGGCAAAAGGCAGCAGCGGTGGCCACAGTAGTAGACTCTTCGGTCTCCTGATCAGTCGCCGTGCGCTGTGCGGGTTCCCAGGAGAAATTTTTCTTTTGGCTATGGATGTTGTGATTGTCCGTAGGTGGTAGATGGTCTCTGACTGTCGAACGCGGAGGTACCACCCGGCGGTTCTCGTAGGCGGAGCCAGAATGCGTGCATGTTGCATGCACACGTGTTCCCTCGCCAGAGTCCGTGTGGCGTCCCCCCCTTTCCCATGTATCCCACTATAGCCCCACGGTACCAGTGGGTGCTTAGGACTTAGGCCTTCGTGGTAGTTGGAGTATAAAAAATTTTTGCGCAGATTTTCTCATCCCCAATCACTGGTCAACATCTGATGAACGGTGCTGTGAGTCAAATTTAACCCTTCCCCAATCATTCTGACTGTCAACCGACGAGCTAAATGCACAAGATCCCGGATTCTGTCGATATTTTCATCAGTTCTTGAAGATGAAGATCTTTCGCTTCGTGGTTAATCTTCAATCGATTATCTCCCTTATGGCAATGCCTTAAACCACCGAAACACCTGGGCTTTTGACAAAACACTATCTCCGTAGACCTGCCAAAGTCATTGCTCGAAATTGTTGCCTTTCATTCACAATAGAAAAAACTATTTCTCAAAAAAAAATCGCTACTGACAACCAAATAACTCGAGCGGTCTCAAACTTGTACTGAAGCCGGATCACATGTTTCCCTTACAAGTCCGGCGCTTCCAGTGTTGCCAGATCGAACGCTACGTTCTCTCATTACATAATTTACAGACCTCGTTCGATAAGTTAAGCTACCGTGCCGACACATAAGACCAGGAATAAGACCAAAACTCAACTAGTGACAAAGTACTAATGCGGAAAATCTGTACTGTAAAATATTCAAAAACAAATATAAAAAAATGCAGAGTGATAAGGTTGGGAAATCTCGAAACTGGAGATACTACAGACCAAAATATGTGAATTGACATAAGCATACCTCAGTCCAAAAGTTGATAGTTGGCGAGATACAGGGTGTGAAAGTTATAATTTTATTTTCTATTTTTCCTTACTGCTTGAAAAGTATTTCAGATTGTGGCATAAAACTCGGTATAGGGAGGTTTTCTAGTATAAGAAACAAGAATCCGTTATTTGTTATGGCCAAACTTCTAGAGGGCGACACTTACAGGACTATTTCGGTATATAACTTATCATAGCTTTTTTGTGCTACCCTGTATACAACAACTAACCGAAAAATCTTATTTTCTCGTATTTCTACTACAAAAAAGGTTTACTTGTTAGAAGCTAATATTTTTCGAGTTATTGGTTTTTAAAGCATTACATCTTGCCAATCCGTACATTAAATGCATATCAGAATAATCATAATGTTTAACAACTTATTGTCAACGTAAAATTATTCATGAAGTTTAAAGCAATATTATGACAAACATTAGAAACCATAGCAACGCTACTCAAATATTATCCAAAGCAACTTGATTATGTTATAAAAATGTTTGATCATCATGGTACAAATAATGCATTGGAACATTTAAAAACAAATATCTCGAAAACTATTAGCTCTAGACACTTCTAGCAATTAAACCTTTTTTGTTGTGGAAATACCAGAAAATAAGATGTTTCGGTCAGTTGTTGTATACAGGGTAGCACAAAAAAGTTATGATAAGTTATTTATCGAAATAGTGCTGTAAATGGCGTCTTCTAGAAGTTTGGCCATAAAAAAATAACGGATTCTTGTTTCTCATAGTAAAAAATACTTCTCAAGCAATAACGAAAAATAGAAAATAAAATGTTAACTTTGACACCCTGTATCTCGAAAACTATCAACTTTTGGACTAAGGTATGTTTTGGTCAATTCAGATATTTTGGTCTGTAGTATCTCCTGTTTCGTGATTTCCCAACCTTTCACAGACCCTGTATGTATTCATATCACCCTATATTCCATTTTGAGAATTTCATTGTGACGGGTTTTCTGTGTGTTTCTCCATTTTTTTCATTGAATTTGATTTAAATTTCCAGTTGGACGGCCAAAATGGCATGCCAGAAGGCATGACGGTAGTAGCAGCCTTGCAGCCGCAAGACATCCAACTGATCCAGGCGCAGCCCGAACCTGAGAAGGAGAGGGAAGGGTCGCCGGTGCCTTTGGTCAAGTCTGAACATAACAAGGAGCAGGAGCAGGAAAATACTGCTACTGCGTCCATATCGATTCCTGCTCAGTATTTGCAAACAGCCAATTTACAGGTAATTATTGTTCATAGACAAAATAGATGCTTTCTAGAAAGATACAAAAATTGTAGCCATCAGTGTGCTTCTTACTTGCGTAATAACGGAGTTATCGACCAAGCCGACACTAAAAACTCACCCTGTATATTACGGCAAGACGATATCGAATGTAACTAGTCGAAACTTGTTCAAAATAAAACCTCGTTTGTATTTGGAGAATGTTGAAAGTCTGGGACGAGGAGATTGAAGGCTTGTATTAGATACTAAAGACATAGTTATTTTAAACAGTTTATATAGGGTGTCCCAGAAGTCGACGTCAAGCCGAAACCGGGTGATAGGCAAAGTCATAACAGCTATCAGAAAAATATTTAAAAAAAAATTTATGTATGTGTTATGAAAATTATAGGTATTTGAAAAAGATATAGAAATTTCACACCCTACGGCAGTCTGTCAACTCCTGTTACTACAAATATTAACTTTTTTTGGATTTTATTGTTACAATGTAATGATGAATAATGCATCTTCAAACTGGTGTCTCAACCTTACTGCCAACTTTTCTCGTTCAGGAAAAATTGCCACTTATTTCCCAACCAAGTATTCCAAAGTAAAACTTTGCTCAACTTTAACTGGCTGTACTGGAAAAAAATGTACTACGAGAGTTTGGCAAGTAACCTTAAAAGTTGGCGCATTTAATAACGATTCCAAAATGGTATAACACTTAGAAGATTACTCCTTAACTTATGCACAATTTTTATGTGAAAAAAAAACTGATGAAAATTTTTCAAAATTTCCTAATTAAACAGAGATTATGAAAACGCACAAGGACCCTTTAGGATAACTGTTTGCCCAACAGTATGCGTCAAAATGCTGCTGATGATGATTTACCTTTACAGCATATGCTCAAACTGTTTTCCTTCAGGCGCACACGCTCGACATCTTCTTAACAAGGATCGGGTTATTAAACGAGCGAATCCACGGTTATTAACAAACTCAGCTGCTTCCAATAGTCTTTGCCGTAGCTCAGCTACATTTTGAATCGGCTTGAAATACTCTTTTTCTTTTACAGTTCCCCAGTAAAAAAATCTAAAGGACTCAAATCAGGTGATCGAGCTGGCCACGGTATTGTACCAGACCGCCTTATCCATCTGCCTGAAAAGTTTTGATCGAGATACTCTCTCACTGAGAGTGCAAAGTGCGCTGGGCAGCCATCATGCTGAAACAACATGTCCCTGTAAATACTCAGTGGCACGTCCACCAATAAATTTTGTACATGATTTTTCAAAATATTCCAAATAAACTTCAGCAGTCAAAGTCTCTGGGAACTCAAACGGACCGATTATTTTACCATTTAAAATTCCTGTCCAATGGTTTATCTTGAAGCGATATTAAGATTTATCTTCTCTCATCAAATGTGGGTTTGCTACGTGCCACTCGTGTAAGTTATGCAGGTTGATGTACCCATCTTTCTTAAATGTGGTCTCATCCGACCATAAAATTTTTTCAAAGAACTGTGGATCTTTCCTGTGTCTTTCTAACATTGTGCGACAAAAAGCAACTCGGGGCTCATAATCCCGGGGCAGGAGAGGTTGAACACGCTGTATGTGGTAAATTTTCATCAGTTTTTCTTCAAATAAAAATTGTGCATAAGTTAACGAGTAATCTTCTAAGTGTTATACCATTTTGGAATCCTTATTAAATGCGCCAACTTTTAAGGTTTCTTGCCAAACTCTCGTAGTACATTTTTTTCCAGTACAGCCAGTTAAAGTTGAGCAAAGTTTTACTTTGGAATACTTGGTTGGGAAATAAGTGGCAATTTTTCCTGAACGAGAAAAGTTGGCAGTAAGGTTGAGACACCAGTTTGAAGATACATTATTCATCATTACATTGTAAAAATAAAATCCAAAAAAAGTTAATATTTGTAGTAACAGGAGTTAACATACTGCCGTAGGGTGTGAAATTTCTATATTTTTTTAAATATTTTTCTGATAGCTGTTATGACTTTGCCTATCACCCGGTTTCGGCTTGACGTCGACTTCTGGGACACCCTTGTATATGGATATATATCAACCTCCCCTCTATATTTCTTTTTCATGGATTCATATTATACTGGGACCGTCAGAAAGAATGCATGTTTTTTAAATGAGTAGTACAGTCAAAATAAGTACGGGTAAAATATTTTTTTATATCAAAATACTCAGAAATACATGCCATTTTTTTGAGTAAAACAAATATTTACGTTCTAAAAACTATGTCGGCCATATGGCGCCCTTGAGCCGAAATGCAGGAATCAAGCCTCTCCCGAAATGAGCCCATTGCGTAGGCCAGCATCCGTTCAGGAATTTGGGTTACTTTTCTTATTTCCTCCTTCAAATCGACGAGGGTCCGAGGCTTGCTTTGGTAAACTTTTGATTTCAGGTAGCCCCATAAAAAAATCACACGTTGACAGGTCCGGGGAGCGAGAGGGACATGGAATATCCCATGACGTGAAATGAGACGTGAGATGTTGCCCCGTCTTGTTGGAACCACACTGTTCTGAGACGGACACGTCGACGTCGAAGTTCCCGAGAAAAAGTTGTTCAGCATGTGGATGTAACGCTCTGATTTCTCAGTAGTTGTTTCTCCATCATCCTCAAAAAAATAAGGCCCAATAATCATCGTTGGGCCTTCTGCACACAAAACTGTAACTTTCGGGGCATGCAGGGAGTGCTCATGCAACTGTTGGGGATTTACTGGAGACCAATATCGACAATTTTGTTTATTGACGTATCCATGTAAATGAAAATGTGCTTCATCACTCATAAACAACGTCATGTAATTGTTATCCAACTGTTCAATCATGAGCTGTGCAAAATTGACACGTTGTGCATAATCCCCTGGCAACAGTTGTTGACAAACTTGGATTTTGTAAGGATGGAACACTAAAATCCTTCTTCAAGATGCGACGTGCATAGGACGCGTGGATCCCTAGGGAACTGGCACGCAAACGGACGGAACGATTCGGGCTTTGCAGTGTGTGTCAACTCTCACTCTGTCTACGTTTTCGGTGGTTCGCCCTGGCGGTTTTTTCTGCATCACAATACCTGTTGTGTTGAATGCTTCCACCCATCTCAAAATGGTGTTACGGTCTGGTACTGTCCCACGAAAGTGAACGCGAAACTCACTTTGCGTTCGAACGACAGACTCGCCATTTTGAGAGTACCGACGTACAGTGAACACACGATGCTCAACGTTCAAAACCATCATGCGAACTGAAACGTCACTTTCACTATCCAACACGCCCTTCCTCACCGTCACGGGACCAGCCCACTCGATGTAGTACCCATTCGAAAAACATGCGTTCTTCCTGACGGACTCTGTATCTTATTCAAGTGGCATTCATGACCCGTAAAAACAAACACGGCAGCTCGATCGCACAATTCTTACGATGCTGGGTTATCTTGCATACTGGCAAGAATTTCTTGATTGAAACCCCTGTGTTTATTTTAACTTAGCATAAATGCTATCTAATACCTGAATACGACTTAGTCACTATATTTTTTCGTAGGATTACCTGCAAAAGATGCAGCAGAACACCGCCCTCCCGCTAAGCCTGCAACAATTCCTCAAATTCAACACGACGGACATAAAGCGTGAGCATATCACGGAGGAAGGCATGATCGAAACTGTCAGCATCACAACGCCTGATGGACAACTCATAGTGCACGATGTCAGTCAAACGCAAGAACAGGAGGAGCAGGTTGAAGATGGCACCGATAAAACCAAGAAGAAGAAGAGGTACAAGAAGAAACCGCCCAAGCCGAAGAAGCCTAAGCCAGGTAATTGTTGAAGATTTGTGATGATTCATAAGCTCGACAATTGAACTGAATCGTAAATCACATTGATTATTTACTCTCTTATTGGTAAGATCTTACTTCCTACGTATACAAGGAAAACCAAATTTATCTGACGGCTTGAGTTCAATGGGTACGAGAGAGAAGTGTGTATAGACACATATGTTAGAAAAAGATAGAAGCCGGATGAATGATATGTTAATCAATTCGTTGAATTGACATGCATGTTGAAAATATACGATGTTATAAGCCCAAATACTGGTTTTATTGTGAACGTACATATTTTTTAATTATGAAATGATCGATTCCGGATCTGTCATAACGGCGCTCCGTTTTCTGGTGTAACATATTGGCAACGCGGTAGATTGCACGACCTTCTGCGTCACCGTTGCTAGGCAATGTGGTGAGGACCTCGTTCTACAGCCGGCTTCTATCTCTTCCTAACATATGTTGATACACACTTCTCTCGCTTCTCTCTCGTACTCATTGAACTCAAACGATCAGACAAATTTAGTTTTCCCTGTATTACACCGGTAATTTTACATATTGCAGACATCATATACAGGGTGTAATTTAATTGATGGCTAAAAATACAGGATATCATTTCTCAGCTCATTGAAACCATATAGGATCTAAGGCATAATAATCATGTATGGGTCAAAGAAAACCCATCCAGGATCAGTTTTTCGTGAATGTTGTTGTTGTTGAAGATTTATTTAGCATTCATGCTACAATTTCAATTTTGTATAATGATTCGGTTACATATTTTTCTTCTATCCATTTTCTGTAATTTTATATTATTGTCTATTAAAATTAAAATTACGTCACTACGTATTTTGATTATTCATAAAGTGATTTTTAAATTCAAATACTCCCTTTTGAAATATAGATTTACTAGTTATGCTACTATTACAATTTTGCAGATGAAAATGTATACCGCCTCTAGTTTCGTAGTTATGATAGTGAATATTTAATTTTGTGAAGTTCTCTAAACGTGGTGGTAATAAATGATTTTTTAATTTGAATATGAAAACGAGAACTAAATAATACGTGAAATTTTTCACATCCAAAAACTGCAGTTCTTCTAACATAGACTTAATCCTAACATATTTGTTTTTATTTAAAATGATTCTCATAGCTTTATTTTGTATAATTTGTAATTTTGAGAATATGTTTTCATTTGCTGTAATCAAGATGGTTAAACACAATTGTTTTGGAATACATACTAAGAATATGGGAAACTCTATAGAAGTAATTTATCTTTTTCGATATTTTTGAAATAATGTATTCATAATACGCGAAAACGGTGCATCGGACGGAAAAAAGTCAAGAGGTCAAATCTGTTGCAAAACAAATGAGGATTTCAAAAATGATTTATATTTTCGGAAAAAGCAATGGCGTATCATTTTTTTTAATCTCCAATGTACATCCCCTACTAATGCCACTGGTGGAAATATTAAAAAACATTCTACATCAAAAAATGCCTATTGGCGCATTAAAGTTATGATACAAAAAGGATGTTTTTTCTTGAAATGTTAAGGCCCTGTAGGTCAAAAGTTCAGGTTTAGGACATATGTTCATATAAACTTTTCTTCCTAAAATGAGCTAAGGAATCAAGTCCTGTATTTTTAGCCATCAATTAAATTACACCCTGTATTTTCCCCGATTTCCTTTGGAACAAAGAAATATTTACGTGCCAGACACTGTCTGAGTCTGATTACATCGCCGGCCTTCTCGATCTCGGGTTATATTGTCATAGCTGGCGCTATACTTGTATGGGCCTGTTTGGCTGACTTGATCCATTTAATTTTTTTGTTATGCTGTTTGCTCAGAGGGACTAACTTGTGTCGAACATAATCCTTTATGAACTGATGACAGTGTTGCATGAAAGTCAACCTACTGATACTATGCTGATGTATTTATTTCACGAAACAAATTCTTTTAAATAAATTATATCTACTAATTCAATTTTTCTTACTTTGCAGGTCAGGTTCACATAGCGACAGCGCTTGATGGTACGACGTTATTCTGTTGTCCCGAGTGCCATATGGCGTATCCAGAGAAGGAGCTGCTGGAACAACATTTGATCGGGCACAAAATCGAAAGACGTTTCATATGTGACATTTGCGGAGCGGGGCTGAAAAGGAAAGAACATCTGGAGAGGCACAAGTTGGGGCACAATCCTGAGAGACCTTTCGTGTGTTCTGTCTGCATGAAAGGTAATATTCTGTACTAGGGATGCACTGAGTATTGGGTTTGTAAATTGTACCCGATCCATTTTACTGAGCATCCGGTTTAATCAGTTGCGCGGGTCTTCTCAATCCAGCTTGGTTTTTTATCAAAATTTTGTTTCCTTCAATGAATTCAATGATTTGTCGTTTGTTCATATATTATCCCTTCGAACAGCTTCTCGACATCTGGCAAGACATTAATCGTCCGAATATTTGTATATAGCTCCGAATGTTGAACTTTTGGCACCGGAGCAATGGTAGAACATTTTAATTTTGATGGGAATTCACCATGTACAATGACTATAGAAACCAACACATTCCTCGATATTTGGAAACTTCATAGAGCGACCCCTATTTTCAAATCAGGAGATAATACTGATATTAAAAACTATAGAGCGGTGGCAATATTGTCGAATTTCTCCAAATTGCTGGAGATAATATTGCATAATAGAATTTACTCCGCAGTTCATAGATCTCTGTCCCCTTTTCAGCACGGTTTTCTTACTAATAGATCCACAGTAACTAATTCAACAATCTTCACTCAGTTCGCTATTGAATGTGTCGATCGGCAAGGTTCGATGTGGTGGACCATGGCATACTTTTGAATAAACTTTTTTATTATGGATTCCATTCATCAGCTTTAACACTCATTCAAAGTTATCTTCTTAATGGATTCAAGTCGTACCAGTAGATAACTAAATCGGGAGTGCCTCAGGGTTCAAATCTTGGTTCTTTATTGTTTACCTTATTTATTGACGATGTTGTGCATTATTTAAGTTGTAAAAAGCTGCTCTTTGCGGATTATTTAAAAGTATTCAGGATTATTGAGTCTGAGACTGATTGTATTGCAGCGTGATATTGATTCTCTAGTGGCTTGGTGTGTCGAGAATAATTTATTTCTTAATGCGTCTAAGTGTAGTGTAGTCAGCTTTTCCAGGAAAACTTCTGCTTGTAAATTTAATTATAAAATTGGGGATGATTACATAAATCGTTATAACTCAATTAAGGATTTGGGTGTAGTTTTTGACATTAATCTTAATTTTTCACTCCACATAGCTCAAAAGGTGAGAGAAGCTTCGCGGGCGTACGGTTTTATTGTGAGAAACTGTAGAAGCTTTAGCCCCCCAGAGTCACTGTTGGTTTTGTTCATTGGAATATGCATCGTTAATTTGGAACCCAATTTACTATATGGACAACCTCAGACAAAAAGTGAACTATGGCTAATTCGATTTCATTGAAAATTTGTCATTTAAATGTACGATCTCTAGTAGCTGGTTTCCATGATTTTACACACATGATTAAAGACCACTTTGATGTCGCTGCAGTGACTGAAACATGGCTAAACGACGGTATACCTAACCTAAATTGTTCAATAGTAGAGATTGATGTTGCTATTAATAGCTCTGTGGAAATTTTATGCTGCAAGTTCAAACTTCACAACATTGCATTTTTGGTCGTGGTTGCCTATCGCCCTCCTCACTTGAATTTAAATGATGCCATACATAATTTTGACAATTTGTTATCTTTTTTTACTCCGTTGTATGACAATATTATTTTCTTGGGTGATGTAAATATTGATCTGTTCAATCATGAGAACCTTCTAAATAGATGTTTTGACTCATATAATTATGCTCAGATTATTACCGAGCCCACTAGAATTACGCAGTTCAGTTCCACATTGATAGATCCCATTTTTGTGAATGATGTAAATATTATTTTAAACTCTGGGACATTAGCAGCAGATCAAATATCTGATCACAGATTAGTTTTAGTTTAGCAATGCCTGCTCCTAGAAATGCACCAAAATTTATTGAATATAGGGACCTGAAAAATATTGATATGGTCTTGTTCAAAGCACACTTAAGACTTAATGTATTGGATGAAATTTTTTATATTAATGATATCGATCAAAAGGTTTTATTTTTCACTGAAAGTTTAATTGCTCTTTTCGATACACATGCACCTATTCGTAAAGCGCGTATAACGAAAAATGCATCGCCTTGGTTAACCCCAACCTTGAAACGTATTTTCAAGGAAAGAGATGAAGCTTTACTCAAATTTCGACATGATTCAACAGAAGAAAATTGGATCAACTACAGAATTTTGCGTAATCACGCACTTGCTGCACTTAAAAGAGAGAAAAAAGCATATTTAGCTCATTTCGAAAAGTCAAACCCTAAAAAATTTTGGAACCACTTAAGAAATTTTGGAGCTTACCAAAAAAATAAGGCAGAAATTCCCCTACACTTGCTCAATCCTGACGAAGTTAACAATTATTTTTTATCAAATTTTATATCCCATAATGTTAATTCCCGTCTTATAAATCGTACGGTAGATGAATATATTTCAAGTTCTTTTAATTCAGACATTCCGCTCTTTCACTTTCATTTAGTTACCCCAGAAGATGTTTTAGATATTATAATTTCCATCAAATCTCAAGCAACTGGTTGTGATGGAATTAACATAGGAATGATCAATTTGTGTATTCCTGAAGTGTTACCTCATCTAACACATATCGTCAATTTTTGTTTAGAAAAAGGAGTATTTCCAAGTTTGTGGAAAGAGGCTGTTATAACTCCTCTGGCTAAGAATAATAATCCTACAGAATATTCGGATTTGAGACCCATTAGTATATTGTGTGCCTTGTCAAAGATATTGGAAAAAATTGTTTATATGCAATTGGTAAAATATTTTGAAGAGTACAACATATTTCCAAATTGTCAGTCTGGTTTCCGTAGTGGTCACAGCACAACATCTGCATTATTACACGTAACTGATGAGATTATCTCTAACTTAGACAATCATATTTACACTGTGCTGGTGTTGTTAGATTTCTCAAAGGCATTTGATACGGTTAACCACGAAATGCTTCTATCCAAATTAAAATACTACGGACTATCTGACGTTCCTCTTTGCTTTTTAAATCATACTTAAATAATCGCAAGCAACGAATAAGAACAAGCCAAGGAGTTTCTCTTAGTGCCGATGTTGCTTCTGGTGTTCCTCAGGGTTCCGTGCTTGGTCCTTTACTATATTTAGTTTAGACTTTTGACTTGCATACTGTATTACAGTTTTGTAGTATTCATACTTACGCAGACGATACACAATTGACCTTCACTTTTGACTCTACTAATGTGGATCAAGCTTCGTATAAAATAAATTTAGATCTGGTAAATATAACTGACTATTGCAAGGCTAACTGTTTGAAGCTCAATCCTACCAAGAGTTTTGCGGTGTTGTTCTGTCCCAAAACCAGCTATGAGCATTTTGAAAGGATGATTGATTTGAGGGTAAATAATGACCATATTCCACTCGTCACGCATGCAAAAAGTCTAGGTGTTACTTTAGACGTAAATCTTAGATTTCATCACCACGTCAGTAATATATCTAAAGCTACATATGCAAGCCTAAGACTCCTATACTCCAATCGTTCTATTCTCAATTTCAAGACTAGAAAGAAATTGGTGGAAAGTTTAGTTATGTCTAAGCTGCTTTACTGTTTTATACTGTTTTATCCTTGTCTTGACTCCATAACAAAAACCAGATTGCAGAAAATTCAAAATTGTTGTTGTCGTTTTGTTTTCGGCCTTCGTAGGTATAGCCATGTTACATCCAAGATCTGTGAGCTGGGGTGGCTGAAGCTCAATAATCTTTTCAAGTTTCATATGTTGGTTTTTGTACATAAAACAGTCGTTACCAAGAGACCTATTTACCTTACAAATAAGTTAGTTCCGCGTAGGAATTTAATTTCAAGAAGGTTACGTCATGATGAACAGTTCAATATTCCTCTTCACTACACCTCATTATATCAGAGATCTTTCACGTATAATGCTGTTGAGCTTTACAATTCAGTCAGTGCGGCTAACAAACAAGAAAGTTTACTCTCTTTTAAGAAATCAGTTGGAAAACAGCTATTGGAGATGCAATCGTCTCTCAGTGTTTGAGTTGTTGGTTTGTTTTATTTTTATGACACTTTATTATTATTATTATTATTATATTAATAGTTCAAGTGTGCATTTGTTTCTTTTCCTTATTACTACTATTGTTTGTTTGTGTAACGAGTTTAACTGTGTTACTCTTTCGTACACAGTGAGGTTAAGTGTAAGAGTAGCCATTTGGCTAAACTTCGCCTCACTGATGTATGCTGATTAATAAAGACATTTATTATTATTATTATTATTACATTGATTCTCTTGAGCATGTTCAGAGAAAGTTTCTAAATTTTTTATCTTTTAAGGTTGACGATATATATCTGAAAGTTTGTTATTGTCTAGGTTTCAAGTGCAGTCTTTAGAACTGAGAAGGAAGTGTGAATCATACATTCTTGCATAAACTACTGCACAATCAAATTGATGCTAATGAGATTGTGGCTCAAATAAACCTTAATGTTCCATCTATTCAAACTCGTACAGCTAAAACATTTTATTGCGACAGGGCTCGCACAAATTTGTTTTTGAAGGCACCCATATATGTGATTTGTGAAACTTTCAATCCAATACCAAATTATTGTGATATATTTACATGCTGACAGTTTGAACAGCATTCTGGGAGTAGCTAGAAATTGCTTGGATAATTTATCATATGCTACTCACCTGAGTGAAATATGTTTTTTTTGCTTCTTTTTCGTGTTTGTTTTTTTCTTTAGATGTTTTCTGTTCCTGTTATTTTGATTTATCTTAGGATTGTCCTGTAAATGGTTTCCTTAACTGTTGGGCAATAAACGCTATTTATTTATTTATTACCAATAATAATAATTTATCTCCAATTATATTGAAACAATCATTTAATATCTTTTTTGAGATATTCTCACTAGGATTTTTATTATAACGGGTGATTTTTTAAAAGGTATAGGATTTGATTTTCAAAAAAAACAAAAAATTGAAAAAACGATTAAATCTTTACTTGAGTTGATAGAACGGTCGATATAATTTAATGTTTAAAGATTATTTCATGTAAATGTTGGCCGCGGCTCCGCTTTAGATGGCCCATGCGCAAGGTCCAATTTTGGCACACTCTCTCCAACATATCGGCCGGTATCTCACGAATAAATGCTTCAATATTGGTTTCCAGTGCGTCAATCGTTGCTGGTTTATCCCTGTAGACATTAGCCTTAACATGGCCCCACAAGAAATAGTCCAACGGCGTTAAATCACACGATCTAGGCGGCCAATTGACGGGCCCCAAACGTGATATAAACTGTTCACCGAACTCGCCTCTCAATAGGGCCATTGTTTCGTGTGCGGTGTGGCATGTGGCACCGTCTTGTTAAAACCACATGTCAGCCAAGTCCAGCTCTTCCATTTTGGGCAAAAAAAGTTTGTTATCATCGCACGGTAGCGCTCGCCATTCACAGTTACGTTCCGGCCATTGTCGTCTTTGAAGAAGTACGGCCCGATGATGCCACCGGCCCATAATCCACACCAAACAGTGATTTTTTCGGGATGCATTGGTAGCTCTTGCAATGCTTCTGGCTGGTCTTCACTCCAGATGCGGCAATTTTGCTTGTTAACGTACCCATTCAACCAGAAATGAGCTTCGTCGCTGAAACAATTTTTCGATAAAAATGTGGATCTTCCTCCAACTTTGTCAGCGCCCATTCACCAAATTGGAAACGTTGTGGGAAGTCGTGTGGCTTCAATTCTTGCACCAGCTGTATCTTATAAGGTTTTACACACAAATCCTGTCTCAAAATTGTCCACGTAGTGGAGTAACAGAGGCCCAATTCCTGCGAACGGCGGCGAATCGACATTTCACAGTCATCACTAACACTGGCGGATACAGCCGCAATATTTTCTTCAATCCTCACTCTACGTCTGCGTGTTGGTGGTTTAATGTCCAATAATGTAAACTGGGTTCGAAATTTAGTCACAAGCTTCCAAATAGCTCCCTCAGTAGGCCGACCAAATTGCCCATAAATTGGAAGCAGTGCCCGATGCACTCTCTTAACCGAGCATGAATTTTGATAGTAAAATTCAATAATTTGCAAGCGTTGTTCGTTCGTAAGTCGATTCATGGTTAAATTATAGACCAAACTGAACAAGTTTGACAATGACACAAGACACGATTCACGCGTCATCTGTCAAAAACAGTGTTGCCAAAAAGATCACCCATTATTTCAATTCTGAGATAGCTTTTCTTAAATTGTTGATATTTGTTTCCCTAAATTGATTCATTGATGAATTATGATATAATTTGAGATAACCGTCAACAATCGTCTTCACTATTTGATTTATACTATCTATAAAATTAGCGTTCATTCTTTTTGCTATAATTATTTTTTCTGTCACTACCTCATATTCGAAACGTATTTTAGGATAATTCAGTCTATTTGCTATCGATATTGTTATCATAGTGTTTTTTTTTGTTTCTCTCCTGAGAACTGCTACACGCTCATTTCTTGGTTTTGTATATTGTTTCCAAATATTTTCACTTTGGTTTATTAAAAATTTTCTGTTGTCGTTCATCGCGTTTTAATTTAGACTCTGTGAATATCTGTGAAAACATTGTATTGTGTTGGGTTCACTCTTTCATGTTCTACGTCCAGTGGGAAAGTTCACTTTTTGATTTAAGAAAAAAAAAACTTAATGAAAAAAAATATTTATTACTATCAACATATTCGTAAATTCAGCAGGTTTTATTTCTTAAATATCATTCCGTCCAAATGTTTGCCATCCCTTCGGATACACTCTTCTAATCGCGCGCGCAAATTCTGAAACACTCTCTTGCAGAGTTCCGGAGTGATGTTCATCTCTCGTCGAAAGTTGTCTTTAGGCTCGTCCATTGTTCATGGATTATTGGAATACACTTTTGACTTTAGATAACCCCACAAAAAATAATCGCATGGTGTGAGGTCGGGTGACCTAGGAGGCCAGTGAATGTCTCCGAACTTCGATATAACTTTTTGAGGAAAAAGTGCTTTCACCGTATGAATCACCACTCTTAAAGTAAGCCTCGATAGCAAAAGCACGTTGCGCTCCGGTCCAACGTTCCATTGTGACTATTTAACCCACCTCTAACGCGTCGATCAAGACCTCTCCCCACTTTTTGACGATAGCTTCTCTCATGTATTTATCCATATTATCCATAATTTCGAAGTAGTTGTCGGCATTATTGATAATTTCAGGTACTATGTTTTGTAAAAGTATTTCTCGTAACATTGTGAAATCAATTATTGTCATTTCTTTATTTTCATGTACAATTTTTTAAAACGAAAAATTTTCTAATTGACCTAATAACTAAATCTACAACTTTCAAAACTACACGATCTTTTTTGACAGTTTTTAAATGTAGTTCTGATTCGAATTTCTTATCTGATAGGCTTTAAACGGAAAGAGCATCTGAACCTTCACTACGTCATCCACAGCGGAGAGAAAACTGAGATTTGTGGGGAATGTGGTAAAGGCTTCTACCGTAAGGACCACTTGCGCAAACATGCCAGGTCTCATGTGACGCGGCGGGCCAAGGAGCTGGCAGAGCAGGTAATGAATGAAAATGACAATTTTTAATGAGTGTTACATTTTAATCAACCATCCAAAGATAAGTATTTGTCAAACATAGCTACAGGAAGTGAAATTCTTTATTACTGCCTATTTCACGAGTTTCTATTAGGTTTTGAGGTCTACTGAGGTGACATCTTTGTATTAGTCTGTAACGCTGGCACTAATGAATCGGGTGTAAAATCTGGTAAAAGTAAAGATCGTAGTCAGAGCTGTTGATATATCTAGGTACTTTTAGTGACTGGGAATTTTAACAATAAAATATTACGAAGTACACATACAGTAATGGACAAAGGTATATAGACAAATTAATATTTTGCTGTATTTCTTTTTTAAATTGTTTTATTAATACACCAACCTGTATACATAATTCGTTATAGCATAATACTCACTTATACATAAATAAATTCATTAGACTCCCTTCAATAAAAAATTAATTGAAAAAAAACTGGTACTATGAAGGACACAAATATATAGACAAAGCAAAACAATTATAGAAAAAAGAAGCAAAGTTGCAATGCATTGCAAAGCATTGAATTGTAGAAAACCAACCATGTTTGTGTTAATATTTTGTAGCATAACCATTATTATCAATCACCGCCTGGCATCGTCTCGGGATAGATTGTAGAAGTTTCTTGATATAAGATTCATCAATCTGTCTCCACTTTTGCTCTAAAGCGGCAAAAAGTTCATCCTTGTTTGAATAATTTTTATCTTGTATTTGCTTATCTAAGTATTCCCATAGATTTTCAATGGGGTTTATATCGGGAGACTGTGAAAGCCATTTGAGAACTGGTATTTTTTCATCCAGAAAGAATTTCTTTGCGAGATTTGAAGTGTGCTTCGGGTCATTATCTTGCTGGAAGATTGATCTTAAGGGCATATTGTCTTATAGAGTAACATGACATGCTTTAGTATGTCTGTGTATACAAACTTATCCATAATGCCATCTATTCTATGTAAAGCTCCCATCTCAAACCCTGAAAAGTACCCCCAAACCATAACAGACCCTCCTCCATGTTTGACAGTGGGCAAAGTGTACTTGGGGTTCAATCTTTGTCCACTAGGACGTCTAACGTAATGAACACCATCTGATCCAAACATATCGAACTTGGATTCGTCACTGAAACATACCCTCTTCCAGTCACAGATGCTCCAATCAAGATGCAACCGTGCAAATTGTAATCGGCCCTTACGGTTTTTCCTCGAGATTAGCGGCTGTCTCGATTTCGGCTTTTGTCTTGGGGTTTTAAACGGATCTTTGGACGAAATTACTTTTATTAATCTAACTGATCTAGCATTTAGTTTTCTAGGCCGACCACTTCTCTTAGAGGCTTCCTTTTGTTACCTTTTTGTTTATATTTGTTCAATATTGCCCAAACTGCTTTACGCCTCAGCTTCAAATTTTTGACAATGTCGACTTGACGTTGACCATCTTTGTATAACTCAATGATCTTAGTTTTCACATCGAAAGAAATTTCTGGACCACGCGACATGGTCTTAAAATTACTCAACTTATTCCACAATACTTGATGAACCCAAACTAATCCTCTTCTGACACGACTAAACTAAACTAATGTTGAAAAGAATTTGTCTTCATATTTTTGTCCCTCATACAAAAGTGCTTATATTCAGACTTGTGTTCATTGCAGATAATAAGGAATTTAGTTTTTCTACTAATAACGCATTTGTTTATGGAGCAATGAAGTATGAATTCGTTTTCTAAAGGTTTTTAGGTAAATATTCATATTTGTCTATATACTTCTAACCATTACTGTACATAGATTGATAAAACTAATGCTATAGTTTACGTGTTTGAATAACTCTGCCCTGGCTCACGCTAAATTTACTTTAAAAAAACATTAAATATGTCATTGCATGCCTCGTGTTATCAGTCATTGAAAATGTTCTTTTATTATCCCTTCCTCAACTGTTATGGTCAATTTTCAAAGAAGCAAAAAGACATCAATCAGAGACCTGGCCATGAAAGCTACAGGTAAAATTTGTAAAATGTGGTACTTTTGACAGTTGACAACTGAGTGCAAAACCAGTTGAAAAATGCACCAGTGCAACACTAGTTTCATCAAAACAAAAGCTATCAGATGCAGTTCAACAGAACCTTGTAAACAAATTGAATCTAACCACATCGTTATCGTTTGTACTTTGACAGGCAAGTGACAGGATGCTGGGTATCGTCATGGGTGAAGGAGGTGAAATGGAGGGGCAAGCTAATGGTACTGCTAACGGGCAGAACAACGGTAACGGGGGAAGTAAGGAGGGAACGATAGGTGGAGTTCCTGCCGCAATTACCACTAGTACCGGGACAGTGACCATTAGCGTGGGAGGGGTGAGTACCATACAGTCTTTACTTGATCACTTCGGACCCTGAACAGTGGCGACTTGAAGCGCATCGATTCAAACCGATAATTGAGTTTGAGAGAAAAATTGTAAAAAGTTGTTTTACAGCGAAATTATATTTTGGTGGTACCTGAAAAAGGCCGCTTATCGGGAGATACAAAAAAAAATGCTGGGTAACGTTTCCTTTAAAGCTCAAATTATTCGAATAGTTGTGAATTATTAGAAGGAATGGTCCAAAAAAGAAAGCATCAGGTTATGACAGTACCTTCAAAATGAGACCTTACTTGATTCATTATTACAACAAAAGCTGTAGATTCCTACATTTATTTTTACGGGAAAATGCATAACGATAAATCGGAAATAATAGGCAAAAGGTAAAGTCATTGTGGCACTTAACATAAATAAAACCATTCAAAAGTGCTCAACGGTTTCTGCAAATTTCCAATTATTGTTACTAATATTTTCGAGAAAAATGTACCTTTTTGACGAAATGCACTTTGGCTCAATCAGATGGCCTGTTAAGGACTTAGATTATCATCATATTGATTTTCTGATACTACTAACCTTGTGAAAAAGCGTCGCCAACGATACAACTATTTTTGCCTTATTCATAATTGGGATAAATTCGCATGTTTTTTGACAGTCGTAATTAGGATGCTCACCACTGAAAACCTGATGAAAAATAAACAGTTTGACAAAAGAAGGATCTTTCTACATCTTACGGGGCCCAAAGAACACTAAGAAAATGAACTTTTTGAATACTTTTGACTGTTATTAGATATTTACTGTTATGCATTTTCCGGTAAAAATAAATGTAGAAACCGACGATTTTTAATTATTATGATAAAATGGCCGTGTAGTCTCATTTTGAAGGTATTGTCGTACCCTACACTGTCGGACCACTTACACCAACATTGCACAACTATTTGAATATACGTGTTTTTTCCAAATTGACGCTTAAAAAAGTTTTGTTTGTTTGTTCAAGATTTATTTAGCATGACTGCTACAATTACATTCTTTTAAAAAACTACAAAAGTTACATAACATATAGATATCCTGAAAAAGAAAATTTGCATCTCTATTGTTCTAAATTTGAGCTGCAAGATTTGAATTCTGACGAGCTTCACCGTAAACTAACAACATGTCGGCGAACTCTTGATTCGAGAACATTGTAAATAAACACGACGACGTACACGAACAAAAACAAAACAACACGCCCGATGCTCTCGACAAAACGATAAAGTAATTTATCTATGTTTTGAATATTTAATTTAATGAAACTTACTTACTGACTACAAATTTTGGCTTAACGTAGAAAAACTTAATGCCATTTATTTGTTAATTACCCATTTAGAAAAAAATCTATTGACTTTTGGACCATGGGTCATATGAACTTTTTGACGTGTTTTGACCCTCCTATTATACATTTCAATAATGACTACCATAACGTTTACACCCTGCATGTACCTAAATATTTAATTAATTCAACATTTTCAATTATTTCACCATTTCTCCTAACTGTGATAGTATTTTCATTTACCCAGCAAAATTTTTGGATCTCGTGACTAGGGGTCTTTTCATATATCCTTAAGAATACAATTCTGTTGTACAAGAGGTTATTACATTTTTTGTTAATCAGTTTCAATTTTTGTCTTGGTCTAAAATGAAGGCGCCTTTTCAAAGCAGGTTATCGGTTATAGATCGGCCCAATTTAAGTGATTTGGCTTGTTTCATTCCATAAGAAAACGCAGTATTTTCAGAGAGAGAATAAGTACTTTGGGATTTAATTTTTTTCTGACCTTATTTCAATATAATTCTTACATTATTGCCACTTTCTCTGTTCTATAAGTTGACATATAAATTCGAATATTGCAAAGATTGCAATATTCCAGCTCTTATTTGACTGATTCTCTACAATTCCAGATGCCGAATTCGCAAATCCAGATTCCGGTGCAGATCCAAGTGCCGCAGCACCACCTGGACGTCTCGCAAGGAAACGAAGAGGAGAGTGATAACGGTATCAGTACCGTCGTTTTGCCGTCGTCGTCCGAAGGGCTCTCTATTTTACCAAATTAAGTATATGCCGCGCAAGATTAGCGCCTTACGAGTTGTTTAGTATTCCCTTGGGAGATGTAACTATGGATGGATAAATTCAAGGATGATACATTAGGCTGGGATTCCATATACCATAAATTGTCCATTGGACGTTTATTAGTCTAGAATAACATTCACATATCACATACAGGGTGTGCAATAAGTACCAAGACAAATTTAAAGAGAAGGTAGGCTTTGGACTGACCTCCCAAATAATAAAAACTTACCTATATAAAAGTGTCACCGTTTTTGAAATATTTTTTAAATAATATAATATTTCTTAAATTTCAAAAAAACGAACCTTTTCATCTGTGGTCTTTAGCTGCATGTACAAATAAGGTTATTTTTTTTTCTATAAAATACTTCTAGATAGTAGCTTTATCATATACAAATGCAATGTAGTTAAAAGATATTAAGGAACCATGATAAAATGACTGTTTTGGGATCTATAACCTTCTGATATTGTTTCCTTCCTATATATATATATAGAGAGAGAGAATATGATCATGCGGAGAAAGATATATAACAAGTAGGAAAATAATGGGCGATACGTATTTCTGCTGGTTGGCTTCATCAGGCCCGAAATGAATGCACATATGAAACTACAAAAGTAGATACACATGCCCACACATCCGGATACGGGTGTTACCTGAGGAAACGAAGTTGGAGGTGGAAAAAACGACACACGAAGTCCACAACAAGAGCCAACCTACACATTGTAGTATAAAATGGCTATACGACCTCGAATTTTCAAGGAGACGTCGAACCACAACCACGCGGCCGGTTATAGCCACTTGCTGTGGTACTTCAAGCCCAAAGGATCTACAAAGAGAATATAATCATGCGGAGAAAGGTACTATATATAACAACAAGTAGGAAAATAATGGGCAAAATCCGCAAAAAGGAGGAAAGTGGATTCGAGCAGAAAATAGGATAGGTAACCCGAGCGATACGTATTTCTGCTGGTTGGCATCATCAGGCCCGAAATGAATGCACATATGAAACTACAAAAGTAGATACACATGCCCACACATCCGGATACGGGTGTAACCTATTTTCTGCCCGAATCCACTTTCCTCCTTTTTGCGGATTTTGCCCATTATTTTCCTACTTATATATATAAGTTATGTTGCCGGGATGGCCGTTCGGGTTTTTAAAAAAAACTTTATTTTTACTTTTACAAGACAATACAATATACTTGATATTTTATAATGGATAGATGTACAATAAGGCGAACAAAACGAGTAATGAGTAATGAATGGTCTGGAAAGCATCAAGAACATCTATTTATCATCTCGGTAAGGATGCTTTCCTCAGCATTTTCTTCTTCCATGTGCATCGTTTTCTGCATCATAACTTACATATATGTATATATATATATATATATATATATATATACAGGGTGACTTTGAAGTTGAGTCATTAATTTTCAGATAATGATTGTAGAAGGAAGATAAACCAAAATATGTGTGTAAAAATAAAAAAAAAATTAAAAAAAAAATGTTTACCTTGTTTTATAAAGTATCCTCCCGACAAGTATTTCAGTGCGGACCTGTATTTGATCGTCTTAAGTCACCTGATTCACGAGCCCGTTGTACTACATTAACAAAGGCACGAGGGGTTGGTTGCACTCGATTGGGAAACCGATCCGCATAAACATGTGCCATTTTTTATTTCGTTTGAGCCACGCAACAGATACAACTATTCACTGACACTGACTGTATACAAATGAATGAAATAATTCGTTCCAAATTCTTTCGCTTTTTTGTTTCCGATGCGATGAACCGATACGGCGGATTATATCCGTTGTCGCCAAACACGAGCACATTGAGACAGGGCGGTACTCAAACTTCCAAAGGGCTATAACTTTGTTACTTTAATTTTACCAGAAAAATGGTAAAGGAAAAAAACATTTCTTTTGATCAGGTCTACTCACTGTTAAAATAAATGACTCAACTTCGAAGTTATATATATATATATATAGACTGTAAAGCTCGACCAATTTTTAATACAGTATATGATTGACCTCTTTCTATTTTAGTATCATTGATATGATAAGAAAAACGTAAGAGTTTGAGCTTGTGGAAAAGCTTAAGGTATTAGGTCTATGTATGTCGAGTTTGTTGGTCTCACACAAATTGCATAAGCTATTGACACCTTGTTGCAGTGCAACGAATAGGTGCATTTTATTTAGTTAATATTATATATACAGCGAAAACTAAATTTGTCTGACAAACATTTCATTTAATGTATTGTTTTCATTTTGATTAGAATTATTTATTTCAATTTTGATGCGACTAAGTGTTTTAATTTATTTTAGAACTACCTTTGATTTTCACCGATGGTGATAAAATCAACACGTCCCGAGTTATTCTTACAGTTCGCGGTCAGCGAACTGTCGGAAAATGTAACAAATTCTAAAATACAAATTATCACTGCCTGCCTGTACGCAGGTGAGAACCATTTCGAAGCAGGTCGACGCTCCCCAATGAGCGTTAGATGGGTACTGAAAAAAAAATCGCTCATCTATAATCATGGAGATGGAAACCTTGCCCATTATTTGGGCGTAGAGAATAAACTAACGCATATTTTCAGCATGCATCTTAATTCAAGAAACTGGTGTAACATATTTGGCAACGCGGCAGATTGCCGCGTCAGCGTTGCTAGGCAACGCGGTGATGAGCTTCGCTATCCAATCGGCTTCTATCTCTTTCTAACATACGTGTTGTCTATACGCACTTTTCTCTCGTACACATTGAGCTCAAGCCGTCAGAGAAATTTGAGTCTCAGTGCATATATAAGGAACCATAGCGGTCACAGATTAGATCCCTGAGGCACACCTGATGTAGGAATATAGGGACTCGATGTATAACCCCTATACTCAACAACTTGAATTCTATTTGTTAAGTACGAGTTAGTTAAGCAATTTGTCATGAATCCATGTTTTGATGTTACAATAGTGCTTCTAAGAGCCATATACAGAGTAGCGAACAGCCAGATTCAACAATTGGCCAAAATTTCGTTACTTTCGTTCGATTATGTATTTGTATTCAAGATCATATCGAAAATGATGGAAAGTTGTTTAGCTAGTACATATATCCAGGTTTTAACAATAAAGCTTGGAACTAGATTAATTATAGATATTATTTATTAGGCATCTTTCTAGTTGCTTTTATTACGTCATCTTCGGAAATTTTTATTAAAGATATATGGCATTTGGATAAATCTATGATAACTGTCAGAGTTGTTTACATCAAAACTGCTTAAAAACACCAGCAAAGTATTACGCAAAATCATTTACTATATTATGAGGAGTGTCATCAATTTTCACTCCCGGGGTTCTAGTGTGACTTTTTGTTCTTCTGACAAACGCCCAGATGGATCTGGATGGATGGAGTGTTCAGTGTTTTGGACGAAAGCTGCATATATGCTTTAATTTCATTTTTTTCTAATCTCCTCAGTTCCTTCAATTTTTTTTTCATAATACTGTTTGAAATTTTCTGAAGCTCTTCTTAGCGTTGTCTTTCTTTTTAATGTTAGATTCTATACATAGTTAAACCAAATGCTTTGGGGAAAATGTCAATATTTTCTTTAACTGTGTTAATTGACAATAGATTCAATTTTGTCTTGAATTCGCTTGTGAATTAGACATAGTTGAAAATGAACAACTTTTGCCTTAGCATGGAAAACTTTTTCCACTTGGCTGAAACTTTATAACTTGCTTGCGCGGGCCATTTAAAATTCGTACAAGGGTCACAATGTGGCCTGAAACGTAGTATTGAACAGCCTTGCTCTACAATATTTTTACATCCGTTGTCATTTTTATTCTAGTCGTAGAGGTAAGGGACAAAATTTTTCTACATGTTCCTCAGGTTAATTCGAGAGGAAAATGTCCCATGAACATGGGTCCGCAAATGTTTCCTTATCGAGATAATGATTTTTTTTATTTTTAGGGTGCTAATGGTGGGAAAACCACAGTATTGTTGGAAAATTACTTTTATTTAACACACAATTACTAGGTACAATAAAAATTACTATTCACAATAGTTGTTCAAAGTGTCCACCTTCACACTGTAAACATAGTCTAGCCCGTTTAATAATGTGACTGGTGGCTTTTCCAATAACAAGACGATTACTTCTTATGTTGTCAGCGACATCAGTAATTTTACGGAGCAGTTCAGCCCTGGTATGCGATTTCTCTGCATACACTAAAGACTTCATATATCCCCACAAGTAATAATCCAAGGGATTTAAATCGGGCGAGCGGGGTGGCCAAGAAACTACGCCCCCTCGTCCAATCCAACGCCCAGGAAAAGTATTACATTTTTTGTTAAATAAAAGCAATTTTCCAACAATATAGTGGTTTTCGCCCACTAAAAATAAAAAAATCGTATCTCGATAAGGAAGCATTAGCGGACTTTTTCGACTCGAGTTGACCCGAGGAACACGCAGAAAAATGTTGTCTCTTGCCCTGCGGGATACCCTGTATAATCTTGAACCTGCAACAAAGATTTTGCAAATGTCGCGATTTTGCACCATCAGATGAGCCTTCTCTATTAAGCAATCGTCTAGTTTCGCAGAGTTATTTGAGAAAAAAAAAAAAGGATTATCAATAGCGTTCTTTAGGGCTTACACCTCCGTATGGCAGGCTTGTAAGACATTTTTTTATAGGAACCTTGTGTTCTATATGTATACGAGATATTGACATGTTATTCTGAAACACCCTGTATATAAAGGAAAATTCGTGGTTAGTGGATCCTTTAAATGCAATATGGTCCGTTGATTTGATGGAAATAATACTCCATAGTTACAGAGCTCCATCGTATTCCTTTATTTTTTTTTGTTTTGGCATTATTTTAATGGCATTTTATTCTGTATATAATAGATATATTTATTGACCTTATATTGATATTTGTTTATGATACTACGCTGTAATTTTTTTCATAGCTAATCTGTGGAATCTGCAGGTTGTCTTGAATAGTATGCTGAAACGGCGAATGAAAAATCTTTGCTGGACGAGTGAAAAAGTTCACAGTTCATCCGTCGATTTCAAATTTTAAGGTCCGAGTTATATTGATCCATTAAAATATTGAATCGTTTAGAGTACAGAGAATTTTATATATTCTATCAAACTTAATTGAATTCATACACTATCAATTATATCAGAGATAAAAAATATTTTCACCATTTTTTTTTAATATTGTGGAAGGTAAAGTTCTACCAATAAATATCATTTCTACTGAGTGTATGTATAAATGGATTTTGTGATAAAAACTGTTGAACCTTCTTTAGTGTTTTTTGCATACTATACAAAAACACTGCAGAAGAATTATTTTCAAAGCAAACTGAGATTCTTCTAATAATTTGTATCTATGAATTTCTGGGCCATTTAAAAAATATGAGTCCATATATTAATTGGTATGTACGGACTGCGAAAACCAAAAGTTAGACAATTTTGGCCAGAAAAACAAGGATGAAATTGTTTAGATTAAAGATATAAGACCTCGAAGAGTATTATGAAACTACTTTCTTTTAAATAGCGATTTTTAGCCTTGTTTGCTAGGCCACAATTGACGATCTGTCGATTTTCGCAGGCTGTACATATTTTTTGTCCTGTAGGCATAGGGTTCAGGGTTACTATATGTATAATTTTCGAGTATTATATTTTTTTACCACTTATTATAAATTATTCTAAATAAAACTGACCAAGCTCTCATTGAAGTATAATGTACAGTTAATGTGGAATATCAATGAATATTTAAATATTTTTTTAAATACCACCGATTTTTCTTATTAACACATATTTTGGTATACCGATAGATTATATCCAAGCAATATCAAAGTTTCCAATAGCAGCTGCCTTTTAACTTTCTTTGGAGGAATAAAGTACATGATGTGATTTAATACATGTGAATAATACGGTGTTACAATATTATAGAATTCTGTAAATATTTATAAATGATGCCGAATCAAGAGCAAATATATTAAAGTAGGATAAATTTTTTATACTATTTACATGTCTGTATATTTTACAAGAAGATTAAACTGTTTCTTTTTCATTGGCTTTACTGCTGACCAAACTACCCTTTCCAAGTAGGAACTGAAATTATTTGATGTTGAAGCAAAGTTAGTAATCAGCCAAGATCACAGCACTTACGAGGTCTGTAAATTAAGTGATGTGAATAGTATCGGAGCGTTCGATGTACGTTTTCTTCAAAAGCTGGACTGTATCTTTTGCCAGATAAAACTATTAAAGTGTTGATACGATCCAACGAAGTCTCCCTTTCAGCACTCCTCAAGAATGAGAAGCTATACTTTTGGCTACAGCGCCATCTATGGGATAAAAACCTTTTCAATGTATAGCATTTAGATAGCCTGGTAGCATTTTGCCTCTTCCATCATTAGAATAGCTGAGGAATTCTCTAAAAAAACAGCACCCAGGGGGGGGGGGTTCCCGAATCTCGCACGCGACACTAGAATCTTTGTGATTACTTTCATCGTTTGTCACTTTCCCGTTATTTTATTTTTAGACGGTTTTTTGGAAAAGGTGGGCAATAATGAAGAAAAACAGAGAACAATCGTGGGAATGTCCGCAATAAAGTAACAGGGGCGGAAATAGAATGTTACACCCGTATTCAGATGTGATGGGCATATGTTTTCACTTCGATGTCTTCGATGGACATCTATGATGAAGCCAGTAAGCAGAAACGTACATCGTTCGGGTTACCAATTCTGCTCTTGTTTCTTTATTGCGGACATGCCCACAATAAATTGTCCTTTATTTTCCTCTGTTCTTGCATACCTTTTCCAAAGCCCGTCTTAAAATAACTTGTGAAAGTGACAGCACTGTGGAAAACGATGACGAGAACCACAAAAATAAATCTCTAAGGTTTCCGCATTACTACTTCTTTACGCCTTTCTTTGTATGACGAAGAAAAAAGTAAGTAATCCTACTTTCTTATCTGCCTTTTTGCCGAATGGTGAATAAATCTCGAACGCGTCTCATTCATTGTCGCGTGGCTTAGCTTCGCGAAATTCTTTTTAATGAGAGATGTATGTTGCGGCAGAAGAGTTTTATGCGACATTTAAGATATTGCGCATGCGACAATGACCACCCGACATTCGAGAACAGCTCACCTGATGTATTATCCCGCATGTTTTTTGCGGCAGATCAGGTAGCGAAAATGAGTAATCTATAGCATTCAGCAATGTACATTGACGTTAGCTAGGATGGCGTTTCGCCTTTAGGCATTACTGGTGATTTTTATTTTCCTAAACAAATGTACCATCGACACACAGAGAACTTCTAAAAGAGGAACACAATAATTGTCATGTCGTGTCAACTCACGAGCTATCGCGCAAACTCAAGAACAATAATGTGAAATCACAATGCGTGAAGCCCGACTTACGCAAAAGAGGGTAGGTATGCATTTAGAAGATTTCTCAATTTTACAAGCATTTATTTACCTTGACCCTTTTGTTAGTGTGGAACAAATCTTGAAATTGAATTTGAACCAGTTAACCTTAACCAACCGAGCTTAAAATTTGAATTGCGTGGCAATACTAAATTAATCAATTGCCGCCAATCCAATATGGCGGATGCTACAAAATGACGATTTATCATTTTCATAGTAACCTATTTGGAATGGGTATAAAAAGAAAGCGCTTCATGAAAAAATTAAGCAAAAGGGCGTCATTCAATATGGCGGCCACCACAAAATGGCGATTTACCTTTTTCATAGTTACCCCTATGATATACGTATCAAATGCAATAAAAAATGTGACGTCATTCTAAATACAATATGGCGGCAGCCACAAAATGGCGATTTATTATTTTCATCGATATTAATTGAAAGGGCTTGATGAAAGAAACACAATAAGCAAAGTGATGAAGATGGCATTTATAATTACCACAGCCACCTCATCCCTACGAAATAGGTATAAAATTGAAAGGTTTGATTAGAGAAATATGAAAAGAAACTTGACGTCATTCTAAATCTAACATGGCGTCCGTCACAAAATGGCGATTTATGATGTCCATATTCACGGGTATGCTATGGGTAACAAATGAAAGGGCTTGATGAAGGCAACATAATAAGCAAAGTGACGGCATTCTAAATCCAATATGGCGATCGCCGCAAAATATCGATTTATCATTATATATGATTTCTATATATCGAAATTTTTTGATAAAAATAAAGTAAGAAGTTTTATGGAGTCCTATTAATAAAATATAAAAAAATTACTATTACTAGTTAATATAATAATTAATAAATAAATTTTTAGTTCGATTTATTAACAGTTAAATAAAGGTTTGCTTTTAAAAAAGTATGTTTTCATTTATTTGACGTTGAATTATCTATACGCTTAACACACCGATTTTGCAGAATATTTGCTCTTAAAACTTGCAGTCATAGAAATATTCACAATATCCGCTTTGTGCGCAACGAAAATAACTTTGAAACTTGTGGCAATCAATCTGCTGCCTCTTGCGGACAGGGGAAACAGTTCTAGATCGCAACACTTTCAAGTATGTGGGGAGAAATTGCATGGACCTATTTGACTGACTTGATCGTAGTCGTCTGACTTATCTCTGAGACTAACTTGTCCTAAACATAATGTTTTATGAACTGATAACAGCGATGCGTGGGAAAAGAATAGTCAACTTTCTTGGCACCATATCTTATTTTTGGTATCTGACAAAATAACACCCAAATAGGACAGTCTCATCTTTTGTTTCTTTTTGCTTCAAATCTTTATATTCTTTGTGTAATGGATCATATCGCTCACGCGATCGCCACTTCTACCAGACGACTCTTCGCGATGCTTTGAAAGACACTGTAGTTGTTGTGCATGTGCACTGTTGTTTTTTCGCGGACCGCCGGTACCATCCACAGTACCCGCGATCGTGTAGAATCGGCCTCCGACTCGAGTGCACACGATCGCGCTGGTTCTAATTAACCTACCTGCCAGGTGGATGAAAGCAGGTGAATGGCACATCGTCTGCGAGCTTGAGTGTGACACTGCGCTATGTGCTTAATCCTTATCAGACGCGTTGAAAACACTCTGAATCCAACGATTCGTCATGCAGATATCGAATGCTGATAACGCTCTCCCTCTCTCGTGTGTCATTGTGTCGCGAATCTAACTGTAATCAGTGCAACTTTCATTCAGGTACACTCGCTGAAGCACCGGTTTTCGCTTAGTTACGGGGAGGTAAACAAATGAAAAATGACAACTAATAGATTTCACAAGTAAGTACGAGATTTTCTCTTTTACTGTTCGTTTCGTTTGTCTTTTTTTATTTTGTCGGTTTCATTGCCTTTTTTTTAATAGCGAAATGGATAATCTGCTCTTTTAGGGATTTATCTAATCTATCTTTAATCAAATCAAGAGGTTCGAAGTTGGCTGTTACGTTCACTGCCTGGTTCATTGAAAAATTTAGGGAAATATTCAAGAAAGGAGGTCAATAGCAGATTTGGTCGTTTGTATACAAAACACGGATTTTTGAACGTCTAGAGAATTATAAATTTTGAAAATATTTGTGCGCCGATGGTTTTCTAAGCTGCATCTTAGAGAATCGCAATACCAAGTTGCTCAAAGTAGATTTTATTTTTGATTTTTCGAGCATCTAAATACAACTTAATTGAGTAGATGTACGATTTTTTAAATTATAATCATCAATAGTAGGAATCCGCCCATTAACTACTGGAAATAAAAAAAAAGAATTTTGGATTAACTTGGGAGGTCCCGTCTCCCCAGGAAGTCCCCATTCCAGAAATATAAGAAACCAAAACGAAGATTCCAAAAAGAAGAATCACAAACCTGTTCGTGTTCGAATTTGCCGTCAACCTTTTGAACTAAGTCTTGAATCCGTAACTGAAGTGTCCTATTTACTAAACAGTGGTATTTTCAGGGCAGCTAAGGATGAGTCTCTAACAGTACTAAAAGAAGCTACAAAGAAGGACTGCAATTCCAGAGATGAACAAGGAATGACTCCAACACTTTATGCCGCGTTTCATGGCAAGCTGGACGCTTTGAGGCTTCTATGTGGAAGAGGGTAGGGATATTATACATATACATCCGCTCAAATACAAAATTATTATCTTTACTTATTCATTAAAAACGTAAAGTACTTTTAAGCACAAATAACCAGGAACCACCCCTTTATAAATAGCTTTACAGTAGTTACTCAGGTATAAAGGTAATAGAATGAAAATTCTAAAATACTAAACATACAAAAACCAGATTAGAACCATTTGATCTAAATCAAAGCATTTATCATCGTTTTACATCTTTTGTATTCGAACAATTCCACCTAAAAAGAACTCCAAATATACACAAATTGAATTCTAATAATTTAAAAAGATGAAAGTATCAAATTTTTTTGCGTTACCGCGTGAGTACTGATGCATAACAGCTTCATAATTACATGTTGATGCCCGATACATTTTTGTCGTTTCATTTAAATCTGGATTTCCTGTGGGGCGATATAATTTTGTTGATCATTCATTTACATTTCAACGCACAGAACGTTCACCTTAATGCTGGTGTATAATTTGATTTGCGCTGATATGATCCAAATTAATCATCGCAAATTATAGCTAATTGTGTTTTAGACGGATACTGTTGTTTCATCAAGCTTCAAACAATTAACAAACACTAAAAATCAAGTCAAGTATAGATTTACCTGACACAGTGGTGGTACATAGAATCCGTTTACAAATTATCTACGTATATGAAGAGACTCAGTGCAAATTTGTTTAAACAATTGTTTAGACAAATAATAATAATAATAATAATAATAATAACAATAAACGTCTTTATTAAATAATATATACAATACATGTGTATATATATATATATAAAGTGTAACTATAGTGGCGAAGTTTAGCAATATGCTACTCTAACACTTAACCACTAAAGTTAAATTTTACGTTGTTAACAGCTAACAGAAAAAAAAAGCAAAATATATATAACAAATCACTTATAACCCATTTGAGAAGTGGAAAATGAGATATTTTGTGTGCACATACGCTACTCTAAAAAGGTCTATGAAATATTGAGGGAAAAGTTAATCGTTCAAATAAGTCAACTTAACATTTTAGCGGAAACATGGTAAACTCATGGTCTTAAATTTACTGTCCAAAGAATTATACGATGGTGTCAATGCAATACCTCGTACCTACGAAATGTCAAAATTTCAGGAGACAATGTTTTGCATAATAATTAATACTTGTAAGTGTTTTATTTAGTTTAACATTGTTCTAGGCCTCTAAACAAACGAAAAAATTATTATTTTAAGTTGTCTTCTAAGAAATAGGTATTTAGTAATTATTATGTGAGATACGAAGTATTGCACAAAATTTTTCGTCAACTTTGGAACTTACGAGGTATTGTACTTATAATGAAAACCCATTTAGATTTTAGAACAATTTTATCTCAAATCCATTAAAATACAAAATAAAAGATACACAAAAACTATATCCAAGTTACAGTAAAAAAATGAACAGGAAACAAGGAAATATAAAAATAACAAAAACCTATTTGAAAGGTAAACTGTCATAAAATGGCCAATAATTTTGACAAATTTTGGTTTTTATTTCTTGTAAATGATCGTATTTCTTCTTTGCAATTGGCAGTTTGTGCTCAAACAATTGGAGAAATTGGTTTATGTCGTTTGGGGTCCTTCTTGGACGATGAGGTAATTCTGCAAACTCTTGGTCGAAATTAATTTTGTATGTTATCAAGCCTTGTTCATACTGCAGTGCCCTTATCTGCGTGACTGTCGGATCATTGGATTTTTTACCAGGGCGGATTGAATAGTAGACCAAATCGGCACTATAGTTTTTGAAAAAAGTAAAATCTGGAGTTACGACTTCATAAGGAAATGGGTTTTGACGCGCTTCTCCAGTAAGACGATATTGGTATTTCGATGTTCTTATTTTTTAGCTTTCTTTCAATAACAGCATGAACACTATCACATTCCATTTGAGAATGACCTTTAATCAAGAACTTTCGAGTTATTTGCACATTATATTGGCGTGATAGACTAAGCAGAGCATTTGCCATGGTACTGTTTCTATTCTGATATGTGCAACCATCAGAATAAATTATTATTGGTCTTATGTGGGCTGCATTTTGAAGATACTTTTTTGTTAAATAGTCTACAAGAAGTGATGCAAACGTGGACGCTTGAAGATCTGCGTCCAGCTCAGTGAACCAATAGCAAGTACATTGATTTGTAGCTAGATCGTATACAGTAAAATTATGGCATACAAGCTTAGTTTTAAAGAAAAGCGAACTCGCTTGTAAATAAGGACAAGTTTTAACGGCTTGCAGATCTACTGTAATAACATGACAGACTGCATTGCTTTTTCTTTATCATCATTTTTTTCTTTTTGAGCTCTCTCTTTGTCTGTTCTATGTTGTTCCCAGTCTTCTAGGCTTAGATTTTGAGATTCATACTGTACACATGTATCACACCGATCCTTGCGAGGCTTGAATATACCAATATTCTTTTTATGTACCCACTTTATTAATGTATTTCTACTGGCTGGTGCTGTGTTTTGTGTTTTTGAATAATTCACGAAAGCTTTATATAAGTCTGAGTAACTAGAAAACTCATGTTCAAGGTACAACTTTGTAGTGTCTTTGCGACAATAGTGACTAGGAAGCTTTGGCAATTTTTCTAGAAATGTTGTTATAAATGAATCATTTTGGGATTTTCTGGGTAATCTACGACTGTTAGTTTCTGCTCCACTGGAAGGTCTACCGTAATGCGATGTCTCCACCCAGCTCTTTACACTCCATTCCCCAAGCCCCAGAGTTCCCAAAAACATTTTTTTACAGACGGGTATAAGCTTATCACCAACATTCAAGCTATAATATAGGGAGCAGGAACGTCGAGAATTTTCATCTTTTGTTTTTCTAGACGTCTCCTGTCTTGAAACAAGGTTGCAGACATATACCTTCCTTTGGTCCCAACTCAGGTTCTTCCAAAAAGCTGTAAAAATTTCTTTTCGTGCTTCTTCTCTGATTTCATTACATTTTCTTTTTGAGCTGTTCTTACAGGTTTCTGAGTTACACCTTTCGCCTTGTTTCCGCTCTTCTCTTTCTATATCTTGAAACGTTCTTTTTTATTTCGTGGTCGCCTAAATCCTGTATAAACCATACCCTTCATTCTAAGTTCCTTATTTCTTTTACGTTTGGACCCAGACTGTGAACTGAAATTATTGTTGATGATAATTGGTGGATTTGTTCCTACGTCTTCCACTGCCGAAGAGCTTCTGTTGGAATGACACATTGAAATTTGATTTATATGAATAGGTGTATCTTCAGCGGAAATGATATCCCACTGTACCCCTGTCTCTTCTAAAACACCATTTTGATCGGCAAACACACTTGAGGAACCTATTACTGAGTGATTATTTATAGCATCTAGGCTGATGTCATGGATTACATTCTGTACAGAAAATGGCACTATTTTATGTTGGTTGGTGTCTCAATTTTCAGGCATACTTGTAGTAGGAGAACCATCGTTCAGATTTCCGGCTACTGCTAGTTCGAAAGCGTGTGATATAGTGCTATTCTGTAGTTCGAGAAAATCTGAATTTAGGACTACGTGGTTCCTCTAAATTTTCTCTGCTATCCACATTATTGTCTGTATTATCGAATACCATCTCTGCTTGGTCTATTAATTTTTCAAAATCCATAGTTTGCTGCTCTTGAGTTGGAGAAATATCTGAAACAATATTTTTCCAATCAAAAAACCTATAGGAGATAATTTTTCCTCAAGTACTACTATGATTTAGGAAAAAGGTTGTTCATTTATTTCACACATGACCAACTAAAAAAAGTATCCAGTAATTTATATAATTATTATATTTAAATCTTTAATAGGATGGGCGAGGAGGGTGAATTTTTAGCCGTCACAATGTTTTCTGGCATTATAAAAATGTAAGAGAAACGAAGGGAAAGCATAACTGATAAGAAAATAAGACATCAAATCAATGGGAACTTTCATCTAATCCTATGGTATACATTCTGTTATTAATATATAAATAATTATAACTTACTTGTGCTTGACAAGGACGCAGCTTGGCACATTTCCAATATTTTTTTGCCACGCATCTTGCAATTTTTGATCTATAACAAAAATAACAAATTGCAAGGAGAAGCACTTATCTTACATGCAAATTCATATTTTGACAGGTCAATAGCACGTATCTACGAAACAACTACTCGTATCGCTAGGCAATAGCTTGTATCTTCTAAATAAGAAATATTTTGTCAATTTCAATGCCACGTATCTGCCACAACTACATAATACAAGCTGAAACAACATTAATTGCTACTTTTCTTGCCAAATATGTCATACAACTACATGTTTAATATATATACCAATACCTACAACAATTAAATCAAATATAAAACGATTTCTTACCTTATTTTTCTGCGTTAAAGCATCAACATCACATAACCACTCTACAGAAGACGCCATATTTTTAGAGATACGAGGTATTGCACGAATTTGAGCGGGAATTATGGGTAAATGCAAGCCAAAAAGGAACCGTTTGATTGTTCAGCACTATCATGCTCTCTAGCTCTTTGTCTATAGCGGGTAATTCAAATTTATCAAAAAATGGAGATACGAGGTATTGCCTTGACACCATCGTTATTGCTGCAACGTTATATGAGAAACTTCGTTGGAACAGAGATGTTGTATGCTTCGGAATTCTGATAAAATTATTTTTCGCACCGGAAGTTTTTTACGTTTTTTTTCTTATTATCCTGATCACAAAGGATGTGTGGTCACTTTTCCCTAAAGCTGACTGTTTTCGAGTTATATGCGATTTAAAGTATGAAAAACGAAAATCGTTATTGAAAAAACTAGTACCGTTGAGGATGTCAAGTGTCTAAATTGAGTGCCAAAATTTCACCTAGAACACATTTATTTTAAAGTATAGTAACTTAATGTTACTAATGTGCTATGGGCCATGCCAGTCAGCGTCTCGTACAGCAGGGACGCGCATTTGGCGCATAACGCGTCAACAATTAAATACTTCAAAATAATTATCCTAAAATACTTGAAAGTCTTGTAGGGGAAGTTTTAAACTTTAATTTGGATGCTTGGAAACCTCCAAAGTAATGATTTTTAGTCTAATCATTGAAAATAGACATTTTTGGGTTTTAACCATAGAAGTTGCAAGAATGTACTATTCTGACATATTTAAGAATAATAATAGCCATTCCATTCATAAGTGTGAACTTGTTTGTATCTCGAAAAACAAATGAGTTATGCGATAACTACGGATGCATTTTTTTATATTGACGCAACCACGCAGGAAGAAGCCTATATGCCAGGACAGTGCGGCTGCTATGAGGATCCCAAATAAATTAATTGTTAATCCGATTTTTGAACCGCCTAAGGTTAGTAAAACTGGGCAAAGCCTCCTCTTGTAGATTGTTCCACAACCTCGACACCCTCGGGACAAAGGAGCGGTCGTAACGGAGAGTTCTGGATGTACGAGGTTCGACACACTTAGGATGGGATTCGAGTCTGTCTGGCAAGCATATCGTGCGGCGGCATCATGCAGGAGAGCTCTAAGGAGCAGAGCCCGTTGGTGTAGGGGTAGAGAGCTAGATCGCCGACGGCCCGCCGGTGCGAGAGGCTCCCGAAACTGTCTGTTAGAGAAGGGTCATCGATCAGTCGGACCGCCCTCCTCTGGACAGCATCGAGCATGGACAATGTAGTCGGGGCGGTAGCACCCCAAACGTGTGAGCAATACTCGAGGCTAGGTCTTATCTGGGCCTTGTATAGAGTGAGTAGGTCATGCGGAGAAAAGTACTTCTTAGCCCTAAACAAATAGCCTAGCTTTTTCTCAGCAGCTGCTGCTATTGACGAGATGTGTTCGTGCCAGACCAGGTCCTCGGTGATCTGGACTCCGACCAGCCGAAAGGAATGGCTCTTTGGCAGAACTCGACCATCCATCGAAACTGGATGAGCGCCAGGACGCTTTTTGTTCGTCAAAGTACAGTATTGTGTTTTGGAAGCATTGAACTGTACAAGATTGTTGCGTCCCCAAGCAGTGATAGCCTCCAGGTCTCTTGTCAGAGAGGAAGTCGTCGCCAGTCTTCTTCTTTCCAGCTGAGCGGCAGAGATCGGCTTGTCACTCTGAATTCCTGCATGTAGAGTGCTGTCATCAGCGAAGCTGTGGATTGGGTTGATCGTGCAGAAAAGGAGGTCGTTAATATGTAAGAGAAACAGTGTCGAGCCAAGACCGATCCCTGGGGAACACCCGCGTTTACGTTGTGGGATGAAGAGGAGAACCCGTCAATTACGACGGAAATCTTGCGGCCAGAGATAAAGTCAGTCACCCATCTGCAAAGCTTTTCTGGAAGGCCAAAGGATGGAAGTTTGCTTAAGAGGGCAGCGTGCCACAGCTGATCGAACGCTTTCGTGATGTCAAGAGCAACGACAAGAGCCTCACCATAAGACTGTATGAGTTTACTCCACAATTGCGTGACGTAGGCTAGGAGGTCCCCTGTGGATCGTTGGTGCCGGAAACCATACTGCCTGACGCTAATCAAGCTGTGACGTTCGAGGTAGTCCAGAAGCTCGCGATTTATGCACCTCTCCATCACCTTACTTAAAACAGAAAGCAGAGCTACAGGTCTGTAGTTGTAAGGGTCGGTCTTAGATCCCTTTTTTGGGATGGGTTGCTCATGAAAATTAAAAATTGAAATTTCCAGTTTTCTGGGAAGGAGCCGGATTGATAAAATTTCTGAAAGAGACGCGAAAGAACTGGAGCAAGCTCCGCTGCACACCTCTTCAGTACAATGGCAGGAATCAAGTCCGGACCAGAAGCTTTGTTGACGTCGAGCGACAAGAGCACTCGTCTTACGGTTTTATGCCATAGTGTAGGGAACCCTTTGAATTGACGGCACTTGGGCGTTGGTGGGGACGTCCATGGTGGAGTTGGCAGCAAAGATCTTGGCTAGCACTTCCGCCTTGGCCTTTGAGTCGAATACAATAGTTCCATCCTGACACGTAAGTGGTGGAAGGCTACTGTGTGAGAAGTTCTTTTCAATCTGCTTGGCCAGCGTCCAGAAAGATCGACTGCCATTGCGCTGCGACATTACCCTGTGCATAACTTTTATATCATGCTGGTTTTTGGCATTGCGAACCTCTTCGTTATATTTGTTTCTGGACTCGACGTCGACTTGTCTGTTCTCTACAGTGGGGTTTTGTAAGAAGGTTCTGTGTGCCTTGATCTTCTGCTGGCGAGCAGTGTCACATGATTTGTTGAACCAGTCGTTGGACCCTGGAGTTTCTGCTGCCACAGCGGGTTCTGACCGAAACCTAACCTCCACAACACCGTGGTCTGAGTTACCCAGGGGGAAAAGGACAGCAGTGCTGTAAGGGACAGGATGCGTGGTCAGAAAGAGATCCAGCAGGCTACTGGCGTGTGACGGGATGCGGGGGAAAAAAGTAGGGCTCGTCACCAGCTAGGTCAGCCCTTGAGTAAGAGCGAACGCTTCGACTGCACGACCTGCTGCATCGGTCTTGTTTGAGCCCAACCAAAGCTCATTATGGGCATTGAAATCACCGAGAAGAACTACCTCTGAAGCAGGGTGATTGACGTTCAGGAAGTCGATCTGGACGGCGAGGTATTCGAGTAGGTCATCCCAGTTATGGTCCAAGGGAGAGCGATAAAGGCAGCAAATAAATTTGGTTGATGTTTTGGAGTCACGGAATGTCCTTCCGGTCTGATTCCAAAGAAACATCTCTGGAGCACGAAAGACTGCTGCCGACAAAAGACAAAAGCCACAACCCCCCGTTCTTTCTCAGATTGGAGTGCACCTCGTAGTTTGGGAAGTTAAGATGGTTAATCGGTGCAGACTGTGAGATTTTTGTCTCCGCCAAGAAAAGCACGGCGGGATGATTGGATTGCAGGTAGGAATGAACAGCATCAATGTTGCTGTTAATCCTGCAGATGTTCGAAAAACAAATCTTATCGTCGATGTTGTTCCCTCGAGCCCACCCTCCACCTGGACATTCCGAGAGTGGAGTGAGTTTACGTCCGGAGTTCTTAGTGCTCGAGGGGATCCGCCATCATTAATTTCTTTGTTTTGGAAGATAACCGACTGCATAGCTTAGGTGAGGAAACCTGCGGACATTTATAAGCAAAAGCTAGCGGGTGGTACTGCCTCGGTCGACTGGTCCTTGTCTACCACCTTCTCTTTACGTGTTAATGATATTAAATAGACCTAAAGTGGCCCGTTGGCGGACTTGTAAACGCCACCCGGCAATCGGTACTGAGGTATTCCTTAACGCGTGTACAATCACTTGAACGGGAAGAAGTTGTATACTGGATACAACAACTTCCGGATCAAGCATTTGCCACGCCCCCGCTTAGTAGGGGGGATGAGTTGACTCCACAAGTGGATCGCTGGTGCTGCAAACCATGCTGCCTGTCGCTAATCAAGCCGTGACGTTCGTGGTAGTCCAGAAGCTCACAAGCTTTATATAGGAATATGAAGAGATACTGAGGAGCCTTAACTTGAGGAGTAACCTGGATAATATTGACTTTAAAACCACCATCGTCATTGGCTAACCATGCCAATGTTGTCATTTACGCTCCTGATAATGTTTTATAATACTCGTGGTGAAATACTGTATGAGTACCAAAATTTTGTATCATATTTTAGCGGTGACCCTGACAAAGCCGACTATTTCGGCAACACGGCCCTTCATCTGGCGGCAGCGCAAGGTCACAAGAACATAGTTACCTTCTTGGTCAACTTTGGAGCGAATATTTACGCCACCGACGTGGACGGAAGAACTCCGCAAGAGTTGGCAGGGATCAACAACAGAGAGGACATTCTACGGCTTATTGATGGAGTTCATGCTAAACTGGAAGCTACTGATAAGAAAAAGGCTAAGGCTATGCAGGAGCGAGCCAAAGAAGATGCCAAGAAAAGAGTTAAGGTAAGGCTTAAGGTAGCGCATAAAATTGCTTCTGGCCGTACAACACAGACAGCTTGCGTAACAACAACCAAATCGTGGGCTGCATTGAGTTTTCATACTGAACGCTCTACGAGCCCCTTCCCACTTCAGTTGGCCCACTTCAAGATTTGTACCAAAATATGCCTTTATAAACTAAACATGACGAAACTATTTACTTCTAAAACAATTTATTTCCTCAAAAACATTTTAGGTACACTCTAGTCGTGAAAAATACATATTTGAAATCACTTAGACCTATAACTAATAGAACATCTGAACAAATAAACAATGTGCGAATAAATGTGCGAAGTTAACAAAGCAACAATTGAAAGATTACCATCGGGTAACATCACCTTTATTTTTTATTACGGCTGAAATTCTTTGTGGCATAGTGTTAACCAAGTTTTGGCAAAAATTTGGTGTAAAACAATCCCATATTTCTTGAAGCTTTTGTCTCAGTCCGGTGATTGTACGAGCAGGATGTTTTCGTAGAACTTTTTTCATCACAAGTTTCAATAGGTGACAGATCTGGACTGCTAGAAACCCATTTCAAAAGTGGTACATTATTTTCTTCCATCCATTTTATAGCCTTTTTAAGGTATGGCACGCTGCACCATCTTGCTGAAACACAAAATCTTGGCCGGATGTCAAACATTCTTCCATCACTGGTAAAAGCGAATCTTCTAAAATTGCCAAATATTTGTTTGTATCCATATTTCCATCAATAAAACGAAGTTTTCCTACTCCTTTTGATGACATACTGCCCCAGACCATAATAGATGCTGGAAATTTCACTTTTCTCTTCAGACAGTCAACATGAAATGCTTCATTTTTTTGCGAATAACTCTACTGCGACTGTCACCATCACAAACTTCGAATCGGGTCTCATCACTCCATTGTATTGCACACCATTGTTGAGGTGTCCATTGTCTATGTTCTTTAGCCCATATAAGCCGATTTTTCTTTTGCAGTGGAGTTAATAGTGGCTTTTCTTTGGCCTATAAACAAGTTGTGCAATTTTAGGGTTTTTATAAGAAAACTTACCTTGCAAGTGCTAAATCCCAGTTTGTGGGCCTCTCTAGGAGTTGTGGACCTCGAAATTCCCCTTCCAACAGCGTCACTCCACAGAGCACTTAATTGTAAATAATTGGCACGCCTGTTTTTCACGATTATTCTTCTTAATGCCCTTCGGTCGGCATTTGTGATATTACTTTTTTTCACACATCGTGGCTTAATATTAACTGAACCAGTTACGTTATATCTTCTAACAATATTTCTCACACTGTACCGCGATAAATCTAACAAAGTTGCAATTTCTGAATTTAATTATCAGTAACCGAATTTTCTCACTAATAACCTTTCCTCTACCCATTTTGAAAACCTTAACTACCCAAAACTATTTTAAACGTATTATGACAGCTGTGATTTATAAAAACAATTGTCATGGCTTTTATTTTTCACAGCCACCTATGCGTTATAGACTTATTTTGCATTGAAATGAAAATAGGTTGATATACTGTAATAATTATTATTTGTGTTTGATAAGAAAAAACTAAGATTTCAATAGTTGGGCCAACTGAGTGGGAAGGGGCTCGTAGTTTGGTAGAAACTATAGATTTATCAGCTTTTTTGATAAACAGTTCGAAAACTAAATGGACTGTTCATTTCCATTCCTGTAGTAACATTGAGATGTTACGTTTTATATGACCAACCTTTTCAACATTTCTACAATTGTTTTTCTTAATGAAATGAAATACGAAAACATCAATAAGACAGAAACCATATAGATATACGAATTTTCAAGTCAAATGTTTCAAAGAAGAAGGGTGGATTTCCTTTAATTTTTCCGCTAACGTTTCAAAATCCCTCAAAGGACCGTATGTTCAGTTTTTTTCTATACTCGTAAATATGTTTCCAGTGAGAATGGAATATTAAGATAACTGATATATTAAGTTCGGAAAAACTCTAAATAAGCCATTCCGATCCTGCCCCTCCCCTCTTACGTCAACGGGTATGATATTTTGTAGTACTATGACGATGTGAGTGTCCATATCGGGTACCGCGCGGTGTGTAGGTTACCCTAGTTTATAAACAAACCGCATTTGAAAACGGAAATCGGGACAGCAATAACGTATTTATCGATTTGATGTTAATTTTCTGTGAGCATCTTCAAGATCCTGTTGACACTCCGCGAGGGATGTCTTTTAACTTTTGCATATAGAAACATAGTAGGCCGCGCGGATCGAACGTCAGTACTGAATCTTAACCTCACTCTTTAGTAAACTTAAATTCAAAGTTTCACAACAATACGTGCAGTGTTCCCACTACAGTGAATTTTTAAGTGTCACCAAGTCATTAGAAAAATGGAACTCAACCGAGAACATTTTCGCGCCATAATTTATTACAACTTTCAGAGACAATTATCGTAACAAGAATGCCTTGCTGAGTTACTGTCTGTTTTCGGCAACGAAGCGCCACATCAGTCGACAATTTCCCGTTGGTATGGAGAATTCAAACGTGGATGGGTGAGTCTAAGCGACGATCCCAGGGCTGGTGCACCAAAAACGGCAGTCACCCAGGAAAACGTCGATGCTGTGCGCAAACTCATTATTGAAGATAGACATGTGACATATCGCGAAATTGAGGCGTCCTTGATGATCTTCACGACCACAATTCAAAAAATTTTACATGAAGAATTAGGAGTAAGACAATTATTTTCTCGTTGGATACCCCACCTGTTGACTGAAGAGCAGAAAGCAGCCAGGGTTAATTGGTGTCAAAAAACCCTTGACCGTTTCAATTCCGGAAACTCAAAAAATGTGTACAACATTGTTAGTGGTGATGAATCGTGGATTTACTGTTATGAACCAGAAAATAAACGACAGTCGGCTGTTTGGGTGTTCCAAAGTGAAGAAAAGCCAACATAGTCATCCGTTCTCGAAGAGTTTCGAAAAAGATGGTCGCGACATTTGTGTCAAAAGCCGGTCATTTTGCAATAATTCCTCTTAATGAGCAAATAACTGTTACTGCGGATTGGTATACCACCATTTGTTTGCCAAAAGTCATTACCGAGCATCGAAAAATCAACCCCGAAAGAAGAATCATCCTCCATCAAGACAATGCAAGCTCGCACACAGCCCAAAAAACAAGGCAGTGATTAACGGAAGAAAACGTGGAATTATTGGACCATCCTCCATATAGTCCCGATCTAAGTTCTAACGATTTCTTTACTTTCCCGAAAATTAAAAACAGACTGCGTGGTCAAAGGTTCCAGTCACCAGAAGAAGCAGTTGACGCATTCAAAAATGCCGTTTTGGATCTGCCAGCAAACAAGTGGAATAAGTGCTTCGAAAATTGGTTCGAGCGCATGCAGATGTGTATTAATCTTCGTGGAGAATACTTCGAAAAACAATAAAGTCATTTAAAACTACCTACCGTGTTGTTTTATTTCCATATGCAAAACTTAAAAGACATCCCTCGTATTTGACCATTCAGAACGTCTTCGTCGTCCTCGACATTTCCATCAGAGCTGCGTAGGTTTGTTTATATCGTGGACAAAGTAGAAGATCTAGACAGGCCCAAATTTACAAATTTAAGAAGAAGTAAACTATTTTTCTTCAATTTCTTTCTTACGTTTTCGGTGCTGTTTTCTGCAAATTATTTCAAACGTATTTTTTTCTCAAAAGGAAAGTTCCAACTTTCAGGACACTCTTAATGTGCGTAATTCGAAAATTGATTTATGTTAATCAGTGAAAGGTACTGAGTCAAACTAATTCATACCTCACTCTTTATTAGGAAGCAATTTTAATTTTTAGGAATTTACAAAGAGAATGCAGAAACAAGAACAGACCCTTGAGAAATTAGAACGCAGGAAAAGCAAGACAGACCACAGACCTTCTGTGATAGAGACATTGAGATCCAGGATGGGCGTGCCCAGCCTATCTGGTACCGGTACGGTAGAAAGACGGAGCACTTACAGTTCTTTAATCAGTGGAGGAACCATGACGGGCAAAGGTACCATGAGTTCAGTCCAAAGGAAGATACTGGCGAATAAAAATAGCAGATTAGGAACGATTGACGACGAATTCAAGGTAAAACAAGATTTTGAAGGTTCAGATTTCATAATATTGTAGTAGTAATGGGTGATTTTTTTGCTAGTATCTTTTTGGTGACACTGTTTTTGACAGATGACACGTGAATCGTGTCTTGTGTCATTGTCAAACTTGTTCAGTTTGGTCTATAATTTAACCAAAAAATCCAAAACTTACGAACGAACAACGCTTGCAAATTATTGAATTTTACTATCAAAATTCATGCTCGGTTAAGAGAGTGCATCAAGTACTGCTTCCAATTTATGGGCAATTTGGTCGGCCTACTGAGGGAGCTATTCGGAAGCTGGTGACTAAATTTCGAACCCAGTTTACATTATTGGACATTAAACCACCAACACGCAGACGTAGAGTGAGGACTGAAGAAAATATTGCGGCTGTATCCGCCAGTGTTAGTGATGACCGTAAAATGTCGATTCGCCGTCGTTCGTAGCAATTGGGCCTCTGTTACTCCACTACGTGGAAAATTTTGCGACACAACATTTCCAATTTGGTGAATGGGCGCTGGCAAAGTTGGAGGAAGATCCAAATTTTTATCGAAAAATTGTGTTCAGCGACGAAGCTCATTTCTGGTTGAATGGGTACGTTAACAAGCAAAATTGCCGCATCTGGAGTGAAGACCAGCCAGAAGCATTGCAAGAGCTACCAATGCATCCCGAAAAAATCACTGTTTGGTGTGGATTATGGGCCGGTGGCATACTTCTTCAAAGACGACAATGGCCGGAACGTAACTGTGAATGGCGAGCGCTACCGTGCGATGATAACAAACTTTTTGTTGCCCAAAATGGAAGAGCTGGACTTGGCTGACATGTGGTTTCAACAAAACGGTGCCACATGCCACACCGCACACGAAACAATGGCCCTATTGAGAGACGAGTTCGGTGAACAGTTTATCTCACGTTTGGGGCCCGTCAATTGGCCGCCTAGATCGTGTGATTTAACGCCGTTGGACATTTCTTGTGGGGCCATGTTAAGGCTAATGTCTACAGGGATAAACCAGCAACGATTGACGCACTGGAAGAAAATATTGAAGCATTTATTCGTGAGATACCGGCCGATATGTTGGAGAGAGTGTGCCAAAATTGGACCTTGCGCATTGGCCATCTAAAGCGGAGCCGCGGCCAACATTTACATGAAATAATCTTTAAACATTAAATTATATCGACCGTTCTATCGACTCAAATAAAGATTGAATTGTTTTTTAAAATTTTTTGTGTCTTTTTTGAAAATCAAATCCTATACCTCTTAAAAAATCACCCGTTATTTATGACTATGTTCTAACTAGATGCTACGTCAGTTCTCAAAGGATGCTACTGGACATGTTTTAGCAATATTTTAGAAAAATTAATACATACTTGAATATGTAATAATAAACTACCTTATCATGATTTTTTGTGCAACGTTCTAGATAAGTGGGATAGAAGATGGAAAACGCACTGTCAACTCAATTAAAGGCATTAGAAGAGATTCTGAAGTCCTTTATGGAGGAACATTAGAAGCAACGAACTTCGCAAGAAGAGGAAGACTGGATGGAGTTTTTAATGAGGCAGAACAGGTCTGTATAACTTTTTTAACATTAAGCGCTGTATCATCAGTCACTCCTACAATTGTAGGACGCCTTTATGGTCTCCTTGCGCGCGGTTACCAATAAAAAAATACAAGGTTTATATTTGAAATGTTTTGGGATATTGTTAATAAGTTTGAAGAATTGTCAGGAACTTTTTCATATTGTTTCCCGAGCCGAAAATAGCGTATTTCGCATTTTCTAACTATCAAATCCCTTATACCTTGAAAACAATCAAGAGAGGGGTTTATAAGAACCTTTTTTGTTCTGAATGACCGAAAACAAAAACAATGTTTCGAATTTGTCTGAAAAATTATGTATTCAGTTTTGGGCCTGGCAACATGCAGATTCGATAAATTGAGTTCTTTTTGAATTCGCCAGTATTAACAGTTATTACTCGTTGTAACCTGAGTTTTCACTTGGGTTGTCAAGAATCTCCAAATAAACACCGGAACTACTCAAATCATTCTACGGATCACTGAAATTATTGATCTGCTCCGAGTAATGTCTCGTTAATCTCTGACTTGAGCCTATCTCACATCTACAGGCGGTTGATGATCTACCATCAATATGACTTTGCAACCCTCATATCAAATACATATTTTTACCATTTCCATTTTTCCTATATTAAATAGTTTTAATTCTGATTGCCCATTTTAATTTTTTTGTAGGTCGGCAGCAAATATCCCCCACCACCAGGCGCCCTAATAAGATCAAAATCACAACCAGATTTCTTCCAAGACGTCGGAAAGAATGAGAAGAAAGAAATACCCAGTATCTTTGTAAGACCGGGAATAGGAAGCATCGTAATAAGGTATAATCTATGACCAATACTCGAAAGAACATTATGTATCAAATACTGTTTCAGAAAAAGTCTGAACAGCACATTTGGGGGATTTTATGGCAATAATGAAGAAAGTTCCATTGGTTCAGGAGAAAGTTATGGTCCAAGGCAAACTACAGATGACGAACTTTCAGGTAAAAGAAATTATATAGCCCACAGATGGCCAGGAAAGAACAAGCTTTAATTCTTATTATACAGGGTGTTAAAAGAAGCAAAAAGTTTCATATAACAAGGGGGTCAAAACGGCATTTTTTAGAGAAAAGCGACTTTAAAGTAAAATAAAATCTGACAACGCCGCAATGACAGACGCAAATTACGACGGAACGCAGTGTAAATAAAGATGGAATTTGTTATTTTTGGCTCTTAGGTATTATTTCATTATTTGATAATGTACTCGTAAAATGCAAACAATTAAAAAAACAGACTTACCACTTACTGCCTCAACGCTTCACCTGGTGTGTGAAAGTTTATTGAACGTATTAAAAAAATCCACTTATAAATAGGGAACACAATTTTGATACATACATTGTTTTTCTTTTTAAAACCCACACTGCACTTTTTTTGTATTTAAAGAAGGTGTTCAAAATGTCGTCCTCCACTTTCCACGCAAGCTTCATTATGACGAACCCAGTTTCTTCTTACAGCCGCATTAACATTTTTTTCGCGACGTTGTGCTTCAGTTGTTATTGGACCAGCCCCATAAACCATCCCTTTAAGTTCTCTCCAATACCAGAAATCCATCGGATTGAGGTCAGGAGATCTTGCTGGCCATTTTCGAGGATCAGGAGCATTTCGATCGATCCAGCGATTTGGATAATGTTCATTCAAATACTGAATGACGCCTCTAAAAATGTGTGGTGGTGCCCCGTCATGAAAAAAACCACAAATTCTGTCTCCGTTGTAATGGCATGTTGTCTAAGGTCTGTTTCAAAAGTTCTGGTAGGTTATTGGCTAGAAAGCTAAGGTATCCTTCTCCTGACAACTTTGGGGGTAACACGAAAGGGCCAATTACCTGATCGTCAAGAATACCCGCCCAAATATTTACTATATTTTAAAACGTTGTTGTAAATTACCTTCACGAATGGTATGAAGATTTTCTTGAGCCCACATGTGAGTATTATGGAAATTTAATATCCCGCCTCGCGTAAAAGTACATTCGTCCGACGCTACAATGTTTTTAAAAAAATCTGGATTTTCAATGTTTTTGTGCAAAAACCACTGACAGAATGTTAGTCTGTGAGGATAGGCTTCTGGTAACAAGACCTGCACTCGTTGTACATGGTAGGGATAAAGCAAATTTTCCCGTAGGATTCTATGGACTATGCTATGCGTTAGTCCTACGCGGCAGCCTAATTCCCGAGTGCTGATATCTGCATTGATTTCCACGATATTTAAAATTTGTTCCTCCTGCTCTACAGTAACCTGTCTTTCACGAGTGCGAATATTAGTGGGCTGAACACTTCCAGTATCTCGAAGTCTTTGGTACACTTGCACAAATGTCCTTCTGTCTGGGTGTACACGTTGGCGAAATATGTCGCGATAAATTTGAGCTGCAAGATTTAAATTCTGATGAGCTTCACCGTAAACTAACATGTCGCCGAACTCTTGATTCGAGAACATTGTAAATAAACACGACGACGTACGCGAACAAAAACAAAACAACACGCCCGATGCGCGACAAAACGATAAAGTAATTTATCTATGCAAAACGATAACTAACCACTGTTACCGTTTGCGATCGATTGCCGGTTCGATAAGGGTGATGAAAGACCGACGCGCTGTTGTCATGTGTGTTTTAAATATTTAATTCAATGAAACTTACTTACTTACTGACTACAAATTTTGGCTTAACTTAGGAAGACTTAATGCCATTTATTTGTTGATTACCCAATTTAAAAACGTTTTAGATTATATTATAAAAATTAGTAAGATTGTGGTAGATATAAAGCACTTAAAGTTGTAAACTATAAAGCCATTTAGACAAAAATATATTGACTTTTGGACCATGGGTCATATGAGCTTTTTGAATTGTTTTGACCCCCCCCCCCCCTATTCCCCATTTCAATAATGACTACCATAACGTTTACCACTATTCATACTTTTGATACAATTTAAAACCTTTGTAGATTCTGAATCAAGTGAAGAGGAAGACAACCCAAATGGTCCCTTAGAACGATTCCTAACAGCCTTTGGACTGAGCGAATACCTTCAGAAGTTCGTAGATCAAAAAATTGATCTGGATACCCTCATTATATTGACTGAAAGTGATTTAAAAAGCCTGAACTTGCCCTTAGGTCCATACAGAAAACTCGTCAATGCAATAAACGAGAGGAAGGCTGCTTTGGAAAACCCCGGAGAAGTCAAAGACAGTGTATTGTAGGTTTTTAAATAATTACATAGAAATTTGAAAATCGTTTAAGTTAGATCTTAGAGGAATATTTTTGTCTTGGTTGTACAATTTTTCTTACTTATCGCGTGCCTATTTGAAACAGCTTCAAATAAAATCAATTAGATTTCATCTAAAACAAGAATGGGATAAATTGAACCAGGATTTAAGAGGCTTGAAATGAAAGATGACTTTTAGATTCAGTATTATTTATAAAGAAATGTCCTATGAAAACTATTTATAAATTAAAACGGATTATTAGCAAAATATGCTTTTAAGTCTGTTAAACAGAGTAACTGAACATGGATGTACATTTTGGTTTATTTATTGTTTTATAAAATTAGCTAGTCATAAGGATAATAAACAATAAAAACAATCGACGTCTTACTCCTAAAACGTACCTTGTGCTGTTTAGTATTTACTGAAACATACTTACGATGGGCCCGAACTTCAGTAAGTTTTATTTTAGTGGTGAACTATTTGTCAACATGGTTTATTTTATGTTACTGTTGGCTGCCAAGTGATGAATATAAAATAGTTAGCTGAAAATGCATATGTTCTGTCTTTTGTAGTATGCTTTTTTGTCTGAGGGTTGTCTCAAAAATAAGGGAAATATGGCAACACCGTCATGTTTGACTGCTCCCCCACCACCGGTCCCAACAAGAAGCGCCTATTTGCGACGCAAAAACGTTACCATGCATCCACAGAAATTCATCGCCACTTGAGTGAAGTATATTGGGAAACGTATATAGCAGCAGGTCCTCAAGGCCGCACGGACATCCACGATGAACAACGAAGCAGGATTTGGCGATTTGGCTGGGAACTTATTGCCCAACTCCCTTACAGCCCTGACAGCGTTCCCGAAATTGACGGAGCACCTAGGCGGTCAACGGTTCGAGGCAAGGAGCAGTTACCAAGTTTCTAAACGGGTTGGTGGCAAACTTCTTTGAGGCATGACTACACAAGTAGATTTCACGTATAAAAAAATGCGTAGAAAAAATAGCTACTATGGAGAAAAATAGCTTAAAGATCAATGGTGAATTCGTATTTCAAACAAAAAATTATTTGTGCTTGGAAAAAAGTGGGAACCCCTCGTATAACAGGAAAATCAATAAAAATATTAGTTGATTTCAAAGATATATTGATTGATGCCATATACGAATCCATCAAGTATATCTATACAAAAAATTAATGCTTAGTGCTAGTGTTGTAAGGATACAATGAAAAAGCCGACGCATTTTCTGGGGCTTCATCGTCAGAATCCGTTTCACCGTCAGACTCGAACGTATTATCGGGAATGTCATACAATCGAATCATTGGCTTGTTGGGATCCTTCATGATCAAGTACTTTCCGTCTTTCTGTTTCATGACGATGTCTACAATGCACCTGAAAAAAAAAGATGATGTGGAATGGCTAATAATATTACCTAATCTCCACCAGTCTAATGATTTGGTGTTCAAAAGGATGTCTGGAAAGTTTTGTAGAAGTGCATATCTCCCGATTTCAATATACTCTTCACGAATTTACTTTGCTACCTATAGGCATATGATAAACTGAGATAGAAACAATGGCCGACAATTTATGTACTAACGTTTTTTGCACAATATTTTCCTGATCTGATTAAAAAAGTACATTTTCTATTCATATTTCAGTTAGTGATCATGTTCATAAATAAAGTTTCTGCAGCTCCATTAAAAAACGGATCTTACTTAGAAATATGGCACTTATATGAAGTAAAAAAGTGAAATAATAACTTTTATTCAAATTGCTGTGCGGATATGAAACGTCAACAGGAAAAATGTCAGATTTACATAAGCAAAAGAAAAACATACACACATGACTAAATTAGAAAAAAATAAATCGTAGGTTATAAAATAAGTAGCAAAAACAGTATGTTTGTTTAGAAGTATAAATAGACTTATAATCTATATCTGCAAAAAAGTTGAAAATGACTTGGTTACAAATCCGAATCATTTTTGGTCTTTCATCCAGTCTAAGAAAGGCTCATCTAGAATACCAGTTAGGATGACCCTTGCTAATTAAGTCTCAGATAATAATAATCGGACTATTAGTTCATTTCCAGAGTATCTCCAAAGTGTGTTATAGATAATACTTTATACCAACATCCCGTTAATACTCAGCATGACTGTTTTCATCTTACAGATGAGGATATTCTAAAGGCACTGTGTAAATTACCAAACAAGTTAACAGCAGGAGAAGATATGGTACCGAGCTTTATAGTCCGTGATGCATCGCACATATTTGTCACGCCTTTAAAGAAAATTTTTTCCCAGTACAGCAACTTTTCTTACAAAATGAAAACTGGCTAGAGAGTGCCCTATTTTTAAAGCTGGGGACCCTAGTAAAATCGAAAATTACCGAGCTATATCTATATTGGATAATTTTAGTAAGGCATTTGAAATATCTGTATACAACTACATCTATCCTTTGACCTCCCATCTGATATCTGAGACGCAACATGGATTTATGCGCAATCGCTCTACTATTTCTAACTTAACTGAAATCACCCAGGAAATTGCAGAGGTCTTAGATAATAGGGGTCAGATGGATGTGGTCTATATGGATTTCTCAAAGGCCTTCGATAAGATTAGTCATCAAAGAATCATAGGTAAACTTCAGTATTTTGGTTTTAGCAATAATTTATTAGATTTCATTTCTTCTTACTTGCATGATAGAAATCAGTACGTTTCTTACAATCGTTTCAAATCTTCACTTTACTCGGCCTCATCCGATGTACCGCAGGGATCAAATTTAGGCCCTCTTCTCTTTCTTTATTTGATCAATGACCTCCCTAACTGCTTAACCTATCCTTCTCTGTTGTTTGCCGATTATTTAAAAATATATGCTCAGATTAACAGCATCGATGACTGTCTAATCTTGCAAGCTTACCTGAATCATATATTTGAATAGTGTTCAACTAATAAATTATTTTTGAATGTTAGCAAATGCAAAACCTGTTCTTTTACCAGGAAAACGAATCCAATAGTTTTTGATTACACAGTAGAAGGTGTCAGTTTGATGCGTTGATCAGAAGTAAGAGATCTAGGTGTGTTGTTTGATGTTAAATTAGAATTTACAGGTCATATTAATACAATAGTATCATCTGCTATAAAAAGTCTAGGTTTTTTTATAAGAAATTGTAAATCGTTTGCTAGTGAAACGGTACTGCAGGCCTTATACTACACCTTGGTGCGTTCTAAGCTGGAATATGCCTCTAGTGTATGGCATCCATATTACCAAATCTACACTAATGAAATTGAAAGTGTACAGAGGAAATTTCTTAAATACTTGGCTTTCAAATTAGATGGTGTTTATCCCAATCGTGGGACTCCCCAGTCAGCGATGTTGCTCAGATTTGAAATGCATCCTCTTGAGCTGAGAATAGTTTGTAATAGTTTAACATTCCTTTACAAACTCGTACACAGTGATGTTGATTCTTCAGCTTTATTAGCTAAAATTGATTTTCATGTGCCGTCCCGCATTTCCCGAAGATTTCTCGCTTTTTACTTAAAAACACCAAATTCTAATGTTATGATTAAGTCACCCGTGTACTTTATGTGCTCCAGCTTTAACACCATAGCTGATAATTGTGACATTCATCATGATAAAGTCAAAGATATATTAGCTGTATTCAGCGACTAATATTATTCAATTTATAACATTTAAGACATGTAGGTGAGTAGATGTAGCTATGCATTTTTTTCCTTTCATTTTTCAGAAACTGGGAGAGCTATGATTGTAGTTAAACATACTGTAACGTCAAATTGTATTCAATTACATTGACCTTTAATGGATGTATCTGTTGGGCAATAAATGTATTATTATTATTATTAAATCGAAGAATAGAAAAAGTATGCAGCATGAATTTATAATAAGTAAAATAATCAATAAAATAGATAAATATGTAAAAACACTTAGGATATAAGTATGTTTTTTTTGAACGCTTTCAAGCTGTTGATGGCTTTCAACTCGGAGGGCAAATTATTGAAGATAGATCCCCATAGGTAGTCAGGTCTATTACAGTATGTGCTGAGGCTATATTTGTTCAGTGTAACGTTGTGATGATTCGTTAGATCGTATCTCTGGGACTCTTTTAGGTAAGTTATTTTGAAAGGAGATGATTTCACGTGAAGGCACGCCTCTAGGATGGGCAATGATGGTAAAATTAGTATTTTTTCACCTCTAAATCTTTTTCGTCATGATTCCAGAGGGTGCAATGAGAATAAGAGTCTGACTATTCTTTTTTGGAGGATGAAGATTCGTTGGGCCTCAGCAGATGATCCCCAATATAGCGCTAAATATTTGAGATGGGAATATACAATAAATGTTTTTTATTCATCACATATTTTAAGTTTCTTGGAGCAAAAAATGCCGAATCCATTTTTTTACTACATACCCTATGTGGTCCTTCTAGCTCAAATGTTCATCCACTATTAGGCATAAAAATGTTATGTTTTGTACTCTTTCCAGTGACTTGTTATTTATTGTAACTGAGATGTTGTTCTGCAGCCTTTGTTAGTGATACAAGATATATTTGGTTTTATTTGTATTAATTAGTAACATATTTAGTACTACCCACTTTTGAAAACTTGGTGACTTTTCTGATACAGTTATAGTTGTGTCATCGACAAGGGTTACCAAGAGCCAATTATTATCAATTATGCGCGAAATGCATCGTGACACTTTTTGAAACATATGCCATATAAAATAAAATTAGTCATATTACCTCAAAATACCCCACGCATTATCCATGTTCAAATTGATCTGAGTAGCAAACTCGTGCGGCTTGTACTGCTGCGTACCCAGAATGACGTGTTTGCTATTATCCCTCACATGAGCTCTGGACACATAACCGAACTTGATCTGGTCACTGCCCGCCAACAGAGCCTGCACGGTCCATTTGGCCAGCTTGCACGCATTGTTCCTTAACTCGTTCGCCAAGACGGCACCTCGTTGGGTGTCCAGTTTCTGGCGCCACTCCACTCCGTTGGCCAGTTTTGAGTCCCATTCGTTCAGGGCTTTGATAGTCAGGAATTGAAGCTCGCCGTTGGGGGATTGGACCACTGCGTCGTGCTCGCAACGAGCTACCAGTACCTGGTGAGAGAAAAATAATTAAGAACAACAGAAAAAAATTCAGAATTCGCCATAAATATGGAATAAGTCCTCGTGATTACTTGGTTTGTTTTTGGTGCAACGTCGTTAAAATTAGCAAATCATTGCACAGTCTTTTGGCTACAACTAATTTTCTTGTAAAGAGTTGAAAATCAGTCCAGAGTTACGTGTATTGAAAATATTTCCTGGAGCTGTCGACGATAAATAGAGATAGACATATCCGTTTAAAAAATCTCCATTTCAGGCATTAGGATGTTGTTATTAAGGTATTTAAGCTGCTGCTATCATTCACAGGTGGAAACTTGGAAACTGAACAAACGCTAGCTCTCGTAGATCGTAGATGTATATTTTTTAAATGTGAACACCGCCCCAGAGAACATATGTACAGTAGCGGACAAAACTTTGGAAACAAATATTAACATTATTATGAACTATTTCATATACCTAAATTAAAATTGTGAAGGAAAAGATAATATAAATATTAAAGTCTACCTTTGGCTCCCATACTAATACAAGGTTTATCTTATCAATATTTAAATTCTCTGAAAATAAAAACGCGCATTTTTTTAAATACCACAGTTTTTGTTAACGACAAAAGTATGGAAACATTTCAGTTTTGCCGTATTTATTCGTTCTGCGATATTGCGTGCCGTAAACATTAACATCAGTGAGAATGGCAAAAGTAAAAAAAATTCAAAGGATTTAAGAGACAAAGTAATTGAATTATTCAGAAGTGGTGTCGGAAATGTTGTCATTTCTCAAAGATAAAAAATGAACAAAGGGACGATTTCGAAAATTATTAGTAAATATCAAGAATACGGATCAACAGCAACGCGGCCCAGGAGTGGAAGACCAAAAAAAACCGATGTTTTGGATCGCTACATTAAACGTTTGTCCCATGAAGATCATCAAATGCCAGCCACACATATTTTCAAAAGAATCGTAGAAGAGGGTGCAGATAATCTTTCGGTCAGAACAGTGCAGAGACGTTTGGTGGATTTTGTGTTTTTGGTAGGCGTCCAGTGCAAAACTTGGACAGAACAACAATGGAATATAGTTTTATGGAGAAATGAAAGCAAATTCAACTTGTTTGGATCTGACGGGAAGGCATATGTGAGACATCCAATACGAAAGAGATTCGACAAACACTATCAGTTGCCAATAGTTAAGCACAGTGGAGGCAACATCATAGTTTTGGGGCTGTTTTTATAGTTCTGGAACGGGACCAATTGTTCAAATTGTTGAGAAAATGGATCAAAAGCTTCACAAAGAGATTCTTAACACATACTCCCTTTTGCTAATGAAGAAATGCCTTTACGATGGACATTCCAGCAAGATAATGTCTCCAAGCATGCCTCAAAATTCGTAAAGACAAAAATGTTAATGTTCTTATGTGGCCTTCGCAATCATCATTCATTCATATTTTTTCTCCTGTACCCTTCATGTATAGTCGGTGCCTGGAGTGTCTAGGATATTGTAGTGGAAGGCCAAGTCCATCTTTTCAAATAAATCTAATTTCAGAATCAGTCCCCCACTTAGGTATGATGGGATTGATATTATTTTCGTTTTTTTTTCGCCACAAATCGCATACCAGTGTACTGCTACCGAGAAACGTTCAAGGAAGTTTTCTGGTCATTGCCAATAACGATTACACTCCCTCAACAATTGATGACTATCTATCTCCAAGAATAATGAGTATGCCTGAACAATTTTGTATATGTATGAAATTATGAGGATGCGGTATCTAACAAGGGGTAGCTTGGTAATAATGGTCCTAAAATTTCGAAAAAGACACTTACAGCTACTTCAGGGCAAAGCGGCAAATTCATTAATTGAAAAGTACGATGTACTTTTAAAGCAGTAAAAAGCTAATTTTGACGCAAAGTACTGAAATTACAGAAAACTTTCATGATAATGATAATACTTAAATAACATACAGTGCTTTTCTTTAATGTCCCCCTCCCCTTTGAATTATTGAACGGATCAATTCAAAAAATTAAAACTTGAGGGAATGAAATTGATGCGTGAATACCATATTTTAGAATAAAATTGACAGATGAAAATGTCAAGATGGCCGCTGGGGCCATCTTGGAAAAAAACGGGGAGGGGGGTCCTGTGGCACATCATTTTGAAGCTCCTGGCGAGTACTTTATAACCCTAGAATATAAAGTCAATAACTTTACCTACTACAAAATGATGGTACATTTAATAATTAGCTGAATACATTGACATTTAACTTGATAATTCGAATAAATACGTTGAATTGAGTTCAGTTTAGAAGATGCTGGAAATGGTTGCCTTAAACTTCTTGACACAATAACAGCCGGTCCGTAATTTCGCGTCGAACATTTTCAAACATAGTAACATCGATATTTCTACAAATATTTGTCATTCTCAGCCTTATATCCAATATTGAAGCAGGTTCAGTTTCGTACTCCTTTTGCTTCAAATAGCCTCATAAAAAAAGTCTAAAGGTGTAAAATCTGGCGAGCGAGCTGGCCATTCCACAAGACCTCGACGGCCAATCCAACAACCGGGGAAATTGTTATCTAAATAATTCCTAACTTGTCTGTAGTATTGTGGTGGAGCACCATTTTGCTGGAATACAATATCAGTATCGAATTCATTAGGATTCGCTTCGACGATTTCGGTGATTAGAGGGTCAATAGTATTTTCCAGCATATCCAAATACAGTTCCCTGGTTAAAGTTTGTTTGATGAATAAAGGCCCCACAATATGTTTTCCCAATATCCCAGCCCAAACGTTATTTTTTTGTGGATATTGAGTATGAGTTTCTCGGAAGACGTGAGGATTGGTAGTAGTAGTAGAAAGATTTATTTAGCACATTTGGCTACATAAACTGAATAATTGTAAACAACTTAGAACTAGTAAATTCAAGCCATATGGTGTATGATGTAAATGCTAGGCAACCTATAATTGTAGATTTAACAAGTGTTCTCAATTTTACTTTAAATTTTGTCAAAGTTTTCTGGTCTTTTATCACTGAGTATAATTTATTATATTCAATCAACCCTTGATGGAATACAGATTTGTAGCATATGTTATACTTTTTGGTCATTAAATGGAAATCATCTTTATTTCTGGTATTATGTAAATGATGGTCAACATTTGATGATGTTAAATTAGTTAGACTTGATGGAAATATATTATTTTTTACTTTATAAATGAATATCATTACAAGATGTTTGATAAAAAAAGTTTACATTGAGCCATTTTAATTTGCTACGCATTTGCCTAAGTGGAGTATATTTAGTATTATTCTCATGCACTTATTTTGTAAAATTTGCAGTCTTTCAAAAATGGAATTATTTACTAAATATAGAATAGTCGAACAGTACAAGAAATTTGGAAGAATGATGCTATTATAGATAATTTTTCTGCTATATGAACTCAGACATCCAGAAACTCTCGATAAATATCACACTTTACTACTAATCTTATTTATAACTTTTTCATAATGAATATCAAAAAATAATCGAGAGTCAACAAAAACCCCCAGGTATTTAAAATTTTCTACGAATTCAATATCTTCACCATCAATATTCAGTTGAACATTTGTACATTGTTTTTTTCCGATTAACAAGGCTTTCGTTTTACTTGTATTTAATTTTAGTCTGTTAGATGCTAACCATTTTGAGACAAGTTTCAAGTCTTCATTTATATAAGAGATACCAGTCTGAATATTTTTAGTACTTATATAAATCATAGTGTCATCGGCGAAAATCTGAATTTTGCATTTTTTGGCTATGGCAGGTAAATCATTTATGTATAAAATAAAAAGAAGTGGTCCCAGGATACTGCCCTGTGGAACACCAAACCTATTTTCAATCTTTGATGAAATAGTGTCATTAACTTTTGTAACTTGCATCCTTTTAGACAAATAATTTCTAAACCGATCTAAAACACTTCCTGTTATACCATATGCCTTCAATTTACCTAACAAAATATCTCTATCAATCAGGTGTCGCTCCAATAACGAGATTTTTGTCTATGCACGTTACCGTTACCGAAAAAATGTACATTCATCACTAAAACAAATATTTTGGATACAGATACGATGCCGTGCAATGGTTTCCGTCATAGTCTCGCAGAATTCTGTTTTTCGATCAGGGTCCTCTTCAGTTAGCTGATGTACTATTTGAATTTTGTGTGGGTGATACTTATTCTTTTTCAAAAGTCTCCATATAGTAGGACAAACCTCACATACATTCGCGATGGAGAAAGTAGACTGTTGGGGATTTACTATGATCTCACCAATTATTTGAACTTGCTTTTCTTCCGGGATGGTCGGATGACCTGGGGGCTTTGATTTTTCCTTCCAATGGACGAGAATTGACACTTTTAAAAATAGTTCAAACAGTATCTAGCACTAAAACCAAAAACTAAAGAATATTTTAACTGTACAATGATGTTTGTTTTCGTACTGATATTGTCAGCAAAAAATAAAAAAACAAGTTTTTATCGCTGTTGCTGTGGATACGCAAGTAATTACAATTATTTGTAGAGATATGCATATTAGTGGGTTTGTGTTCAAGTAATTATTAAATGTACCACGATTTTACAGTAAGTAAAGGTATTAAATTTATATTCTAGAGTTATAAAGTACTCGTCAGGAGCTTAAAAATGATGTGCGCCCAGCCGCCATCTTGACATTTTCATCTGTCAATTTTACTCTAAAATATGGTATCTACGCATCAATTTTATTACCTCGTTTTAATTTTTTGAATTGATCCGTTCAAAAAAATAAAGGGCAGCAGGACATTAAAGAAAAGCACTGTATAAACAATCTATAAGGTAAGGACAATTGTATTTCTGAGATGGTATGAAATAATAACTTACAATTCCGCCGCCCAAGTCCCACTTTCTATAGCGGTAAGCTACGCTGGCGACTTCTCCCTCTTCCTCATCAGAAACAAATGGATTTGGATGTTCAAACTTGTAACGTGGCTCATTAGGACCGCTTCTCAGTACCTAAAAATAAAAAATACAATCAAGACCAACCTATCTTGGTTGATGCTGGACAAATCAGGGTCACATTTGATATTATATATTTTTGTTTAGAGTATGGTAGATCAAATGAAGAAACATTTCAAGAACATACTTGTTGGCTGAAGTTATGATTGATGAATGTAGCTTCCAGCGCTAAATTCCTCGGCGAATTCAATGAGTTTCCATCATCTTGAGGTGGCTCAACGGCCGTTTCGTTCACTGTCAATAGATCAAACTCAGTGTTGTCTCTTTTGTCAAAGAACAACTTATCACCTGTAAAATCGAATAAACACAATTAAAAGTTCTGTCCATATGTGAATCTTTTCTATTATTAGCTCAACAGGTTGTTACCTCTTTCAGTTATCAGTATATACAGTAGCGGACAAAAGTTTGGAAACATTTTTAAGGATTATTTTTTTTTTCATATAGTTTGCCTACAGTCTTGAGGATACAATTTGTTTGCTGTGGTACTACAGACTAGCATTAAAATACCTTCATATTATTTTATGACCAAAAATGAGACGACAAAAGTATGGAAACATATTTTTATTATAAAATTAAATACAATAACTCTAGAAAAAGACTTAAAAAATACTATTTAGTTAATATTTGGAAGCATAGCCTTTAGCATTCAACACTGCACGATGGATTTATAATTGAAAATAATAAGATTAAACAGATTAACAAGTATAAATATTTATGAGTTATGATAGACTCAAATTTAACATTCAATAGTCATGCAGATTATATTATAAAAAAGTTTCTACTTATATATAAAACAACAGTCATGCCTCACTTTAACTACTGTACCTCCATATTATATATATATATGTTTCAGAAAGGTGATATAGATTCACTACAGAGAAAACAAAATCAGGCTCTTAGATGTATATTAAGATGTAATAGATACACAAGAATTAAAGGCATCTACAGAATAAAGAATGGAATGTATCCCAAACACATATTGGAAGGTTTGTGATAGTTACAATACAAGGAATAGGTTTGATTTTTATGTTCCTGCTGTGGGGCCTGCTTTTGCGCAAAATAGTTTATTTCATCAAGGCCTTATAGATTTTAATAATTTACCAGCTGAAATCAATTCTACAAATTTTGTCAAATTAAAAAAAAAAAATTCTTAATTTATGTAGAAAATAGTGTTAGTTTTATATTATAACATTATATATATTGTATTGCGTAGCTGGTAGCTATTAAAAATAAAGATACTGCCTGACATCTGCTGCTCATAGAAGACACCAATTTTTTACAGACGTCTGTTGGGATATTCTGGCAAATATTTTTTACATAATAAAATATGGAATATCATTCCAATTTTTAAAATATTTTCTTGTTAGTTTTCTTTTAACATGCTCCCAAATATGTTCTTTAAGGTTTAGCTCTGAAGATTGTGAAGGCCATGGTAGTACATTAACATTTTTTAGTCCTAACCAGTCCTCCTTTACGAATTTTGAGGTATTCTTGGTGTCATGATCTTGCTGGAATGTCACGTAAAGGCATTTATTCTTCAGAAAAAGGGAACATCTGTTTACTAAGAATACCTTTGATCCATTTTCCTAACAATTTTAACAATTGACCCCTTTCCAGAACTAGAAAGACAGCCCCAAACCATGATGCTGTTTCCACCGTGCTTAACTGTTGGCAACTGATACTTTTTGTCGAATCTTTTTCGCATTAGACTTCTCATATATGCCGTACCGTCAGATCCAAACAAGTTAAATTTGCTTTCATCCTTCCATCAAACTGCATTACATTGTTGTTATGTCCAAGTTAGATGAGTTTTACCAAATTCAAGCCTAGCAATACGATTATTTTTTAAATGCGAGGATTTTGCACTGGACGCCTACCAAAAAGCCCAAAATCCACCAAGTGTCTTGGCACTGTTCTGACAAAAACATTCTCGGTACCCTCTTCTACGATTATTTTGAAAATCTGTGTGGCAGGCATTTGAGGATCTTCATGGGACAAACGTTTTATGTAGCGATCCAAAACATAATCGGTTTTCCGCGCCTGGGCCGCGTTGCTGTTGATCCGTATTCTTGATATTTACTAATAATTTTCGAAATCGTCCCATTGTTCATTTTTAATCTTTGCGAAATGTCAGCATTATTATATTATAAATTATTTACTTTTGCAATTCTCAACGATGTTAATATTTACCGCACGCAATATCAGAGTATCGCAGAACGAATAAATACGTCAAAAATGAAATGTTTCCACACTTTTGTCGTTACAAAAACTGTGGTATTTAAAAAAACGCGCGTTTTTATTTTCAGATAATTTGAATATTGATATATTAATACCTGAGCCAAAGGTAGACTTTAATATTTATATTATCTGTTCCTTCACCATTTTAATTTAGGTATATGAAATAGCTCATAATAATATCAATATTTGTTGCCATACTTTGTCCGCTACTGTAGCTGTGTATACTCTGTAGCACTCAAATAGTTGAACCGATTTTGGTTTTTCTCTTTTTCTGTTCGAAATCTTAAATTATATGTTCACCATGAACTTACCAATCTTCTCAATGACAATATCCCAAGAGTAGTTGGACCTAGTACAGCACATCAAAGTTGCCAAAATGGTATCAGTGACGTAAACAGTGCCTTCAGTTTTTGATAATTTACGAATGATTGGATCATCAGTAGTGGTGACCTTGAAATATAATTTTTATCAGCATAGTATCAAACATTATTTAGGTTATTTCCCTTACAGTATGGAAGATTCTGTTGACACTTTGCAATGGTTTCTCATTTTTGACATTGACTCGATCGTATGTCTTGTCGTAGTACTCCAGCTCACCGCAGCCCATGATATCATCACCTACAACAAACATTTCATATAAGCGCTATTCCAGTAAAATAATTGTAGACGAGACAAGCTAAAAGAATAACTTTACATGTCCATGTCTGAATCTGAAACACTGTTTCATAGATGACATAACATACCTTCTTTGATGCCTGGTAGAGACAGTTTGCTCAATCTAGGGAAGTCCATTTCTTCAATAGTAACCCAATCAGGGCGAACAGTTACAGATGCATCACGTATCTTAATTTGAGGCTGTAACAAAAATCAAATATTAAGAAATTAACATTTCTTTACCTGACAGACAGGATTGTAATTTGTAAACAAATTGGGAACTATATTCAGTAATGCATTGTCTCACAAAATTGGTATCAAATTTGGAACAAAATTTTGTATTGTGACAGATGCCTTCATACAATATATAACTAGACACTATTCACATAACATTCATGCAACATCAAAACACAGTTTCTTAGTAGCCAAATTCCTGCACTACTATTGGACAGTTTGTCAGACAATATGTGGTGAAGAGGTGAGATCGAACAGCCGTAAATATTGTGACATGGTGACACTAATATTATAATCATTATTATTTTTATTGCAATTGTAATAAACTAGATATTATTTAACTTACCCTTCCCTGTCCCCATCTCTTGGTCTGGCTCCTCTTGTAAGCATCCCTAACCTTGAGCCCTTTGCCAAGTGTCTGCATGCCACCACCAGCAATGCCAGACTGCCCTCCACCACCTCTTTGGCCACCCCTGCCTCTAGCATTGCGCTGGCCAGCACGGAAACGGCCCCTTTGGTAGGGTGGCTTTGGCACCCTGGTGCTGTCCACCAGATGGAACGTGCTCTCATCCTCATCATGATAGTATGCATATTGGCTGCCTGAACCAAACTGGGACACATACTTGCCTAGGTCGAGAGAAATGTATTTTAATGTAAGTAGGCGAGATGTGATGTGAAAATACAAAAAATAAACACTTGGATATCTGCAATTTTTACCAAAACTTATTGTATGAGCAAATCAAGTACAAAGATCACAAATCTATGTTAGTTTTTCACTGTGATCATCTACTCCAGATAGGACCTCACTGCACTTCCACATTTCTTGTTGGCCATATCCAAAATCAGTGTACAAAATACTGGGTTGTGTTTGCTTAAACAATGGATGACTAACATGGAGACTTCAACATTTGAAGGAATTCTATTGAATTTTGAAACTTCTTGTGTATCTGCAATCTTGACCAAAGATCCTTTTGTGTAGAGGAGCTGCATAGATAACTCAGAAATTCTTTTGTTGTGACTAGTTAGACAGATGTCTCATTTCCCTACTTAAAATAGAACCTCAAAATGCTTTAACATTTTTTGATAAGCATATTTGAACTCAGAATTTCAAATATGGAGGTCCCATAAGGAGGGTTTTGACCCTAATACAATATTGATAAAAAAAAATCCATTTTTCATGTGTATAAAATAACGAAAATATCTGACCACAAAAAGCACTTAAAGGAACTTCCTCCTGGCTAGGGTCAAGGTCAGTTCAAGGTTATTTTTAGGTGAAATTTCAAAGTTTATGGTGAAGGTCATCTAAGGGCATTTCTAGTAATTTCAAGGTCAAATTGAGAAAATGCTGTGGAAATAAGGTCTACCAGATCTTTTTGAGGCAAGGGGAATCATGCCAATCATGCACCCCAAAAAGGCATTCGGAGGAAGCATAGTGATATGATCTTGAAATGGCACTCAAAGGACAAACTGATGTGAGATTCAGGCTCATTGATGATAAAAACACCTGTTGTTGTTGTTGCTACAATGTCAATTTTCTATAATTTTACATTCTTGTCTATTAAAATTAAAATTATGTCACTACGTATTTTGATTATTCATAAAGTGATTTTTTAATTTCACCTTATACATTTTTAAATTCGAATTCTGTTTAATATCATTATTCAATATATTAAATTCAAATTCTCCCTTTTGAAATATAGATTTACTAGTTATGCTGCTATCACAATTTTGCTGATGAAAATCTATACTGCCTCTAATTTCGTAGTTATGATAATGACTATTTAATTTTGTGAAGTTCTCTAAATGTGGTGGTAATAAATGATTTTTTAATTTGAATATGAAAACGAGAACTAAATAATACGTGAAATTTTTTACATCCAACCACTGCAGTTCTTCTAACATAGACTTAATCCTAACATATTTGTTTTTATTTAAAATGATTCTCATAGCTTTATTTTGTATAATTTGTAATTTTGAAAATATGTTTTCATTTACTGTAAACAAGATGGTTGAACACAATTCTTTTGGAATACATACTAAGAATATGGGAAACTCTATAGAAGTAATTTATGTTTTTCGATATTTTTGAAATAATGTATTCATAATGTTCATGAAACAGTAGCTTACCATCCACATATATATACCAAGATATTTAAATGACTCGACTACTTCAATTTTTTTCATCATTAATCATGAGCCTAATTGTATTGTCACCTAAAGGTTTCCCTTATTGACATACATTTTGTTTTATTAGTGTTTAATTTAAGTTTTTTGACATTTAACCAATTCATAATTTTTTCAATATCACTTTTTACCAGTTCTAAAGCAGTGTCCAAATGCTTATGTGCTGTACATATGAGTGTGTCGCCCACAAATATTTGAATTTTGCAGTGTTCTAAAATGTCAGAGATACCATTTACATAAATAATAAATAGTAATGGCCCTAATTTACTCCCCTGTGGCACCCCTACTGATATATTTTGAACACTTTAAAGCCATAGTGACTACTGGTCCAGTAGATCTGATTTTCTGCCATTTTCCTTAATTTGACCTGAAAATGATCTCTAAACTCCCTTCAAATGATCTGATACAGACAAACTCATGTCAGGTTCACACTCAGCAACCCCCAAAAGATGTAATCAATTGGATTTTCTTTTTTTGATCAAAATTGGATAAGACTTATTGGCTCTATTAGTTTCCCCTGTGATATTTTAGAAAATCCATTAACTTGATGTCACTGTTTTGCTTGCTGAATAGGAAGCCTCAAAAGGTCCATTTACCTACTTCAAAGAGAGATTTACATAATTTTAGCATCTTGTTTGTTAGCCACATCAAAAATCAGTCACCAAAATTGGCCTAATGTATTGAGTTTCTTTCACTTGTATTGAGAGGTTTGGAAAATGAAAATATTAGCTTTAGAAAATGAGTTTAAAGTCATACTTGCAGGTATTTCAATCTACATATCTATAATCTCAACCATAACCTAGTTCTTGAATGTAGATCATGAATCTCAGTCAATTTTGTGCTATAATTGACAGGAGACTCAAAAAGTCCCATTTAATTACAAATAGGGATAGATGTGTCAATCATTGATCTGTTTTATGCTGTGATCCAAGGGAAAGACCAAAGGTCCTATTTTTCTACTCTTAATTGGGCTCTTTGTCAAAATGAAACTTGCAAAATTCAATTTAATTGCATACTTTTGAGGAAAATTTCACGCAATTTCATGGGCAAGTAAAGGCTATCTGAGTAACTGATCTGCCCTTTCTGATGGAAATATTACTTAACCTAGCTTTTAGAAATGTTCCCCATTTGCTCTAAATGAAGCAGCAGCGTTTTGGTACTTACTAGCATATTTCTTGTCTTGGAAAGCGACACCGGTCCAGTCGCTGATTTTCCCTAAACGATCCCCTTTACTGAAAGGTTGGTAGGGCATGTCTTTGAACTGTTCCGGCACCTCGCATGGGCCCCATCCATTCGGATTATCTTGAATTACCGGCGTCACGAAGTGTGGTCTACCATCATCGGAGTCTTTGTCAGTCATCGTCATTTCCTGCTCAAATTACCAGTTCAAACAATATTTGAAGCAATATGGAAAACGTTGCTAAAGAAGAATTTTTTAGAGAAGCGAGTGACAACCGCTGACATATGTTTGGCATTTGAAAAGTTTGACAACCTCAAGGACAATAGCCAACATAACATTTACAAAATTCATTATCTTCATTATTTATGGGTCATTACTAACCGGCTAATCAATAAAAGAGTATCTGGTCATCTGATTGAGAAACCACGCCTTATTGACTCCTCAATTAGATCCTTGGAAAGATTAGGTTGGTAGTACTGTATCTAGACGCAGATACCAGATAACCTTACTTTTTAATGTTTATTTTGGCGCCAGAACAAAGTTGATAAAGTTTTGTTTTCCAATTAATATGTATAAATAATTAATAAAAATGAAAAACTTGACTGATTATTTCAGCAGTCCATCTGAGAAAACCAGTAGAAAAGTGGTGCCCGATTTGGACGAGAAGGTAGAGCAAAACCCAACAAATATAGTAAATAATGAGGAACATGTAAATGCTGTTACGAAGAAAAAGAGGAAATCAAAAAAAGCTAAACTGCGAAAACTCTCTGACCCTGCGGTAAAAGGCATAACGGAACTAATGTCCAGTAATCTTGCCATAATATCTCCCAATACTAGTGCAGCTGAAACACAATCTGTTCATAATGATGATATAGCAGGTGCTGAATTGGAGGATAATATTGAAAATCTTATCAGTGAGGAAACAGGAGGTTCTGACAAAGAAACTGGAATATGTGTAAAAATAAAAGCTAGCAAGTTTAGTAAAATAAGGACACCTGGTAATGAAAATTCTACTGAATCTAGCACAATAAATCGGGACACAAAGATTAGTAGCAATAAGTCATCTATTACAGGGGCATCTAATAGCAGTGGTTGTAATGACTCTGAATCTGTAGAAGTTGAAACAATAGGAAACCTATCTATTATTGTTGATGCTGAAGATAGTTCTAGTTCAGAGTCTCAGTTTGTCAATGGTGGTAAAGCAAAGGTTGTGAATGCCTTTCAGTTTTTAATGGATAGTAGATTTAAGACAATAGGTTCAAACACACCAGGTAAAGAAGTAGATAATGAAATATTAAAAAATGATGAAAGCAAAGAGAAACTTTCAGCAAGGAAACATATACTGAGTAACTGGGCTGAGAAAAAAGGGGCATCTAAAAGGAAAAGAGAGGAAGCAGAGAAAGATGAAGTTATAAACTATAAATTGAAGAAGAGGGCAAAAAGACTGAAAAAACTATTAAAAGCCAAAACTGACAATGAAAATGATGAAGAGGTGAAGTTGATGAAAAAACGTATCAGGAAAATATCTACAGATACTGAAAGCTCAAATGATGCTGTCAGTTCGAATAACAAAAAGGAAGATTTAAATAAGAAATCTGAAAATGGAAATATTTCAAAATTTGAGATGTCTAACAGAAAAAGCGATGCACATGAGGAAAGCAATAAATATGAGAAGAAAAAACCAGGTAGGATATCAAGAAAAAGCAAGGACTCTAGAGAAATTAAGAAGAGTAGCAGTAAAGAAGATTACAAAACAGATATTCTAGAAAGTAAATGTAAAAAGACAGATGAGGATTCAAATGAAGATTTAAGAACTGAGCTGAATAATTTAGAAAAAAATAATACAATAAGCAATAGTCATAGCAACTCTAGCTGTGAATCTACAAGTAAAGAATCAAAGAATGAGGCACTTGTATCAGACGATTTAAAGTTAGTGATTAAAGATACATTAGAAAAGAACAGTGAATCTAAAACAGCTTCAAATAGGAAATTGAAAAAGGTAAACAGTGTTGAGAAAGAAAATAAAAATAAAGAATTGAGTGAAATTTTGGATGAAAGTGCACAAGATATAGAAATATGTAGCCCAAAACCTAAAGAGGGAAGACAGAGTTTGCTTAATTTCTTTGGTGTCATTAATAAATCTAACAATACTAATAATGTGAATAAGAATTCATTAGAGATTGATTCACATGAAAAGGGCATTAAAGAAAATGGTAGCCCTGTAGAAATTGATATGAAGAAAATGAGGGTAGATATAGAGACAGTAGATCTGGAATCTGACTGTACTACTAATATGACTAGTACTGCTGAATCAAAAAACATCCTAGATCTTAATGAAGAAGTCATTTCTACTGCTCATACTACAACTGAGGTAATATAATAATTTCTTAAGTTTCTATAATTTTTTGTCTGTATTTGCCTTGAGATATTATGATAATCTGTAAAATACAAACTTCTGGTATTTTGACGTACTTACATAATATTTTCAATGTTGAAAGTTTAACCTTTATTTCACCTGCCAATTGCTTGTTTGCTTATTTTCCTCAAGGTAGAAAAATATGGAAATCTGTTTCTTTTTACTTCATTCACCAAGACCATGTCGGTCTTTCTGTCCACTAATCCTTGTCCCATCTATAACTTGGAGAGTACTGCTCGGATTTGTGCGATTTTCGCACAACTCAAGGACAAAAAAGCTGTTTTTTTAAAACCAGTCCAGTGGTGGCAGAGAAAAGAGCCAAAAGCAAAAACATCAATTTTTTGATTATATATTTATAGGCCTCCAACCACAGGAATGCTCCTATTAGAATTATTTCACTCATCATAGACTTACCTTTAAAATTTAATAATAATAATCTTTATTGATCATAGAAAAAATACACAAGTATTCATAGGCATGTCAGCAATGAAAAAAGAAAAGTGCAGTATCGCAGACATAAAAGTACACTAACTATAATAAACTATATCTCCAACTGCCGCGTGTCAATACGTGCGATGTGGTCGGCTGATGATCGTGAGTCGCAGTCGTTTCTACGCTGCTGTGGACTGTATGTTGTAAAAATCAGTATCGTCATCCACGTGGAATAGTCATAGCAACGATCATATTCACCTGCAGGAATTTTTATCAGGGGGATAAGAAAGGTCATTTGATTTTTTGTCCATACATGTTCACAAGGGCGTACCCAGCTCAAAACGGAAGGGGGGCGGGCACCTTCAACAACAAATATGGTGGAAGTTCCACAAATCATAACTACTTAACTATGTTTAATATTTTTCTTTCTATATGCATTTATTGTTTTATCCATTCATATATAGTCCTTTAGGACGATTTGACTGTTCATATGGATATGCAAAACTGCTAGGATTACTTTTTCGAACTATTCAAGCAAATCTTGTGCAAATTCAAACAGAGTGCTCATTTTTTCAGTTGTCAATAGTTCAGGGAAGTACTGTAATCGCGCAAACACTTCAAAGGAAGAATAATTTTCAGATATAACATAGCAGATACATTTTTTGTGGCGGTCCTCTATTACAGATAGAAAAATATAGTTTTTGTTAATCGGTCCTGTTGCGATAGAATAACCGTCAAAAAAACTAATTTAATCATTGTTCCTTCTATAAGTTGGAAAGTTTAACTGAATTTTGAAAACAAATTGAAAGGCCAGTCTAATAGTTTTATAACTAGGAAATCTACTCCTCCCTGGACTTTGTATTTTTTTCCGTTTCTGATGATTTTGAATGGAATCAAAAATTTTCTTAGAGGTGACAAAATTTAGAAAGAAGTCAAACTTTGTTGATATATTTTAAGAAGTAGTCAAGAGTTTATTTGAAGGATTCAAAGATTGTGAAATTCGGCAGAACTCCTTTTTCAACTTCTAATCATCCCGTCACTGTTGCCCCCATAAAGTACATCGTTGTTTAGGCGAATGTCATAAGATTAGTATTTACCGTGATACGTCAATATATTTAATTTATCATGAGATGTAATATTTATTAACCGTGTAGCCTGGACGTCAGCAATTATTGATGCATAATGTTACGTAGAAATCCACTAATAGTACGGATCTCAGTAAATACTGATCATGTGACATTTGCTTTACCATTTCCAAGATCCCAAAGGCAAAGTTGGAATTTGAAACATTCGTAACATAGATTCCAGCTAATTCTAGTAATTTCTCATCTGATAATTTAATTTTTGTGAAATAATTTTTCTCCATTCAATATTTGCTGAGCTAGGGAAAAGGGGATAGCTGGGACTAACTTGTGCGGAACAGAAACCTTTATGAACTGATGACACTGTTCTGTGAGAAGTACAAAGTTAACTTGACGCCTTTTTTATTTTTGTATTACGTCAATGTTTTAAACTGGAGTTTTGAGTATTATATCGGGTAACCAGAATGTATCGAAAAATTCCTTATCACACGCTCCGTCTGTTAAGTGGACACGAATGATTGTCGGTATAAACTTTTACATTTAAACGTACAGTGCTTGAGAAACAGGGTTGATTAACTTGAGTTGGTGGCAAAACAGCATAGTTATGACTTTGTTTGAATGAGCATTGGTTGACTTGCGATGAGATGAATACTCTGAATATTTGTGAATATATGAATGTGTCTAGTTTTTGCAGGTCAAGCAAAATCCACGGTGGTGTTTGTATTTATGCCAATAATAAGTTTAGTGCTAAGCCTTTGAGTTACAAAGTTTTAAACATTTGTGAGGAGTTTGGATGACACACAAACTCTAACTATATATAGATCACCAAATGGAGACTTCAATATATTCTATAATAAGCTTCAAATAGTACTTAGCACTTTAGACTATAAGCAAAATATAATCATATCTGGTGATTTTAATTTTAAATTTAACACTCACGTCAGGCATGCCAACGTGATGTATGATATTTATGTTTCTTTTGGTCTGTATCAGACTGTGAATATGAATACTAGGCAGAATGCTTGTCTAGATAATATTTTAACCAATATAAATATGTCAAGCATAGTTGTAGAAGACTTTGATACATGATTTCTGACCATTTAGGTATTGCAGTTCATTTTAATTTGAAAACTTTAAAACCTGTTAGGAAGAGAATAAACTTCAGGCCTGTCACTGATGAAGGTCTTTTCAAATTATACAGTAAAATTGAAACAGTCGACTGGATCTTTTTGTCTGATATTAGCTTATACCTGATCACTAAACTCGAACGATTCATAAACATCTTAACAAATAATGTCACTGAGTGCTTGCCAATCAAATCTAGGTTGGTATCACATGGTTTTTGCAACAAAATCAACTGGTTTGATCACGAATTGGCTCAGATGAGAGAGAATTTGACACTAATAACACAAATTAGTAAAGATAATCCCCAGGTGGTATCAAAGAAAGATATTAATCTATTCAAATCTAAGTACTGATCAGAAATCAGAATTAAGAAAAAATGCTCATGATAAATATATACGTAGAGCGTCAAATAAACAAGCAGCTATGTGGAATGTGATTAAAGCCAATGGTGTGCAATCATCAAAATCACATTCGTCTACTCTCAACGCGAATGATTTAAACTCTTTCTTCGTTAGCATTGCTGAAACCATTATTGCTGAAATTCCAGCTTTTCAGTCGAACTTCAAAGATTTTATACAGACTAGTGATACACTACATTTCAACTTTCGAACTGTTTCAGTCAATGATCTTCGAGACGCAATCAAAAGCTTAAAGAATTCTAAAAGTAAAGATCCATATGACATCGACGTTAAAATTATAAAGACCTTAAATAACTTGATAGTATATCCTATAACAAAATTCATAAACATCTATAGAAAATAATGCCTTTCCTGCCTTATTAAAACTTGCAAAGATTCTGCCACTCTTTAAGAAAGGATGTGAGAATGATCCGTGTAATTTCAGACCCATTTGGTTACCGTACCAACAGATCAACGAAAGCAGCAATAAACGATTTTATCAGTTTCATCAACAAATGTATGGAAGATGACATGTATGCTCTCGCTAACTTCTATGATCTTACAAAAGCATTTGATTGTGTCCAACATCACATTTTGATTCAAAAGCTGTCGCTATATGGTTTTAGTAATAACAGCCTGCCCTTAATTGCGTCTTACTTATCAGACAGAAGACAGTATGTTAGTTTTCAAAATTGTTTATCTAACAATGTACATATTAAGCACGGAGTTTCCCAAGGAAGTGTCTTGGGACCGATTCTTTTTTTGATTTACATCAATGATCTGCTAAACTGTAGCATCAATCAATATATATTATTTGCGGATGACACGACATCAATAACCTCCAAACGTAACTTTGACCATGTATTACTCGATTCTCAGCAGCATTTTGACAACATTCAAAACTGGTTCAATGCCAACAGTTTGTTTATCAACATAGCGAAAGCTCAATCTCTTCTACTCAGTACTCGTCCATATAGAAGTAATTTAGTAGAACCCGTCAAATTTTTGGGAGTGATTATTGATTCCTGCTTGACTTGGGAATCACACATCACCTCTTTATCAAAGAAGTTATCTAAAATAACATATATGATATTTAGTTTAACGAAATCGACTTTAATGATAGCCTATTAAGCTTACTTCCAATCAAACTTGCAATACAGCATACTGATTTGGGGTCATTCATGTCATGTATGCATGTTTGCTGTTCAGAGACGATGCTTGAGAATAATAGCAAACTTACATTTCAGACAGTGTTGCAAGACGATATTTATCGACCTAAAAATTTCAACTGTGCCATGCATATATATACTGGAATGTCTGATCCACGTTAATAATATTTACGATGATTATGAACTCCGAAAGAGATCACAAATATAACACAAGGTTCAACAATGAATTAATACCAGAGTACTCAAGACTATCAAAAACTAGACAGGGAAGTAATTATTTCGGCGTGAAATTTTTTAATGCGCTGCCCAGGTTTTGTCAAATTCTCAACTCAACCATTTTTAAAGCAACTGTGAAAATATTTATATCTAGTGACGAAAGCTTTTTACAGCATAGATGAGTTCTTAAATAATGATTTTACCGACTTTGTTCCATAATTGTTGACTATTTGTTTTATTACTTTGTTTTCGTTAGTGTTTTTTGTGTATGTGATATTTTTGTATTACATTTTATTGTTCAGCAGACGTGTGTAAGGACTGTTGAGTACAAACATAAAAAACTATTACTATTTCATAATTTTTTATCCATCTTATTTTATTGTTCATCAAAATTTTAAACTAGGTTTTATCAAGTTTTTTTTTACCTTTTATTGCCACTTTGTGTTTTACGTTTGTCTTATTTTCGTATTGTTTGTTGTTTTTAATTACTTTTTTATGTTCTACTCTAACTGGCCTGTGCAAACACATTTTTGTGTAATAATACCAATAAATTATTATTATTAATCACGCAATTTTTTTTTGTATATTAGACAGAGGATACATGTGACCATGCTCCAGAAGATACACCAAGCACTCGAAAGAGAAAGAAGTCCAAGAAGAAAAATAAATCAAAAGACGGAAAAACTGCGAAGGTACGGAGGATTGTGGATGAGTCCAGCCAAGAACCTGACATTACTCCACGTAGACTCAGATCCTGGAGAATGAAAATTCGCATGAATTTAGATGAAAACGCAGATGGCCAAATGTCACCTAAAGGTAATAGAAAAGTAATTTTAATTGATGATGACAGTGAGTTGATTTTATTAAAACAAAAATTCTTTTCAGACACTTATTTGCCTTAGGGTGAACAATTTTGATTTTTATTTATTTGTTTCAATGATTTAAGTTTTAAATTTAGTGAACAATGTCTGTTTCTCTGGTCCAGATGACTCGAAAGACTCTGATGTAGTCAGTTTATCCAGTGGTAGTGACTTTGAAGATGACATTAAAACTAAGAAACCAAAAAAAGCAGTGAAAGTTGCACCAGTTTTTGCTAAAGCTGCTCCGAAACCAAAAATTGATCCAGAAGTGTTAGAAGCTAGGAAGCAGTTTTTGATGAGTGGCATACCAGAAGCCTTAAAGAAAAATATGGAGAAACAACAAAGGTAAAATATGATTTTGTGGTCTGTAGCTTTCATAGAATTTTATTTCTATTTTAGCTTAGAAGAGAGAGAATATGATGTTTTCCCTACAATAAGTCATGTGCAACAAAAGTGTCATTCTAACTCTTGGACTTTGCCAGAAGCAAACTTGAAGCTTACTAAATTTTCACCTATCAAACTTGATGACTTTGACTTCACCCATAGCTTACCGTGTACAAAAGCAAAAAAGTTAAACATTCAAATTGCAAGTGATAGCAACATAGAACTTGAATCACTCGTAAATAAAATAAAATCAGAAAACCCAAATTACCCAGTACTGAAAGCATTCAGACAAATTTCTGAGAGAAAAGAAACTATTAAGAATAGTGGAGGAGAGAAAAAGTCAAAGGCAAAAAGTAACAGCAAAAAGAAACGTAAGAGTGCAAATAAAAGCGTGGAGATTATTGAGATTGAACCAGAAGAGATTGATATAGTTGCTCAAGCAATGTGGACTGAAAAATATAAGCCCAGGAATTCTGACGATATTATTGGTATGCAAATAAACTTATTATCTCAAGCACTATGCATGATAAATTGTTGAATATGGATTTCTTTCTAATTTAAAATCAAAAACCTCTTTTTTTTTAGGAAACACAGAGGCAGTCAAAAAACTCAAGAAGTGGTTACAGGCTTGGTGGAATTTTAGTGAAGAAATAATAAATTCAAATAAAGAAAGAAAAAGAAGGAATAGCAATAGTTCCGATGACTTTATTGTAAGTGACTGCAGTAGTAGGGATACTGTCAAGTTACCTGGCAATACTGTGGTCCTTGAGGGACCCTGCGGCAGTGGAAAAAGTACTGCAGTTTATTCAATCTGCAATGAGCTCGGATTCAATGTTATAGAAGTGAATGCGTCAAGCAAAAGAATGGGTGAGTAAAAAATGTTTAAGAAATTCATTATTGGGATTTTAAGGTATTACCTGCGCGACAGTTGAGGTAAAATTCCTACCCAAAGTCGGCTGAACAACCACGCATAAAACGGCTGGTACCAACGAAATCGGGCAGTACGCGGACCGCGCTAAGCTTCCATAGGTACTCAGCTCCCAAATATCATAGATATTACGAAATAATCAATTTTCTTACTAAATACATATATATTCTTACTAAATACATATATATATTCTTACTAAATAAATATATATCTGACTGATTTGAATTACGCGCCATTTTTGATACACGCATTTCAGTAGGTGGCGCCGTAGCAGTTATTTAAAGCGCATGTGTTCAATTCATCATGGAGCGTTACACGTTCCCACAAAACACCGTTTTTTTAAAATGTTTTACTTCAATAATGAGTCGATTTTTTCAACGATTCGGAAGCTACGACAAGATTTCGGTAGAAATAATGTTCGTACTCCGGAAAATATCGAGAGAGTTCGTGAAAGTGTAGTGGAGCGCCCTCAGACGTCTACCAGACATCGTTCTCAAGAACTGGGTATTCGTCGCACAGCACTGCACTATTTTAAAAAAAGACGCATTTGCAGAACTACAGCCTAGTGACCATGAAAGTCGCCGACATCACAGTCATGCAATATTGTGCAGCTTAATAACCAAAATAACAATTTTTACCGACAACTGATAGTGAGTGATGAAGCCCACTTCAATATTAACGCATTTGTTAATACACGGTTTTACAAAAGTCACCCAAGCTTTTTTTCAGTCTTGTTTAACTTCAAATTTAAAATTTCATCCGTCATAAGTTCTCGAAATTGCGGACCTACAAAAATCCCTTCTTTCAATTTCGCGTCATTGATTCGAGGATATTTTGTTTTGAGATATTGAAAGCCTTTACAAAGTTTTTCATGAGTCCCAACTTTATACAGGGTGTCCCAGAAGTCGACGTCAAGCCGAAACCGGGTGATAGGCAAAGTCATAACAGCTATCAGAAAAATATTTAAAAAAATGTTATGTATGTGTTTTGAAAATTATAGGTCTTTGAAAAAAATATAGAAATTTCACACCCTACGGCAGTCTGTCAACTCATGTTACTACAAATATTAACTTTTTTTTGGATTTTACTTTTACAATGTAATGATGAATAATGCATCTTCAAACTGGTGTCTCAACCTTACTGCCAACTTTTCTCGTTCAGGAAAAATGGCCACTTATTTCCCAACCAAGTATTCCAAAGTAAAACTTTGCTCAACTGTAACTGGCTGTACTGGAAATAAATGTACTACGAGAGTTTGGCAAGTAGCCTTAAAAGTTGGCGCATTTAATAACGATTCCAAAATGGTATAACACTTAGAAGATTACTCGTTAACTTATGCACAATTTTTATTTGAAAAAAAACTGATGAAAATTTTTCAATTTCCTAATTAAACAGCGATTATGAAAACGCACAAGTACCCTTAAGGATAACTGTTTGCACAACAATGGGCGTCAAAATGCTGCTGATGATGATTTACCTTTACAGCAAATGCTCAAACTGTTTTCCTTCAGCCGCAATACACGCTCGACATCTTCTTAAAAAAGATCGGGTTATTAAACGAGCGAATCCACGGTTATTAACAAACTCAGCTGCTTCCAATAGTCTTTGCCGTAGCTCAGCTACATTTTGAATCGGCTTGAAATACACTTTTTCTTTTACAGTTCCCCAGTAAAAAATCTAATGGATTCAAATCAGGTGATCGGGCTGGCCACGGTATTGTACCATCTGCCTGGAAAGTTTTGATCGAGATACTCTCTCACTGAGAGTGCATAGTGCGCTGGGCAGCCATCATGCTGAAACCACATGTCCCTGTAAATACTCAGTGGCACGTCCACCAATAAATTTTGTACATGATTTTTCAAAAAATACAAATAAACTTCAGCAGTCAAAGTCTCTGGGAACCCAAACGGACCGATTATTTTACCATTTAAAATTCTTGTCCAATGGTTTATCTTGAAGCGATATTGAGATTTATCTTCTCTCATCAAATGTGGGTTTGCTACGTGCCACTCGTGTAAGTTATGCAGGTTCATGTACCCATCTTTCTTAAATGTGGTCTCATCCGACCTTAAAATTTTTTCAAAGAACTGTGGATCTTTCCTGTGTCTTTCTAACATTGTGCGACAAAAAGCAACTCGGGGCTCATAATCCCGGGGCAGGAGAGGTTGAACACGTTGTATGTGGTATGGATGAAGCACATCACTTACTTGCTATTGCACACTTTGATACCGATCAGTACTCCTTCGTTTACTGCGCATCTTTACATGTTCGCTATTGTTGATTTCGTACTGATACTAATTTTGGATTCGTGAACTGGACTGTTGATCGCTTGTGATTTGGATTTGGACTGTTTAATTGCTCTTCAAAACAACATTTGCTTTCCTTAGACTATCTTTGATAGTGTGATTGTGCAGTGCCGCTATGTCCGTGTACACCGTACAAGAATATGCTAACATGCACCTCATTTATGGGGAATGCAGATGCAACGCTAGTGCTGCAGCGAGACTTTACTGTGAGAGGTACCCGAATGCAGCTCGTCATCCAGATCATCGAGTGTTCACAAATGTGCACCGCTTACTGTTCTCAGAGAGCCAACTACCAAACCAGTCGCACGGTGAGGGAAGATCTTTCCTTCCTTACGAAGACGTGGTGCTAGGAGCTGTCGAAGAAGACCCGAGTATTTCAGTGCGTGCAATAGAACTAAAAACAGGTGTGCCCAAAAGTACAGCCCATAGAATCTTGCAAAAAACGTGCTCCATCCATACTACGTACAGCGTGTTCAAGCTCTTCTGCCCCGGGATTATGAGCCCCGAATTGCTTTTTGTCGCACAATGTTAGAAAGACACAGAGAAGATCCACGGTTCTTTAAAACAATTTTATGGTCAGATAAGACCACATTTAAGAAAGATGGGTACATGAACCTGCATAACTTACACGAGTGGCACGTAGCAAACCCACATTTGATGAGAGAAGATAAATCTCAATATCGCTTCAAGATAAACCATTGGACAGGAATTTTAAATGGTAAAATAATCGGTCCGTTTGAGTTCCCAGAGACTTTGACTGCTGAGGTTTATTTAGGTTTTTTGCAAAATCATTTAGAAAATTTATTGGAGGACGTGCCACTGAGTATTTACAGGGACATGTGGTTTCAGCATGATGGCTGCCCGAAGCACTATGCACTCTCAGTGAGAGAGTATCTCGATCAAAACTTTCCAGGCAGATGGATAGGGCGGTCTGGTACAATACCGTGGCCAGCCCGATCACCAGATTTGAATCCGTTAGATTTTTTTTACTGGGGAACTGTAAAAGAAAAAGTGTATTTCAAGCCGATTCAAAATGTAGCTGAGCTACGGCAAAGACTATTGCAAGCAGCTGAGTTTGTTAATAACCGTGGATTCGCTCATTTAATAACCCGATCTTTTTTAAGAAGATGTCGAGCGTGTATTGCGGCTGAAGGAAAACAGTTTGAGCATTTGCTGTAAAAGTAAATCATCATCAGCAGCATTTTGACGCCCACTGTTGTGCAAACAGTTATCCTTAAGGGTCCTTGTGCGTTTTCATAATCGCTGTTTAATTAGGAAATTTTGAAAAATTTTCATCAGTTTTTCTTCAAATAAAAATTGTGCATAACTTAACGAGTAATCTTCTAAGTGTTATACCATTTTGGAATCCTTATTAAATGCGCCAACTTTTAAGGTTACTTGCCAAACTCTCGTAGTACATTTTTTTCCAGTACAGCCAGTTACAGTTGAGCAAAGTTTTACTTTGGAATACTTGGTTGGGAAATAAGAGGCAATTTTTCCTGAACGAGAAAAGTTGGCAGTAAGGTTGAGACACCAGTTTGAAGATGCATTATTCATCATTACATTGTAAAAATAAAATCCAAAAAAAGTTAATATTTGTAGTAACAGGAGTTGACAGACTGCCATAGGGTGTGAAATTTCTATATTTTTTTCAAAGACCTATAATTTTCAAAACACATACATACAATTTTTTTAAATATTTTTCTGATAGCTGTTATGACTTTGCCTATCACCCGGTTTCGGCTTGACATCGACTTCTGGGACACCCTGTATATGTTATCTGCCTTTGTGTAAAATCACAGACATACAATTTTTATTTTTGTCTCAACACCTTGAAGATTCTGTCGCGAACGTATGAATCATCGACATTTATGCTTACCATTGTCAGGATGACGACTTGCGACTTGACCTTACCCTTAGTTTACCACTAGAATGTTGACAGCCTTTGTAAAATTTATTGGAGTATTTTATGGTAGTGGATGGAAACAATGCTCTTCTGTCACCAAATTCATGGGTGTGTGTGCAAGAGTGAGTAGCAGCTGCGTTAGGGATTGGGATGCAAATTGTGTAATTTTTCTCAAGGGAGTTATGTTCCGCATATGGTAGAGTTAGTCAATGTTCACTTATTTTGCATGACGTAGACAAAGATGCGAAAAGAACTATAATTGCTTACAAGTTTCGTATAGGCAGTTTTTTAAAAATTTCTAAACTTTTTTCTGACGAACATTGAAATAGTCAAATAACCCTAGAAAAGATCATGTTTTTTAAGAGCCCATGTAAATATTGTGATGGATTAAACGGTAGATTCCGTTCAAACTGCACAGGAATATGTATCAATTAGGGATCCATAGAGTACTCAGTTTGTACCCGGTACGCGGCCATGTTCACGGACCAGCCAATTTTCCTCATGAACACTAAAAAAACACAAAACAGCATAAACAAAGCACAACAAAGGTCAGCAAAGTAAGGTATGTTATGAGTTTTCCTGTAAAGAAACCCTTTACCCATATCTAATGATAATTTAGGCTTAATTCTTCCCAAATTTGAATGGGTCCCATCACAACATTAAGCACAATGATTTCAAGTGGTATTTTCAGAAATTTGCGTAGCACGGGGCCTGACGTTGACCATCTTCAACAAAAATGTCGAACATATACCTTTCTATTGTAAGGCTAAGAGGTCCGTTTCACAAGTCTAAAATTACCATGATATCATGTTAATATTATGTAAGGAAAGATTGAAGAGTATATCAAAAACGGTGTTCAAAAAATATAATGTCAAAATGTGGTTACAGTTTTAATTCAATCTTAAAGCTGCTGAATTCCATATCTTATGTGAAAAACATATACATAGCAGTTGCAGGACTCCAAATATAGGGTTAATAAAATTTCCAAAACACCGTACATACACTACCCAGAGTATATCAATTTTGGCAATGAAGAGACCTCTCAAAACTCAAATATAATCTTAATATTACTGATAGCAACTAAAGCTAACCACTTCTCCGAGTACCTGGTACTCGGTTTTTTAAAGTACTACTCGGTGCATCCCTAGAATAAATACAACACCTTGGAAAAATATAAAAATTCTAGACATTTGTTCATTTTGACCAAGCACAAGTATCATATTTATACACAAATAGCTGTGTTTCTGAACATGTATCTAGATTTTTGGTAACTACATTAAGATACTTCTTCACCAGTTCTCAAACAGAATGAGAAAGATCTTTTGACAAGTTACTTGTAATTCTTCTATAAGACAATTCCAAACAATAAATATCAGCCATCTTTCAAAAGCTATTACAAGATTGAAATCGAATAGAAATCCTAGTGAACATCTTTCAAAAACGGTTAGGAAAGAATGTTTCAACATTATTGGAGAGAAGTTATTATTGTTAGTGAATCACTGTTTAGTGTATGGCGAATTTTCTTCAAAATTAAAATGTTCTACAATTACTCCTGTTCCGAAAGTGCAAAATTCTGAGTTATATACAAACATGCGGCCAATTAATGTACTGCCACATGTCGAGAAGCTCTTAGAAGGAATCATATATGAACAGGTTATTGAATATATTGAAGAAAATAAGATATTGACAAAATTTCAAGCAGGATTCAGAAAAAAGTATTCTAGTGAAACAGCAATTCAAATAGTAGTAGAAGAATGGAGGCGAAATATGGATGAAAAAAAGTTTACAGTAACATTGTTCTTAGATTTCAAGAGAGCATTTGAGACTATTGACAGGGAGAAATTGTTAACGAAATTGCATTGCTATGGATTTCAAGGTTCAGTAGTCAACCTATTACAAAATTATTTAATCAATAGAAGTCATTAAAAAATGGCAATACATTATCAAACATTAAAAACATTTCGGTAGGTGTGCCACAGGGTAGCAAATTAGTCCATTACTGTTTATTTTATATATTGACGATATTCCTGATATTTTACAACACTGCAAAATTCAACAATTCAACAGCAAATATATATATATATATATCAAATAAAGACATTGAAACTGCAATAGAGCTGTTAAATAATGATATGAAGAACGTAATAAATTGGTTAAATTTAAATAAACTTAAACACAAACAAAACAAAATATATGCTAATAGGAAAATCTTTAGATCAAAATACAATAAATCTTACAATTAATCATGAAAAAATTGTGGCAATCCAATAATTTAAATATTTGGGCATATACGTAGACAGTAAATTAAAATTTGAAGGGCTCTATGAACATATTATTTCAAAAATATTCAAGAAAATAAGTTACTTTTACAGAATTTTGCATCGCCTAAGCGTTTATTCTAAAAAAATTGTGTACAGCACTATCATTCTTCCTCATTTGTTATATTGTTCGATTATTTTGTTCACTGCAAATGAAACTGTATTTTCAAAATTACAAATATTACAAAATAAAGCTAGGAGAATCATCTTAAATAAAAATAAATATAGTAGAATAAATTTTGTGCTGAAAGAACTACAATGGTTAAAAATCAAAAATTTCATAGCCTACTTGGTTTTCATTTTCATACTCAAGTTGAAAAATCATCTGCCAAATCACTTAGAAAATTTTATTGTATTGAACAATGAGTGCCACAATTATTCTACTAGAGGTAGTATAGACTTTCATTCACAAAACTGCAAAAGCAATATTATAAGTTATAAGTTATGATATCAAGATTTGTGTCAGTTTGAAAATGTTCAAAGGGAAATTGAAAAAATATCTCACGGAAAATCAGAATTTAAAGTAGTGAAATTTTGTATTAAAATTTGTAGTCTTGAGGACATAATATATTTTGTCATATACTGTGTAATATGGATATTATGGACATTGTAGCATTAATGCTAAATAAATCTGAAATAAACAAACTTGTGTAGAAAGTATTGCCAGTGAATAATTGACTTCCTTCTCTTCTTAGGCAAGCATCTGCTCCAAAAGCTGCAAGAAGCCACCCAATCCCACCAAGTGCGTAAGAAGGAATCATTCGCAAACTTTCTTCAACAGTCGGATAGCCAGGAAGCCGACGATAAAAAAATGTGTGTACTTCTTATCGAAGATATCGACATCGTTTTTGAACAAGATGACGGTTTCTTACCAGCACTGATGCAACTTGCAACGACAAGCAAAAGACCGATAATACTGACAACTACAGACTACGAGTCGGTATTTGTACAGAAATCTTTAGGAGACCTTGAAAGGATATCTTTTATGCCACTATCTGCGCATTCGTTGGCAGTCTGGCTCCAACTTGTATGCCTCGTTGAAGGCAAGTTTGTGGACCTGGATGAGATTGGGAGTTTGCTAGAGTTCAATAACGGCGATGCACGAAGGACGGTGCTTGAGTTGCAGTTTTGGGTTCAGTCTGGAGGAGATATTGTCAAAAATGATATGACTATCAAGATTGCATGTAGAAGAATTAGTGCTGAAGAAATTTTGGTTAGCGGTGAAGTGAAGGATGAGAAACGTAGAACAAGGAATGCAGATGAGGTTGTTACACATAAAAACTGTTTGAGGAGTTTTCAGATATTTGATGGTCCATATGTTTTTTTTGTGCCTTACCCCCTGAGACTGAGTTTATTGTGGTGGAATTTCTCAAGCATTCTCAATATACCCGACGACTCTGAAAACCGAATCAAGAGGTTGAAAGGTAAAAAACCGGAGCAACTGAAAGATGATAAAGACTATAGCCACGATGACAGGCTGAAGCTAAAAGAACTATCAAGAGTATATGAAACAGTATGCCTCAGTGATGTATTATATAGGAAAATGAATATTGTTGATGATTCTGAACCAGTCGTGAGAAACTTTAAGAATGATTTAAAGAATAGTATAGAATTAAGCAGTAAGATTGAAGATGAGGTGCTAGATTTGGACTTTGTTCACGAGATGAATCACTATTCAGTTAACGGAGAGATACAAAGGTTCAAAATTGTAAATAAAGAAGAGGGATCACTGAATATGGCGGTGCCTGATAAAAGTGAGAGAAGGTAAGATCAATACGATATTGGGTGTATTTATTAACCATATTCCGGTGTTGTCAACAGTATTCTTAGGGTGGAGTAACATATCAAACTTTCTTTTGGAATGCTTCTCAAGTTCCTGATCGTTTTAGGGTGAAAGCGGCAGACAGATTTAGATCTTTAAAAATTTTCTAATGATTTTGCGGGTCTCTTTGATTTTTATTAGTATAAGAATCTGGTATCTAATTAGAAACTTCGAAAACGAGATATTATTTTTTCGATGTTACTTGTCCGCTAATGTTTGACCTCCCCTATAAGGCGGAAAGCACCGCTTGGATTTTAATGAAATTGTCACATAATGTTACTAAAATGCCGTGGACGAACATACTTTGTGGGTTATGAGAATCGATTCATTCGAGCTATGGGAAAAAGGAAAAAATAAGAGCACCTGAACCATAGTCAAGTATGTCCCATTTGAGTCTTTTGATCTTTTTTTTAATTTTGAGGTAGATTTATATCAATGATCTTTGCTGCCAACTCCACCGTGGACGTTACCCCCAACGCCAAAGTGCCGTCAAGACCGTAAGACGGGTGCTCTTGTCGCTCGACATCAACAAAGCTTCTGGTCCGGACTTGATTCCCAAAACACTGGAAACTTGCTCATCCATCTCACCCCAAAAAAGGATCTAAGACCGACCCTCACAACTACAGACCTATAGTCAAAATCACGAGAGATCACTATTACGTCATACCATAAATTGTAATCAATGGACGTACGTCGATGATAAAATCACCAGTCAAAAACATAATGACAACAAATTTATACAGGCGTCCCTCGTTTTACGCGGGGGTAACGTTCTTTGAAAACACCCCGTAAAAAGAAACCGCGTATATCGAAACAAAAACATTTTATTACATAAACTTTTGTTAAATACATAATATACATAGGTATGTTTGTACATATTATGTATGAGAACATTAAACGTTAATTTTTTAACAAAAATATTAATTTTTAGAAAAATAAGACGTAATTTTTGACTGTTTAGCTTCGTTGCGTATATTCTTCTCAACTTCCTTCTTGTATTGCAATGCAGGGAGGCTCTGGATTGTCTCGCAGCGAGGCATCCGGTGTCGTTAATATGGGTACCGGGGCACGCTGGGATAAGGGGCAATGAGACGGCGGACACTCTGGCGAAGACAGGATCAGCCAGCAAGCTTGTTGGTCCTGAGCCAGCTCTAGGAGTGACCGCGCATAAAGCTAGGAGGAAAATGGAGACGTGGGTTGCAAGACAACACTCTCAGAAATGGAGAAGTATCTCCGACATCTCCGCCAGGCACGGGAACTCATTGAAGGGCCCAGTGCTAAGGATGGACGCTTCTGCCTATCTCTGGATAGAGCCAACTTAAGGCTGCTGGTCGGACTGTTGCCTGGCCATAACACGTTAAGGCGTCACCTGCACGTGATGGGGGTGGCTGAGGATCCCTTGTGTGAACACTGCGGAGTAGAGGAAGAGATCTCGGCGCACGTTTTGTGTCGCTGTGGAGCTCTGAGCTACTATAGGCAGACTATACTGGGGTCCATTACTTTGAACCCTCAAGACGTGAAGGAGCTTGGACTCAAGGCGATTCTCAACTTCGCTAAAAGGGCGAGGCTTGTGATCTAAGGATTGTAGGAGTGCAGAAGGGCCCGCTTAGGCGGCCTATGCACTGGCTCCTTATGGTGGCCGGAATGCCTCTAATTTCAAGATTCATTCATTCATTCACAACTTCCTTGTATGGTGCCAATGCTGCAAAAACCTCTCGTTTAGTTTTTAAACTTCTTTCCATTGATTCCCTGATTAACAGCTCGGTGAGATCGTGTGCCATGGTAAAACATTTATTAAGCGTTTTCAACGTCAACTCCTTTGGCGCCGGAACTACTTCATCATCTTCACCTTTTTCTTGAGCTTCATAATTGTTCTCCGTCAGTTCTATGAGTTCCCTTTCAGTGATTTCAACATTATGCGATTCAAATAGCTGATTTATATCGTCCTCATTCATATCATCGAATCCCTCTCCAGGTAATGACTTTCCTAAATCAGCAATGACTTTGATTTCGTCTCTGATATCAGGTACCTTCGCATGAGACTTCACAATTTCTGACCATAAGTTTTTCCAGCAGCCAATTAATGTCGATTTTTTAAGTTCACCAATCAATACATAGTTTATTATCCCTGTCTGGATGAAATCACAAAATACAGACTGCAAAAAATTCAAAACTCTTGTAGTCGTTACATAAACAATTTAAGAAGGTACGATCATGTTTCTCACTCAATATCTTCAATGAATTGGTTGAAAATTTCTGATCTTTTCAAATACAACTTTGTTACATTTGTCGTAAAAATATTAAAAACTTCTGTTCCCGTTTATCTTATGCAAAAGCTTGTTCGTAGGAATTTAATTCACAATTTGAATACGCGCAACATTAATCTCCTGACAATGCCACAACATAGGACAGCCATTTTTCAACGGTCTTTTACGTATAATGCGGTGAAATTGATCAACTCTTTCGAACAATGTTTCATCAGCAACTTTTCTAAAAAAAAATATAAAAACTACTTATTGAGCTCTTAGGTTATTGTCCTCTCTTTGAATCGTACGTATTATGTTTTTTGTTCTAATCGTACGCATTATGTCATATTTATTAATTCTTCTTTTACTATTATTCTTCTTTTTCCTTTTCTTTTTCAGTTTTTTTTTTATTTATTTTATTTTGAAGGTAGTAATAAGCATTGACATTTATGGTTAAGTATAAATGGCCATTGGCCAGACTTCGCCATTTGTAAGGATACATAATTATGTATGTGTTACAATAAAGTCCATTGAATTGAATTGAATTCTTTAATATTATGTAGGCAATCTGCAATTTTGTAATCCTTCCAGCATTGGCTTAATGTTTTTGTAGGGTCGCGTTCCAAGTTTTCTAACAGCAGTTTAAACGTGCGTCGCGTGTAATAAGCTTTGTAGATGGCAATGATTCCCTGATCAAGAGGCTGTAGGATTGATGTGGTGTTTGGTGGAAGAAATTCTGCTCAAACATTGGGATTTATTTCCTGTAAACGGGCGGCTGGGTGACCAGGGGCATTATCTATGAGTAATAACTCCTTAAATTCAAGATTTTTTGACAAAAATAACGTTTAACCTCTGGTATAAAACAGTTCTCAAACCAGTATAAGAAAATGTCTCCCGTTACCCATACATGACCATTGGCACGCCAAAACACAGGCAATTTATTTTTATCTTTGTTTTTTAAAGCACGGGGATTTAATGACTTGTACACTAATAAACGCTTAATCATACAATCTCCAGAAGCATTTGAACAAAGCAAAAGTGTGAGACGATGCTTTGCTACTTTAAAGCTCTGTGCGGTCTTCTCCTCTTTTGATAAAAATGTACGATTTTTCATCTTTTTCCAAAACAAGCCAGTTTCGTCCCTTCTTCTTCAATGATTTTTAAAATTTGCCCAGGATATTCCCTACTAATCAGGTCATGCCCGATTGCACGTTGAAACCACGCGGTGACGCGATGCATCAGAAGGCGCGCGCCGCTGAAAGCGGGGAGCAACCGCGTATAAGTGAACCGCGTAAAATAAATCACTGGTGTCAAAAGCGCGAACGCGTATAAGCCAAACCGCGTATAAATATGCCGCGTAAAACGAGGGACGCCTGTATTATGATTTTTCGAAGTTAGGTTATTTCACTGACTATTTTTATTTTCATTTTATTTCATGGTTTAGAGTGATACCTTATTAATAATTTTAGTTAGGAGTTTTTGTTCTGAAAAAAACATTTATGAGTAGAATACCTCAAGACAAGAACACCAAAGACCAAAGTATTATTCGAAAACAACATAACCTGCTTCAACATAACCTAACTATTCATCTTTCAAATATGATCGATCATGCAACATGAAAACATCGTCTATCTTTGTCGGATACATGCAAATTAGCAATACAGTTTGTTTACATAATTACTTATAACTTACCGAATTTGATGAACGACATCTTTTATTGGAAAGATGAGCTTGATGAGCTTTCATCATCGCTACTGCCTGAAGCACCAACGTCAATAATGAATGGCTCGACTTGTTCCTCTAAAATATTGTCCAGTTCCCACATTCTCTTTTCAACTTTGTCTTTCACGTGCTTAATACAGTTTTCCCATTTTTGCGCTGTTATTAATTCTAGTGCTTCTTTGAAAAGTCCTTTGAGGTCACAAAATTTAAAAGTTGTATTGTGCTTAGCTATATAATTTTTAACCTCTGCCCATATGAGCTCAATGGGATTGAGCTCGCAATGGTATGGAGGTAAACGGAGCACAGTTTTATTTTGACTTGCTGCCATTTCGTCAATGGCGTATTTTTGATATTCCGCCTTATGATCCTTGACAATTCTTAATAATTGTACTTTCAGCATTGCTTCTTCAAAGTTGATATTTTTCGAGCGGAGCCAATTTTGAACATCAACTTTCCTTGAAGCCGTTGTTGGGACCTTCTCCATTCTTCGAGAATGATAAGGCGCATTATCCAACACAATTACTGCGTTTTCCTCTAAGTTCGGTAACATTTTTGAAAACCACTGTTCAAACGATTCGCCATTCATTTCCTCGTGGTAATCTCCAGTTTTCTTAGACTCAAAGCACCACAGACCGTCAACAACAAATCCATCCTCACTGCCAATATGGCAGATAATGAGCCTTTTCCCTTTACCTGGAAATCGAAGTACTAACTGGTGTAGATTTATTTCAATAAGCGAACCTTTTTCAAATGTTTTCATCACATTCAGCGAAAAAACATTGAGACATGAGTATCAGATTGCTATAATTGGGATTATTTAGTCATATTGAAAGAAAGAATATTGAACGTCGTATCATTACTCAGCGCTTCACAATTTAATTTAAAGTTATAAACCTCTAAAAAATGAATGATCAGGAACCTGAAATACGCGCAAATATTAATATTAACAAATTATAACTTTATAAAGCTTAAAGTATGAATTAAAATGATTAGAAATATTAGGAACGGTACACAATATAAAACTTAGTAACTTTTTTTAAGTTTATAATATTCGACATATTTTAAGATTATATTAAAAAATTATTGAAATATCGAAAACACATAAAAACATGGCTTAAAAAAGTTCTAACAAATGAAAATGACAATAAAACATCCACGCATTTTATCGAAAGTTATAAAAGTTTTGTTACTTGTAATATGTTTTATCTGCCCCCTGGAATTAATGTTTAGAACCTTGTTCCCAAGGTTTGAAAAACATCCGATTGTTGTCTATTACTCGTATTTACCTGCTGGATTTTTTAATCCGGTGGACAGTCCATCTAGAAAGGCCCTTCTGGATGAAGTTACAGAATCATCAACCCATACTTTACTTGTAGTGTGTCCTGCGTTTACCCATGTTTCATCAAGGTAATAAATCTTCCTGTTTTGATTTCTATATTTTCCAATTTTTGTTAAATAATCCCTCCTCCATAGCACAATTTCTTCTCTATCCAGTAGTAAACTATGACGACCCCGTTTTTTCCATTTGAAATTTAAATGCTTCAGTAACGCATGGAAAGTTGATCGTTTGAAATTTGTCAACGTTGTATCTCCATTTACCTCCTGCAGTACTTTATCTATAGTAGGTATTTCATTCCTAAAGAAGAATTCGTGCACTTTCCTCCTAATCGCATGCTTATCAGCTTCATCCAATGATTTAACAATACTTTTGCGATGTTTACTGGTCATTGGCTCAGAAAAGGTGTGATTTTTTTTTGTATTGTCTTAACACATTAAACACTGATGCGCGACACACCCCAACTTTGTGAGAAACCTTCACAACAATTTCTTTCATGGTTGATGCCTCGTTCTCCTCGCGCTCGATCTTATATATATTCAAAATGACCTCTTTCATTTCTGCACTCAGGTGTCTTTTTTTAGAGCGTTTCCTAGGTGGACATCAGGAGTTTACAACTTCATCGGCAGTATCTGTACTACTGGGCATTTTGCGCAAGCAGTTGATAACAATAACAATCAATAACAAGGTATAACAATAACAACGACAAACTCAACACCTTAATAAGATAACAAACGAAAACGTCCAAAGAAATATCAAATTGCAATGATGCACACGACATACGTAACACGTCTGAACCTGAATGTGACTCTGCCTTGATACGACTGCTCTGCCGCTCGGCATAGGCATTTAATTGCGAATTGACCAATGAGGGCTCCTGTTTTACGTCGAGACGGCGGCGTTAGCGTGAAAATCACCCGAACCTTTTGTTTACATCCGGTCTATCTCTTATCTGAATATACTGTAGACAATAAAATTCTGTTTGTCTCTGTCTAACATATCGGAAACTTCATTAAATATATTCACAAATCGCTGTGGTTTGTCTTTACTACAGACTAAAATGATGACGTAATCATCATCTTTCGTGATTTCGACTATATTATATAGCTCTGCTTGCTGTTATAAGTATGGTGATGGAGAAGTGCATACTGGACTACCTCGAACGTCACAGCTTGATTAGCGACAGGCAGTACGGATTCCGGCACCAGCGATCCACAGTGAATCTTCTAGCTTACATCACGCAATTATAGAGTAAACTCGTCCAAACTTATGGTGAGGCTCATATCGTTGCTCTTGATATCAGTCAGATGTGGTACACTGCCCTCTTATATAAACTTCCATCCTATGCCCTCCCAGAGAAGCTTTTCAAATGGGTGGCTGACTTTCTCTCTGGCCGCAAGACATCCGTCGTAATTGAAGTGTTCTCTTTTTCATCCCACAACGTCAACGCGACTGGCCCCGACACTGTTTCTCTTAAGTATTAACGACCTCCTTTCCTGTACGATCAACCCAATTCACAGCTTTGCTGATGGCAGCACTCTACATGCACAAAGAAGACTAGCGGCGACTTGGGGACGCAACAATCTTGTACAGTACAATGCTTCCAAAAGTAGTACTGAGGAACAGAAAACGTCCTAGCGCTCATCCGCTTTCGATGGTTGGCCGGGTTCTGCCAAAGTGCCGTTAATTTCGGCTTGTTGGAGTCTAGATCACCGAGGAGTTGATCTAGCACGAGTACATCTTGTCAATAGCGGCAGGTGCTAGGAAAAACCTAGGCTATTTGTTTAGGGCTAAGAAGTACTCCGCATGACCTCACTCTATACAAGGCCTAGATAAGACCTAGCTTCGAGTATTGCTCACGCGTTTGGGGTGCTGTCGCCCCGACTATATTATTTATGCTCGATGCTATCCAGAGAAGGGCTGTTCGATTGATCGTCGACTCTTCTCTAACAGTCTCGTGACCCTTTCGCACCGGCGGGCCCCCGGCGATCTAGCTATTTCTACCGCTACACCAACGGGCCTTGCTACTCAGAGCACTCATCCATGATGCCTGTCAGACAGACCCGTCTGACTTCGGCCTTCCATCCTATCCATGTTGAACTTCGTACATCCAGAACTTGCCGATACGACCGCTCCTTTGTGTCCAGATTGTGGAACAGTCTACAGCAGGAAGCTTTTCTCAGTTCTACTGACCTTAGACAGTTCAAAAATCAGATTAACAAAATTTCTTTGGGATTCTCGTAGCAGCCGAGGTGTCCTGGTGTGTGGGGTATACTGAGTCAATCTCCTTGACCCTTTTTTTAACCAAATCAGTATCACAATTTAACTAAACACTGATTTTAAAGAACTATGGAAATATTCAGCCTCTTAAAAAACGGTGTCAAGTAGATTGACTCTACGTCAGAGAGGACGAATAATAATAATAATAAATGGCCTTCATTCGTCACAGCATTACAAAATAATTGGCTTAATAGGAAGAAATCAAAATAGTGACGAAAAGGTGAAGTGTCAGCTTAAGCTGTTTTCCAACTCGACCTAAAATTTACGTTTGTATTTCGGTTAAAATTTTTATTAGATCCCAGGGAAATATATATTTCTATGACAGTATCAAAATCATTGTTCCAGGTGGAGAGCCAAACAGTTTGTATGTGAAGACCTATTCAAAGAAGCACTGTCTTTCTCCACATCTCTTGATAGAAAAGCCGCCGCCTTAGACTATATGCCAACGATGCGGTGTATATCTCGCTCAGAAGACCAGAGAGCAGCTAATAACACAAAGCGTGGTAATCGGTTCAGAAACTATCTAAGGAACTTGCTGACGAGTTGTAGTGATAGTACTATTAAACTAGCGTGTAATATTCTTAGGGAATAACGTTTTTTCACTATATTCTGTCATGCAGTCGGATTTACAATGCAGAATTGTGCATGTATATGGATTTTTTCTTGCTGCTGAGATTCGCTTTTCGTTCAGTAACAAGCTTCTGAGAGTAGTTAGCAGTTATCATTATGATTGGTGATTCATCTAAGATACACTTTTTGAAAGGAAAAAAAAACGGAACAATCACAATTTCGGGTAGTATTTATTGTAAGAAAAGTATCATGCCTGACATTAGTTTTTGACGATTGTTTATTTCTTATGCATGTTATTACAGCGGCTATACCCCATTTGTAGACCATTTACGCCCAGACAAAACACAACGTGCCCAAAAGCGAGATTGTACAGGTCCGTATTTTCCTCATTGGTCTTGGACTAATCTAACAAAATAAATTATTATTTTTATAGAAAAAAGTGCACCTACTGTTCACAATTCTTATCCATATCCCACACCGTTGTTTTGATTGTCTCTTGAACGTGACGGGTGCAATCTTTCCAACGGTTTGCCATCACTCTGCTGACAGCTTCATAAAACAAATTTTTCACGTCAAAAAATTTGAATGTTTTATTGTATGAAGCCACATAGTTTTTATATTTGTCCAAATCATTTCAATGGGATATAATTCGCAGTGATAACGGGGCAGCATTAAAACTGTCCTATTTTGGGTTTTAGCCATTTCATCAACAACACCAAGATTATAATTATATATGGTGACAGACGGAAACCTGACGTTTTTGAAATGAACAGTAGGGGAGACCGGGGCTGGTAGCCGCACTTTTTTGAATTTATTTTATGACGGCTACTATAATTAATATTTTTTAAAACCCATTGTTGCCGTGAAAAGTCCTATACGTAGTCGTGCCATAAGTTCTGTCCCATGATAATCTCATGATAAAAATGAAACAAGATAAGATATATTTATATGAAAGATATTATTTATTCGACAACATTTTTAGAATTCATAATCAAACAGTTTTATTCAAAATGTCCCCCCTTGGCCTTCACACACTGCTTCAATCTCGCGGGCCACTCATCTATCACTGCACGCACAGCTTCCAAAGGAATAGCTGCCGCTGATCGGATCAAATCCGCTTTCAGGGACTCGATATTACGGTGGGCTTTGGAGCAGGCCAACTGCTCTAGCAGGTTCCACAACTTGTAGTCTAAAGGATTGAGGTCCGGACTCCCTGAGGGCCAATCTTCCGCAGCAATGAACTCTGGCACATTGCTTTCCAGCCAGCGCTGCGTACACTTAGCCTTGTGAGAGGGGGCGGAATCCTGCTGGTAGACCCAGTGTTGGTTGGCAAACAATGTACCACTTAAAGGCTTGACGATAGGATCCAGTATGTCGCTCTGATAGTTTGCCGCTTTTGTTTTCACGCCCTGTTTACAGAAATGGAGCTGAGTGACCCCTTCGTAGGACACCCCCCACCAAACCATGACTGACGCAGGGTGGTGGCCTCTCTCAACTCTCGGAATGATCTCCGAAGCTTCCTGTGAACTCCTTGCATACACTTTGTCATTTTGTCGGTTGAATTTTTCTTCTATGGTGAAGATTTTCTCATCCGTGAACAAAATCTTTCGGAATCCCCCAGCTGCGTACCTCTCCAAGAGCTTCTTGGATCTTGTCGCCCTGATGTGTCGCAAGGTGGCCGTAAGTCGCTGGCCCGTACGTCTCCGGTAAGCCCCTAGCCCTAGGTCTTGTTTAATGATGCGCGACATCGTCCGGACAGGAATCTTCATTTCCCTGGATAGGATCTTCTGCTTCCGGAGTGGATTCCTTTGAATCCTGGCTTTTACGGCTTTGATGGCTGCTGGAGTCCTTACTTGACGAGGTCTTCCGCTTCTTGGCCTGTCATCAACAGAGGACGTCTCATTGTACCGCTGAATGGTCCTAGACACAAATTTACGCGATATTTGAAGGCCGCGTAAGAGTTCAAAAATCTGACTAGCACTGTGATTACACTTATGTAAAGCTATCACTGCAATACGGTTCTCTGCCTTGCCCCACTCCATCGTTATGCTTCGAGAGATCAATACAAACTGAGGTATATGTAATTACCCGAAAAGCGCTTAATCAACTGACACCACAATGTAAACAATCGGACAAGTATTAACAGGTCTACACTTGTTTGAAAACGAGGGACAGAACTTATGGCATGTCTACGTATATTTGCAACATAAAATATTTTTGTTTGTTTTCTTATCTCATATCGTTTTGATACAAATATATATTTCCTTCAGTAAAGCAGAGTGCGGCAACCTACCCCTCTAACGGGGTTGGTTGACGCACCACATGGGGTAGGTTGCCGCATACAAAAATGATTGTAAAAAAATAAAGAATGTGTGATTTTTTATTTTCTAATATTAAATTTTGACAAGAAAAATGTTTTTATTTTTTTTTAATCAAATAGGTACATTTTTTAAACCTAAAATTATTAGAAAATTTAACTAATGAACTCAGGTAATAAAAAGTAAAACTAAAAAAACAGTCAAAGTTAGCGTTAAGTGTTAAACTTATAAGAAAATTAGGTAACTAACTCTTTAATGAACTTAGGTCACAAAGACTTAAAATAAAAAATATTAACATTTTAAGTTACAAACACTTCTCTACTCACTCATACAATTAATACAATAAAAAGGAGCGTTATCTTCTCCCACACATTCTTTGTGTGCCCACCCACTGCATGAAAAACATCTAATCCATTCCTCACCCGGACGACTGTTTGTAAAAGTATCAAGGCAGTAAGCGCATAGACACTCATCTTCATCGCTCGATTCTTCAGCCAATTGTTTTTTATTTACATTTTTCTTCTTTTTATTTTGTTTTTTGTTTTCTTTGTTATTTTTAAGCTCTTTTCTTATTGGAACTTTTTTTGTTTGTTCATCTCTGAGTGCCTCTTTTATTGGCGTATCTGTCAAAATCTCGGTGTGACGCCTTTTTCGAGTTCCTTTATTCTCATTTTTTCTTGGTGGAGCTTTTGGCAGGGGCTTTAGCTCAAATGGACTGACTGTTTTTTTTTGGGTGTTCAACTCGGTATCTTCTTTGGCTAATATGTTAATATTTTTAATTATTTGCTTTTCCGGAGTTTTTTCTTCGAGCGGTGGGTTTATCTCAGAAGTTTTTGGCATTGAGCTATCAGCGTTAAGAATTTCAGAATAATCCCGAGATGTTCCTGGTTGGGGACTAGTATCCTGAGATATTTTAGGTTTAGGGCTATTATTAGGTTTCCTGTCAATTTCATCATCTTTTGCTTGCTCAATAAGTGGGCGGTCAGTAGCATAAGAGGGGAGAAATTCGTCTTCAGAAAAGACACATTCATTGAATGGATAAACTCCTGACACTTTAAACCCTGCTGTTATGTTATTTGGTGTTATTGCGCTTGGCAAAGCTACGGCCACAATTTTAGGGACATCGTAGATGGTCATACTAGACCCTGGATGACTGGTTATCCAACCATCGCATGCTGTATTTACATATTTTTTTAAGGGCCCATACACTGATCTGTCCAGCGGCTGTAGTTTGTGAGAGCAGTGTGGCGGAAAGGACAACACCGTCACTCCATTCTCTTTAAGATAGTCCAAAGAATCAATTGATAAATGGGAGTCATGGTTGTCTAACAACAGAAGTACCGGCCTTTCTTTGGAGCAACCAGTGTGCTTAACAAAATGTTGACACCAGTGCAGAAAATGCTCCTTTTTCATCCATCCAGACTGGTTAGCTGCACCAGCGCTTCCAGGTGGGGCACCAGAGAGCATGTGCTCTCTAAAGTTAACGCGTGGAAAAATAAAATAGGGCGGAATGCTATTACCAATGGCGTTTACAGCTATCGCGAGAGTCACTAATGTGCCTCTTTCTTGAGAGGTGATTCGACCTACTTGTTTAAAGCCCCTTCTTGCTACAATTCTGTCAGGTTTTTGAACGGTCGTAATTCCAGTTTCATCCATATTGTAGATATCCTGAGGACCAATTTGTAGCCTATGCAGAACTGTTTTCAGATTTTTAAAAAAATTTCCTACACTGTGCTTATTGAATCCTGATGCTCGTGCCAAACTTGTGGCTTCCGGCGTACGTATAGACAGACCAGCGTGTCTTTTAATAAAATAGGTAAACCAATCTTGTCCGGCGCATTTATTTGTATTCCAGGAATCGGGAAATTTAATTTTTAGTGAGACAGCCCATTCATAAGCAAAAGTTCTTATCTGTTTTGGTGATAAGCCAAAGTATACATCGGCAGCCTTTAATATATATTCCTCTAATTGTTTCTCTTGGTCGTCGGAGAAAACCTGAAAATGAAGAAAATGTATGAAATAATTCACAAGCACACTGTTTACTAAAGTGCCCAATAAGTAATTATATTTTTTTACCTGTCTATAAAGCTCTTCATCCGTGACCTTCTGCAGAAATCGTCTCAGGGTTCTTTCAGGGATATCGTAATCGGTTCCTGCTCCTCTAATGGATTTATTATTTAATTTGACCTCTCTTGGAGCCCTTAGCATAATGTGTGCTGGTGTCTTACCCCTTTCAGTGGTTCTTTTACGGTTTCTCATATTCTATGAAGATAATAAAACGTTTTTAAATATGTTTTTCCAAATTATATGTGTTGAGTGTAGGAGTGAAATATATATTTATTATTATGTATACTCACTCTTCTTTGTACAAATTGATCTACAAAGACTTTATTTTTTACATACAGTAGAACCTCGGTTATCCGAACCTCTATTATCCGGACCCTCTATTATCCGAACTCGTTTACACAGTTGTTTCTCGCTTTGAACGGACGCCGCCGACGTTGCATTATAAAAATGTTACACGTGCTTTCCCCTCCTAAGCAGCGTAGACGCGTTGGCGGCGGCGAAGGAGTGTAGAGGTTAGATCCATCGTACCGACACAAATCGACAGTCGTCTTACGATTTAACTTCGATCAGTCTTTCAGTGTAGTCGGCAGGCAACTTCGACGGGACGGAACACGAACAATCTCCCTTGTTAAGTCTACTCGTGGCGTGTATGTAATATAAGCCGGGTGCGGTGACATTTTTCGTTTGTTCTTAAGTATGTCTCTTTCAAAGCGTAAACGCGTGGTGCTGTCAATTAAGGACAAAGTGGATATTTTGGAGCGTATGAAAAAAGGCGAATCGGCCCAATCTCTGTCGGTGGTTTATGGTGTGGGAAAGTCAACGATATCGGACATTAAAAAACAGTCCAGCGCGATTTTGACGTCCGCGAGCAAACTTGACTGTGATGCAGGATGTTCGAAGCGCAAGACCATGAAAAGATCCGCCAACGAATGTTTGGATGAGGCTCTTTTCACATGGTTTTCCCAAAAACGTTCATCTGGGCAACCTATCAACGGCCCCTTGGTGTGTGAGAAAGCTTTAGACTTCAATAAAAAATTAGGGGGTGATCCTAAATTCTCTGCAAGTCAAGGATGGCTAGATAAATTTAAATCTCGACACGGCATTCGCCAGCTTGATATTCAAGGTGAAAAACTCAGTGCTGACTCTTCATCTGCCTCTGGATTTGTGACAAGATTTTCAGAAATTTTAAGAGAGGATGGTTATGATTTGGAGCTTGTTTATAATGCAGATGAAAGTGGTTTATGTTGGAAAAGCTTACCTTCTAAAACTCCGGCATCCAAGAGGGAAGTGTCAGCCCCTGGATATAAATCAAGCAAAGATCGGGTCACCGTAATGGTTTGTGCAAATGCTACTGGTAGCCATAGAATTCCCATGCTTTTTATAGGAAAATCCAAAAATCCAAGAGGCTTCAAAAACGCGAAGATACCTCTCGTTTACAAAAACCAATCCAAGTGGGTAAGCAATCAAAGCCTGTTTTATTGGTTTTGGACAATGCGCCTTCGCATCCAGATGCTGAGAGTTTGACAAGAGACGGTTTCAAAGTCATCTATCTACCTCCTAATGTGACATCAATCCTTCAGCCAATGGATCAAAGTGTCATTGAGACTATGAAAAGGAATTACCGGAAGCAACTTTTACGCCGACTTTTGCTCAAAGACAATGACGATGAAAAAGAAAAGGCTGACAGTGTTATCGCGTTCTTCAAGTCAATTAATCTGAAGGATTGTTGCTACATGATTGTTGAGGCCTGGAATTTAGTTTCTCCAAGCACACTGAAAAAGGCATGGAATAAGTTGTTGAAAAAATACTACGATGATCTCAATGAGCCTACTGTTGATCTACTGCCCCTTAACGAAAGACATGAAGAAACTGAACTTGTGACTGAAATGCTTGACACACTTGAATCCCTCAAAGTAAGAGAAGACTGTGACGAAGAAGACGTGCTGAAGTGGTTAAATTCTGACGCCGATGACCAAGGATTCCCCATTGTGACTGATGAAGAAATTATTGAGAGTGTTCTGTCAGACCCAATTGTGGATGACGAGGAAGAAAGCGTCGATGACTGTGCTTTGGAACGTCCAACGGGACCCTCTCACGACGAAGCACTAAAAGCCGTTGATGTTGTCTTTCAGTGGCTTGAAAGACAAGAGGAAGTAGAAATCGTCCAGCTACTTCAACTTCAAAAGATAAAGGAGTTGGCTTTGACAAAAAAAAATAAACAAGATGAAGCAGACGAAGATTGGTGATTTTTTCAAACGTACCTAAGCAAGAGTTTGTAATGGTTCATAATGTGTTCGTACGTACATTTATATATATATATATATATATATATATATATATATATATATATATATATGTACAACATACATAATAAATATATGTACATATTGAGTAGTTAATTGTTTTATTCCCTATGTACACATATGTAGTACATATATGTACATATTTTTAATCTAACCTCTTTTATCCGAACTTTTCGATTATCCGAACCACCTTTGGTCCCAATTAGTTCGGATAATCGAGGTTCTACTGTATATTGATTTATTTTAATTTATGGCGTAATACGATAAAGAGTTACAAGTTGTTGGAGATAACAGTTATGTGTTACTCGTTCGCAAGTTGAGACGAATCTGTCATGCTGTCGACGTATACAATATTTTTCGCATGCAGCTGTGTTTAATATTATCCAATGCTATTCTATTGGTTGATTAGGGAAGAGTAGGAGTGTTAAGAAAGGTTTAAATGCTAAGGTATAGATAGGACGTCATAAGGGTGGAGCTAAAGGGAATAAGTCGAGAGTAGGCGTGAAAGTGAAAAGTGGATACAGGTTAGGTCCAGTTAGATGCAAATGTGAAGCTAAGGTAGGGATAATGAGCGTAAAAGTTGAAAGGGAGATTTCCAGATAGAGATAGCTAATAAGGATGAAAAGCGGTAAACAGGAAGTTGCTCGTCATCACAGTAATACGGGGATTTACTTTTGTTTTACCCTTGTTATTTTTCTATTTACGTGGAATAGGAGTAACTTCTATAGTTTACATCGGATACAGGTGGTCATTCGCTATGATTATGTTAGAAGTTAAATTATTCATGCTAAGCTTATCGTTAAAATTACGTATAATATATAAATAAATACATTTTATGCGTCGCAACAATATGATTTAAAATCCAAAGTGGGGATGGTTGCCGCATACGGCAACCTGCCCCTCAACAAATGCGGCGACCGACCCCAAAGCGTTTTTTAAAATACTTTTGCGTTTATTTTTTATCTGGTAACTAAAGTGGTTATTAAAAATATGTTACTAGAAAATAGATTTCCGTAGAATTCTGACGGTCTACTTCGTTTTATATTCTTACTTTTACATCAAAAGTTATAATAAAAACAATAGAAAAAATAAATTCACTTACGAGCATCAAAATAACACTTGACGGCGTGCACTCACTTCTATTGCACTGATCAGACTGAAACGTTCCACAAAGTTCGGGCGCGACTTAAGCTTTAAAACACGAGACGCGGCATTGTCGCCATATTTATAGTTTTGGGGAAAAAGCCAGTGCGGCTACCAACCCGTGCGGCTACCAGCCCCGGTCTCCCCTACGCAGTTAATTTTCACGGATTATTTTATTTTAATACACAAAATCGTTTGTCAGGACATGCCATTTGAAGATAAGTATCACTTGTGGAAAATTACGTCAGGTCAGTGGTGTTCATCCTCTTGAATGCACTGTTCCAGCCTTCCCCGAAAATTGGCCATCACACGCGTCATCAGTTCACCATCAATTGTAGCCTTCTTCCCTGATTGCCTCTTTTAGTTCTGCCAATGTGCGGAGTCTGTAAGTGTATAAACGTGATTTGAGATACCCACACAGAAAAAAGTCACAAGTGTTCAAGTCAGGTGATCTCGGGGGCCACGGGAAGTCGCCAAAACGGGAAATTCATCTTACTGGGAAGCTACTTCGCAGCACTTGCATGGACACACCAGCAGTGTGTGCGGTGGCACCATCCTGTTGGACATAAATATTTTTAAAATCCAGTTGCAGCCTGCGCAGTTTGAGACGCAATAAAGTGTTTAGCACGTTCGGCATTCACTGTAACAGTTGAACCATTCTCATCTTCGAAAAAATAAGGACCAATGATGCCGATTGGAGTAGTTGCGCACCAAACTGTTACACGCTCTGAATGTAGAGGCTTTTCGTGCACGATACGGGGATTCTCAGAGGACCAGTACCGCAAATTTTGTCCACATCTAAATGAAAATGCGCCTCGTCACTGATAATGACCGCATTCTCATTGTTTTCCAAAAGCGCTTGCATTCGACAAGCAAACTCCTGCCGCTGCACATAATCTCGTTCTTCAAGCTTCTTAGTCGGTCCTGGTGGCTTCTTTTTCAGAATAGATCCTGGTGTCCGTAGATTATGAACCCAACTGAGAATCGTGTTGCGTCTTGGAACGGTTCCACAACGCCCACGTTTGAAACGCACATGAAAAAGTCGCTGCACGATAATAACAGACCCGCCATTCTGCACAAATGCGTCATACGCAAACATGCGATGCTCAACTTTCTACCGTTCCATAGCTACTGAAACGGCATCGAATGGCCAGCAGTGTTGCCAGGTAGATCAGACCAAAAATCGCTACCAGCCATCCGAAAAGTTTCAAAAAAACAACCAAGTATCTTCCAACCATTTCAGAGAAAAACCTTGTTTTCGCGATTTTTCCTTATCAGTCGCCTTTGCGGGTGGGATATTTAATTCTTCAGTTTCCTCAGATTCTGATACAGCGCGACCTTAAAGTAACAGATATACATTCAATAAAAATCAAAAGATGGGTGGCAAAATAAATAACATACCTCTTTTCGAAGTGGACCAAAGTATTTTTTTATGCTATCCATTGTATTCCCCGAATCACAATAAATTCCAATTATCCAAGAAACAAATACGTTGGACGTAAGTCACAGGTCAATAATATTATGGAATAAAAACAAAAGGGTTTGACGAGACCAAGAGGTTTCTGGGAAGTACCAGAGCACAGCTAATACGATTACGTGGTATCGTGGTAATCCCAGCTGAGCCGATAAAGCAGACAAGACAACCGGCAATCAGTAGCGCCTCGTCCTTAAACATAACTTGAATATAAATAATCAATGAATATCTAAATCGTTAACACGTTCAGTGCTATATGTTAATCAAAAACTTCACGGAGGGACGAACATTTTTTTTTTTAGAAAGTTACTATACAAATATTGCTTATATGTCTTCAACATAATTAGAATGTAATAAAAACCCTCCCTTCAGTATTTTTTGTATATGACGCACTGGTGCGTCAACCGCACACTACACCCAACTTTGGTCCAGTATGCTCATGACGCACTGGTAAGTCATAAAAATATTTATTGTAATACTGCAAACACATTTTACAGATCATCAAATAAAAAAGATTTCATACCCAAGACACACACATATAAAGGGTGTCTCATAAATATTTTCTTATTTTATGCCATAAATAAAAATACTTAGAATATTTTTACAAAGATAAATTTATTACCAAACGAAAGCCTAAACATTAATTTTATTTATGGAAAAGAGTATCGGATAAATGAGCACCGTTCATGTTTTCACACTCTCTTAATCTCGAACTGAAGTTTTCGATCACTCTCCGAAGCATTGCTCGAGGAATGGCGTTTATTTCATCTGTTATTTTTTGCTTCAACTCTCTCAAATCTTGTGGCGGTGGGGTGTATACCTTACTCTTCAGGTATCCCCATAAGAAAAAATCTGCTGGTGTCAAATCGGGACTTCTCGGTGGCCAGTTAATGTCTCCTCTGCGACTGATGACCCTCTCTGGGAATAACTGATGAAGAGCATCCAAGGATTCGTTCGTGACATGAGAAGTCGCTCCATCTTGCTGGAAAAACGTGTTTCTATTGTAGCCACCATGGTTCTGTATAGCTGGAGTTAAAAAAGTCCTAATCATGTGGCAGTAGCGCTCAGATGTTACAGTTTGAGCTTGGCCACGATTGTCTTCAAAAAAATACGGGCCAATGATTCCTTGCCCTGACATAGCAGCCCAGACGATAACTTTAGGCGAGTGTAATGGCATCTCATGAAGATTTTGTGGGTTCTGCTCGGCCCAATATCGGCAGTTTTGTTTATTAACATGCCCGTTAATGTGAAAATTCGATTCATCAGAAAACCATATGTTGTTGTAACCGTTAAAATGCTCTCTCATTGTTCTACAGAACTCTAATCGATTAGCGGGATCTTGTGGTTTTAATTGTTGTGTAACAACAATCTTGTATGGGTGAAAATGCAAATCCTTGCGAATAATGCGATGAACAGTTGACTTATGCAAAGTTAGAGACGCTCCACGCAGTCTTAATGATTGCCGGGGATCCTCGTTAACGGACTGGCGCACACGTTCAATATTTTCGTTCGATCTTGCTGACCTTGGCCGTCCAGGCGGTTTACTAATACACGTGTTTCCAGTGCTCTCGAACTTTGTTACCCAATATTTAATTAAATTTGCGCTTGGGACATCTCTCATTCTTGCTATGTTATAATGATTTCTGTACAAACGACGTACAAGCACATAAGAATCCTTGTTTTTATAGAACTCGCGAACACAAAAAGCACGTTGCGGTCCTGTAAAACGCTCCATTGCAACTAAAATTTAACAATGTTGCCAAACGTTTGTCAACTGTCTCGTTTCTCCGGAGCATGCGTATTCCGCCAGAGGACTGATCTAAAAACGAAAATATTTCTGAGACACCCTTTATATTAGGAAATTAAACGCAAAACTCTAGTGTGGATACAAAAAACTATTTTATGCAAAGCAAACTGCAAGTTACATATTGATAAACGTATTGATATCTGAAAGTATTTCAAATACAGGTAAACCTGAATAAATGTTTATGATAAGAAAACTAAGCCCGATGATATTCTTCGAAGCATCTTCCAACACACAATCCTGGGGCATCAGGACATTTGGTACAATGATACGAGGAATCTTTTCTGATTTTATTCTGCCAACACACTTTGTAACGCAGTAAATCATCATCTAATAATCTAAAATAATCATAAGGACTTGCGTTTAGATCAAAATCAATCAGGAAACCGGGTGTTTTTGTAAAATTAATGTCCTTCATTCCGGCACAAGTATCGCTCCAAACCTCATTCAAATCGTCAGACGCAGTTGTTACATTAGAGTCATCAGGCGGAACAACATTATCATCATTAGTAGGTATATCTAAAACAAAAATTATTATCACACTGATACAAAAAATATGTTTAATATAGATCTTACCGTAATCGTCCTCTGAAGATGAATCAAGGTCACTGGGGATGTAAGAGCCTTCGATGTCGGAATCATCCAAGTCGAAATCCGAATCTGCAAGAATACGTAAGAGTTCTTCATTTGTAAGGTTATTTTCATTTCTGACTTGAATTTTACGTCTTTTTGTACCTGAAGTACTTGCTTCACACAGCTTTGGGTCACTCATGATTTACTATGTATAATCAAATAACCGATAATCAAATTTTGAAACTACCAATTTAACGTAAACTGAACCTTTCTGTACGTGCTTCGTTCGTAATAGTTTCCTCTCGACAAGTGCTGAAATACTACTGCCGGTTATGTTTAACGGCGTAGCTGTCTCACCGGTGCGTCATGCGCGTGGCTTGAATACGCAGGTCGACGCACCAGTGCGTCATGCACACTCAACGTGTTAAATAATTAAAAATAAATTGTCCTAATCTAAGTCGAAACATTCGCTACAAACAGGTTTGTTTTTGAATATCGCCGCTACGTCTCAAAGTAGTAAAAAAGTCGCTATTTTCGCGACAAGTCGCTACGAATGGCAACACTGATGGCCAGATTAATTTCTTGTAATTCGGCTCCCTACTCCTCTTACCGGCATAGTACTAGCCATCTCAAAAACGCCAGGTTCCCGTCGGTCACCCTGTATTTGTGCTGCCTGACTAGATGGATAAGTTTCTGCTTAGACCATATTTTCATTGAAACGAATGTCTTTTGATAGGAGCCATTGTTGAATTTCTGCCTTTCTTGTGGACATTGTGAGATTTTTTTCTAGTGTGGTATGCAGCATTATCAAGTACAATGGCCGCATTGACGTCAAGCTTTGGGAGCGTTTCTTCAAACCATCGTTCAAATGAACTCCCGTCCATTTCTTCATGGCAGTCGGTCGTTTTCTTTGCCTCAAATGCCCTTAGGGTAGAGGGCACAAAGCCATTTTCACTGCCAATGTGTCTGATAACAAATCGTTTTCCTTTTCCTGGATATAATAATTTCATATAGTATTCAAGAAAACTAATAATAATATGGGGTTGTCCAAAACGGACGCAGGAAAGTAAACGCATATTAAAACAAGAAAGATTGATATTCAAATCAAGATGGGTACTTCATTTTAAAGGTTCATTTATACCATTTATGTATGAAAAATAATATCGCTCAAATGTTCACCACGACTGGATTTACAGACGTCCACGCGATGGTCGAAATTTTCAATGACATTTTGCAACATGGTCGGTTCTATGGCATTTATCTCGGCAATGATGTTGTTTTTGAGTTCTTGGAGGGTGGCTGGTTTGTTGACGTAGACTTTAATTTTCAAATATCCCCATAAAAAGAAGTCCAAGGGAGTCAAATCGCACGATCTTGGTGGCCATGGCACATTTCCTCTGCGCGAAATCACGCGATCACCGAAGAAGGACTGCAATCGATGAATATTGACGTTGGTTGTGTGGCATGTTGCACCGTCTTGTTGGAAATAAACATCGTCCATATCCATTCCTTCAAGTTGCGGCAAAAAATAGTCCTCTATCATCACGTGATATCGCTCAGAATTGACGGTAACGGCGTCCTCGGCCGCATTTTCAAAAAAGTAACGTCCGATGATGCCTTTTGACCACAATGCACAACACACAGTCACTTTTTGAGGATGCATCGGCTGCTCTTGATACTCACGGGGATTTTCGTTCGCCCAGATGCGGCAGTTTTGCTTGTTTACCGTCCCATTCAAAGTGAAATGCGCTTCGTCGCTGAACAGGATTTTTGATGAAAAATTTTCATCAATTTGGCGGTGTTCAAGGAGCCAATCTGAGAACGTTCGGCGCGAAAAATGGTCGGTCCGACGCAGCTCTTGCGTCAATTGGATCTTGTAGGCGTGTACATTCAATTCCTTGTGGAGAATGCGGAGCAAACTGGTTCTCGAAATGCCCAATTCTTGGGATCGACGCGTTGTTGATTGTTTCGGATCGTCTCTCACACTCTCCTTCACAACAGCAATATTTTCCAGTGTGCGAACGCTCCTTGGCCGGCCAGAGCCTGGCAGATTTGCCACAGAACCTGTTGCCTCGAATTTACGCACCAGACGACCGATGGTTGTTTCGTTTGGGCGGTTGTTGCGACCGAAATGTTCACGAAGCGCGCGAAACGTGTTTTTTATTTTTGCACCATTTTTGTAGTGCTCTTGAATAACTTTAATGCGGTCTTCAATCGAATACGACTCCATAGCGATCAATGGTAAACATTCAACTAACAAAATGACATGTCGGTGACAGAAAACAAAGATGGCGTCTATGTCAAATTGACGTTTACTTTCCTGCGTCCCTATTGGACAACCCTTTACAAGCAGAGTATCTAACATGTGTTGGTTGCGAATCTACCAGATATAACTAAGCCTCGTGTGGGCTCATAGATTCAGTCTAGTTGACACCATTTTTACAAAACAAATGACGAATTGGTTAGTTACACGAACCTGATGGATTCTTTAGGCCAGTGGTTAGCCGATCTTGCTGATTTGATTGTAGAGACAGTCCATACTTTAGGTTTTATATGTGTTGCATTTATCCAGGTTCCATCGAAGTTACAAATCTTCCTGCCCTGGTCGCGGTATTTCTCTATTGATTTTAAATAATTTCTTCTCAATGTATCAAACAACTATTTCTTTGTTCGTAGTTTTATGGTCGAATGACCAATAGCTATTGCAAAGCTTAAGCGGTTGCCGTTTTGCTGCGCTGCATATTTTTTGTGCCGGGGCGTGAATGGACTACGAATATGGTATAAAAGAATATTCTTTTTCTACGAATTTCAAAACGTACCATGTCAACCGCAGTGAAGACCATTTTTTGTTTGATAATAAAGATAACCCGTCGCAGTTGTTATTTTCCAGGCTTTCAAAAAAGTGCCTCTTCTGAATCACCCATAACTTTCAACAAAAAAATTCTGGTCGCTTGTCGATCTCAAATATTAAATAACAATACCGAGCAGACGGAACATATTTTTTTAGTGTCAGTTTATGATTCTTCCGATGTGCGGAATAACATAATCAAAAGTATATTATGAAATTAGGCATAAAAACCAGGATAACATTTGTAAAAAGTTATTTATTTTGAAAAAATTATATCAAGACATTTTATACATTAGATTAGAATAAAAGGATACAAATGTAGAAAGAAGTTTTAATCCCAATACTGGCGTTTGTCAACTGTTACAAAATTGTCGTTGAGTCATGAAATTATAGATGCATTCAAATAAAAATATTTATAAAAATTAGACTAATCCTATCATACCTTAAAATTTATACAACACAATTTTTTTCACTTGCTTTGAGTTAGCTTTTTGACAGTCTATGACTCTTAATCACCCGATATCGTGTTATTAAAAAATGTGAATATTCACCAAAAATAGACCTTAATCCCGGCTGTTTGAGAGAAAAAAAAAAACGAGGAAATTGGATTGTCGACCATTAAAAATCATAGCTGCAATTCGACGTTTGCACTGAACTGACCAACATGATGTGCTTATTCCTATAAATTAATATAATATGTCATAGATTTTTAGGAACAAATGAACGTAATAAAAGGTTAACACCTAAGTACTGTAATGGACAAAAGTATATGGACATATATGAATATTTACCTGAAGCGTAAAGCAGTTTGGGCAATATCGAACAAATATAAACAAAAAGGTATCTTGGAAGCCTTTAAGAAAAGTGGTCGGCCTAGAAAACTGAATGCTAGATCAATTAGATTAATAGAAGTAATTTCGTTCAAAGATCCGTTTAAAACCCCAAGACAAATAAAAGCCGAAATCGAGACAAAAGGAATTGTCAGTGTTTCTACGAAAACTATAAGTAGAAGATTAAATGATTTGAAGTTATTTGCACGTCACCCGAGTAAGAAGCCGCTAATCTCGAGGAAAAACCGTAAGGACCGATTACAATTTGCACGGTTGCATCTTGATTGGAGCATCTGTGACGGAAGAGGGTATGTTTCAGTGACGAATCCAAGTTCAATATGTTTGAATCAGATGGTGTTCATTACGTTAGACATCCTAGTGGACAAAGATTGAACCCCAAGTACACTTTTCCCACTGTTAAACATGGAGGCGGGTCTGTTATGGTTGGGGGGTACTTTTCGGGGTTTGGGATGGGACCTTTACATAGAATAGGTGGCATTCTGGATAAGTTTGTATACAGACATACTAAAGCATGACATGGAAGACAATATGCCCTTAAGATCAATCTTCCAGCAAGATAATGACCCGAAGCACACTTCAAATCTTGCAAAGAAATTCTTTCTGGATGAAAAAATACCAGTTCTCAAATGGCCTTCACAGTCTCCCGATATAAACCCAATTGAAAATCTATGGGAATACTTAGATAAGCAAATACTAGATAAAAATTATTCAAACAAAGATGAACTTTTTGCCGCTTTAGAGCAAAAGTGGAGACAGATTGATGAATCTTATATCAAGAAACTTCTACAATCTATGCCGAGACGATGCCAGGCGGTGATTGATAATAATGGTTATGCTACAAAATATTAACACAAACATGGTTGGTTTTCTATAATTCAATGAACTTTGCTTCGTTTTTCTATAATTGTTTTGCTGTATCTATATATTTTTGTCCTTCATAGTTCCAGTTTTTTTCAATTAATTTTTTATTGAAGGGAGTCTAATGAATTTATTTATGTATAAGTGAGTATTATGCTATAACGAATTATGTATACAGGTTGGTGTATTAATAAAACAAGTTAAAAAAGAAATACAGCACAATATTAATTTGTCTATATACTTTTGTCCATTACTGTATATGCCAAAAATTATTAAAATCGCATAAACATACGTAGGGGTCTACCTTTTTTTGTCACTCAGTATCCTCATACTTTTTCTATAAAGTGGCTTACCTTAAGACAAATTAACAAATACATAAAATCAAGTGACAAAAAAATCCAATTCCACATTAGTATCTTAGTGTCCTAAGGGGGTTTGCATCGTGAATACATATTTCACTTAACTGTAACCACACAAGCCGAAAAACAAACTATACGTTTTCACTGTTTTCAGGATCCTTAATGTTTTTATTTACAAAAACTTGCTTAGGTATCGGCCTCAACAATGTACCTTCCAATTTGTACGAGTTCTGCTTTCTTTCTAATCTGACCTTCACGGATGAAAATATTTCTAAAACCAAGTCCACTTTAGGATTTTTTTTAGTTTTTTGAAAGGTTATTGTTAACTTCAAAGGCCTCTTCTCACACTGTGTTTCTGGACCGGTGATTGGTAGTGCTTCTACTTTCCACGTTGTCTTTGTTTGACACGTCTGAAAAAAAAAATGATAAGCCGGTGCATAAGAACTTTTAAAAATCTGATAGGATAACTGACTTTGAGTGTTGGTTTTATATATAGTATCTAGACAAAAAAAATTTTTAATAGCAGTCAAAGGTTTTTGAGGGGCTTATCCCCATTTTTCAACTCTTGAGTTAAACAAAAGGTATTTGTAATTTGTATACTTTAAGAATTTACTCAACGTTTCAAATGGTGAATTAGTTTTTTCAAATAAAAAGTTCCTTGTGCCTGTAAATAATGTGGGAAATTTATTTTTGAAACAACTCTTGTATTATGTCACACTAGAACTTATTAAATCTCGTAATCTTACGTTTGAAGTTTATTTAATTACCAATACTAAATCATAGAAAGTCTCAGAATATACATTTTGTAGGCAAAATATTGAAAATAACATTTTTGATAATATGTACCTCGTTACATCAATAGACTTGTAATGTCACGTATTCCTGTTAAGGGGTGATAGATTAGGTCAAAAGCAACCGATTTTGTCCTATAATGTCCTATCCAGAAGTTAACCGTTTTTAAGTTATTTGAATTTATTTTAATTTTTTATTCCGATTTCAGACGGTTAAATTTGAAATACAAAAAAACTGCATGTTTGTTTTTGAGTTCTTTGTTATCGTCGCATAGCGGACATTCCAGAAGTTCATAATAAGTAATAAAATGTTGAAAACTTACAAAAGTTTAAAAATTACGCTTTTGAAATGTATGATTTTCTTATTTTTTTACTAACTTATTCGATAAAAAATGCAATTTTCTGCAAAAAATCTCCTAGTAATGAAATGTGCAAATTATGTAAATAATATGTCTATCTAACAAGCTTTCATTTGAGGTATAAAAGTTACAACTAACTCAAGTACAAGACATAAAATTAAAAAAATATCTGCCATAGGTGTCCCAACAGCCTTTGCGAAGTTGAGTTCCTGCCTAAAGATGTATTAATGCACCTGCGAAATCTGAAGACCTCTTCCTCCCCTGGTAAAGATGGGATGACGGCTGCTGTACTTAAAAACTGCGCTTCAGCACTGGCCCTACCATTAAGCTTGATATTCACATCGTCTTTTAGATCTCATACCCTACACTCATGCTGGCTTAGCGCTTCTGTTACCCCTGTATTCAAAAAGGGCGACAAATCCTCCGCTAAAAATTATCGACCAATAAGTCTCGTTCCTATCGCCGCCAAAATAGCTGAAAGAATCATATTAGATAAGCTCCTGTCCTTTGCTTTCGAAAATGACCTTATCCCTAAGAATCAGCATGGATTTCTCCCTGGTCGATCAATAATGACCAACCTTCTCCACTCTCTCAACGATTGGACTCAGTATCTGGACACAAAGACTCCTGTTGATATAATCTACTTAGATTTTTCTAGGGCTTTCGATCGCGTACCACATAGAAGGCTTCTGTTTAAGTTGGAATGTATGGGAATAAGAGGCGAGTTGTTACTGTGGATTAAGGCTTTTCTCACCGGGAGGACTTTCTCTGTGCGCGTCAGTGATAGCCAGTCTCACCTTCATCATGTAGCAAGTGGAGTTCCTCAAGGCTCTGTCTTGGGGCCAGTGATGTTCCTTCTGTATACAAGTGACCTGCCCGCATTGATTTCCTCCACATGTTCAGCTTATGCCGACGACACCAAGATTTACAATACTGTCGTAAATTCTGCTATTCTTCAACGAGATCTTGATATTGTTTGTCAATGGTCAGTCAGTTGGCTTTTACCCTTAAATCTAACTAAGTGTTGTGTCCTTCACCTCGGGAAGACAAATCCGCGATTTACATACAAGATCTCTGACCACAACATCGAAGCAGTTTCCAGCCACACTGATCTGGGGGTTGTAGTCAACGATCGTCTTTCCTGGTCAGAGCATATTCACCACGTTACATCAAAAGCCAAGAAACTTCTATACATGCTGGAGAGGCCTTTCAAAGGATCCGATGTCAACACTTACGCCTACATTTACAAGGCATTCGTGAGGCCAATTCTTGAATTCGCTGGCCCGGTATGGGACACTGTGCTTCTGCGCGATAGAAATCTCGTCGAATCAATACAGCGTCGGGCTACTCGTATCCCTTTTGGAGCACGAAGACCAAGCTATGAAGATCGCCTTGAATTATTCAACCTGACCTCATTCTCTGAGCGAAGACTTCGTGGCGATCTTATAGTTACGTTCAGGATACTTCATGGTTTGATGGGCACCAACCTCATGCATCTATACCGTCTGTCGCGCAGCAATCTACGCGGACACAGCTTCAAACTGCATAAGGAGCCATTTAAAACAACAATCCGACAGTGGTTTCTTCCCAACCGCATATTCAACACCTGGAATAGTTTACCTGAAAGTGTGGTTGGTGCTACTTCAGTTAACAGCTTCAAAATGCAGTATGATAGCTGGAGGAGTGTACAAACTTTATAGCTATGAACTGTCTTTTTTTATTTTTTTCTATTTGATGTATTTGTGTTATGTGTCCGTACACTATATTTACTGCATGAGCTTATAGTACTGTGTACTCTGCTCATCTCAATTATCATAATAATAATAATAATAATAATAAAGTTGTACGAACGATAATTACGTAGGATAAATAAAAGGCTTTTATTTTAATTACAGTTTTATTTAATTACATTTCCTTTAGTATTTCACAGATTCTGCTCAAATTGTAATCACCTGTTACGAATATACGCCCGCATTCTCTTACGTAATTCACTTTTGGAAACTCTAGTTGTTAAGCGGCTTTTTATTTGGTCAGCTGCACTGATTATCCTTGTAATTAATTCATCGCGCGTTGGTACGGGCGAAACATCGTACACCAGGCTTTTCATATGTCCCCACTCATAGTAATCCATCGGTGTGAGATCGGGCTTCTTGCTGGCCAGTCAATGGGCCCGCCTCTGCCAATCCATTGATTTGGAAATTTAGAGTTTAAATACGCCCGTAGCCCGTACTAATCTACTGTAGTGTGCGGGACAGCCGTCGTGCTGGAACCGCATATTTTGTCTCGTCGCCAATGGGACGTCTTCCATTAGTGGAAACAAGTGATTTTTCAAGAACTCTTCATACACTTCTCCATTTAAATTGGCGGGCAGAAAATGAGGTCCAATTAAATATCCATTAATGATGCCCATCCACACATTGACTGAAAACCGTCTCTGAGACCCCGTCGGTCTTATTTTTCGGGGGTTTAAAGCTTCTTCATCAGCCCAGTAATGAGCATTATGGTAGTTAGTGGTCCCGTCCTTATCAAACTTCGATTCATCGGTCCACAGAATTTTCTTAAAATAGTCTGGATCTTCTGTATCTGCATGTAACATGTACCTGCAGAAATCTAATCGTCTTGCAGGATCGCCCTCTTCGATCACATGCACAGGCGTGTAGTGATAAGGGTATAATCTTGCAGTATGCATAGTAAACCATACTTTGTATCGTGATATACCCAACTGAGCAGCCACAATGCGCGTAGACGTAGTAGGGTCTTCCTGAAACACACGAAGGATTTCATCTTCAGGAGGATAGACTCGGGGTCGACCAGCATCACTATGTTGCCTTTGAACACGTCCGGTTTGGCGGATGCGCCGATACACAGAGTCAAACACAGTAACATGAGGTGTTCGGCGTTTCGGGAAACGTTGCCGATATTCACGGCGGGCAGCTGCAGAATTGCCGTTACAAAGTCCATAACAGAACAGTATGTCTGTGTATTCTTCATTTGTAAAAGTTTGCCCGTGCTCGCTATGGCGAGGTCCTGGCGGATCTTCTGCGTCTGCCATGATGATAAAGAAACCACTCGAAATGAACTGGGAAACCCGAAAATAATAATCGTGCGTAAAACGTGTGCGCGTACGCAGTAGTTGATACCAACTAAACCTAATTCTCACTCGGCGTGCGGCGATGGCGTAACTACAATGATGAATAATAACAGCACTCTCTCTCACTCCTCCACTAAGTCAGCTCTTCCCGCTCGCTTCCTCGTCGAGCCGATGCCATAAAACAATCATGGCATGCGAGTCCTTTGAGGACTTGTAACGACTTGTGATTTACATAATTTGCACATTTCATTACTAGGAGATTTTTCACAGAAAATTGCATTTTTTATCGAATAAGTTAGTAAAAAAAAAGAAAATGATGCATTTAAAAAGCGTCATTTTAAAACGTTTGTAGCTTTTTAACATTTTATTACTTATTATGAACTATTGGAATGTCTGCTATGCGACGGTAACAAAAAACTCAAAATCAAGCATGCAGTTTTTTTGTATTTCAATTTTAACCGTCTGAAATCGGAATCAAAGATTAAAAACTTAAAATTCAAATAACTCAAAAATGGTTAACTTTTGGATAAGACATGATAGGACAAAATCGGTTGCTTTTGACCTAATCTATCACCCCTTAACAGGAATACGTGACATTACAAGTCACCCTGTATAGATGACGAAAATTAAGACTCCACAAATTATTAAGAGCAAATATATTGAATTACTTACATTTGGATATATTCTGATTATGCTGCCAGTTTTTAATACAATAACATCAAAACTTCTCTGTTTGATGTCGACCACAACACAGTCCGCGTAAAAAGGTTGATTTTTCTCTATGTAGAATGCTAAAAATAGTTCACTACTTGCATCTCCAGCTTTCTTGGCGTTGTACTTTTGGGCGTTACAATTTGCTGCTATCGCTGACACGTAGTCTACGTCCCACTTGGGTGCTTCTTGATAATCTGAGGAAATTAAATATGTAAAAAAACCGGTATACGGTGAGGTTCAAAAAATTATAGTGAAAAAAGTATCAGGTCCAATTGACTATAAAGCCTGTTTTTTAGTTTCGTTAAAGTATAATTTATTACACTGAGTTATCACGTTCTAATTCCCGATAATTCGGACAGAGGACGCTAAAAATGCTTGAGTGGTTAATGTTTAAAGTACCAAGTGATGCTGCTTCGACTGTTGCTAGATTAGATGAATTTTTATGAACTACGCTAGTAATAGATCTAGCATACGATTTATAGAAAAAAACATTGTTTATAAGTATTATTTTTCTTATTTGCTTTCATTGTAATGTGTCAAGTAAGGTGTACCAAAGTACAGTGGCCTTTCTTGAATTTCTATTTAGGGATGTCAACCACATACATTGAAAACCAAATTTGTCTGACGGCTTGAGTTCAATGTGTACGAGAGAGAAGTATGTATAGACACATATATTAGAAAGAGATAGAACCCGGCTGGATAGCGAGGATCATACACTCGTTGCCTAGCGGCATTCTGCGTGCCAATATGTTACACCAGTTCCCTGAATTAAGGTGCATATCGAAAATATGCGCCCAAATAAGTGTGTCGAATCTGTTTAATATCGATTCCGGATCGGTCCTAGCGGCGCTCCATTTTAGGTCGAAATGAAAGATCAGGATCGCCACAAATTCTGCAACATTGCACCATTGGTTCGCATGGCAACACCGCATCTCGTACATTCCAAGGCATGGTTTTCACCTCCATGATCATAGACACTCGCTGTCGCAAAATGTAACAATAACTCAGGATGTGTGGATTTTATCACCATCGGTGGAAATCAAAGTCAATTATAAAATAAATCAAAACACTAAATCCCATCATAATTGAAATAAATAATGTTAATCAAAATGAAAACAAAATATTAAATGTTCGAACAGACCTCCTTCTTGGGTTTGACAGTAACTTATTGTAAAAGCCTGTGCAAACATTTTCTGGTGTAACATATTGGCAACGCGGCAGATCGCACGATCGCACGTCACTGTTGCTAGGCAATGTGGTGATGACTTCGCTCTTCAGCCGGCTTCTACCTCTTCCTAACATGTGTTGATACACACTTCTCGCGCTTTTATCTCGTACACATTGAACGGAAGCCGTCGGACAAATTTGGTTTTCTCTGTATACAGTGTCTAAAAAGTACGGATAAATCAAAATATACTAAGTGACATATAATTCCGAACACCCAGTTTAAATGGTTTTATTTTAATAAAATTTTGTATAAGTACTTAATGAAGCATAATAAGTAAAGGATAAAAATTTCAAAATGATTGCACTGCTTTAAAGCCCTTTGACCTTTAATAATGTGTGGATGCACCCTGATGTGCTACGCATTCTCCAACGCGCCTAGGCATGGTTCTGATCAGAAGGTCAATGTCCTCCTGTGGTATCTCATTCCAGGCAACCACCAACTCCTCTCGAAGTGCTTCTAGAGTCTGAGGAGGACGTTGCAAATTGAGCAATCTCCTACCCATCATATCCCACACGTACTCACTTGGGGATAAGTCGGGAGATCTTGGTGGCCATGGTAACAATGTGACATCATTATGTTGAAAGAAGTCTATTGTGACTCTTGCAACATGTGGTCGGGCATTATCTTGTTGGAAAGTTGGATCTGCCAGGGTGTCAAGATAGGGTAAAAGATGGGGTTCTAGAACTTCGTGGATATAACGCTGCGCGTTCATGTTACCTCTGATGAAGATTAAGGTAACCTGGAACCATAAGCTATAGCACCCCAAACCATAACTCCAACAGTGTGATGAACATGTCTTTCAACAAAAAACTGTGGATTCCTCCTTTCACCATGTCGCCTTCTAACCCTGGCACGACCATCGTGCATGCCTAAACAAAATCGAGACTCGTCACTAAAGACAATACTGTTCCATTCCTGATCCCAGAGTGACCGTTGTCTACACCACTCAAGGCGATTACGTCGGTGTTCTCGAGTTAAAGGGAGGACCCAGTGTGGCCGGTATGAAAACAAGCCAAAACTTCTCATTCGTCGGTAAACACTTCGCATGCCAATAGGTCTTCCGTGTTCTGCAAACCATTCATTTGCAATGGACCTGGTATTGGAGAAACGTTCCCTTAAGGCCAATAATCTTAGGCGGCGATCTTCACGGTCTGTTGTTCTACGGCGGCGTCCAGTGCCCCTTGCTCTTTGCGTACGGCCTTCTCGAAGCCATGCCTGACACCTAACCACAGTCTACACTTCTTTGCACTCTAACTGCAATTGCCCGAAAAGAAAGTCCAGCTTCCCGAAGTCCCACTATACGGCCCCTATCAAACTCACTAAGTTGACGAAATCGTACAGGTCTCCGTACTCTAGGCATCGTAACCGATCGTAAAGGATGTCAAGAACCAAAATCCGCCAACGTTGATTCTTTACTGCGGCTGAAATATTCATTTTTAGAGCGTTAGTGAATTAAAAAAAAGCAGTACAAAAACCGGAATGTCCAACTGATAAGGCTGAAAATTTTTTCACTTGTTATTTACAGTAAGATAAATACATTCACCAACTTTTATTAAAATAAAACCATTTAAACTGGGTGTTCGGATTTATATGTCACTTAGTATATCTGAAAAAATCTTTTTCTAAAAAAAAAATTTGTAGAACAAAGTTATAAGGTTTGAAAAGGGTCATCTTATGGTGACTTTTATATAACCTTCAAGGTCGTTTCTTCAATGGAAACCCCTATTTTTGGTACCGAAAATGTAAAGAGCGGGAAATGTTACGTTCAAGTATGTCTTTGCAATGACCTTCAAGGGTATTTGAGGGTGTCTAAAAAGTACGCAAAGCATTTCGGAAAATACGTTTCATGAAGAAAAATGTAATAGAACAAAGTTATTGGGATTTGAAAAGGGTCAAGGAATGGTGACCAAGAATGTGATTACGACGTCATTTAACGAATTTTCTTAAATCGAAACCCTTTTTAACACCGGAAATAAAGAGCAGAGAATACTGTTTAATTCAAGAAATGCAAATTGCGGACAATTTTACGTTCAAGTATATCCTTATAACGTATAACTAATAAGTGGTGGCAAATATTTCACGAACTGTGATTTAGTAAATAGTATTTCTACATCACGAATCACGATTATTACAAATACCGAGAAAAAGCGTGACGTGGTCACGACTTGAGGAACTAGGCACTATAATAATATAATGAATTATAGATTACTATGAGCTCGAGACGTTAGTTGCCCAAATTAAAAATTACTTTCAATAAGCACGTGTAATTATGCATCTTGAACTGTCACTAAAAATATTGTCACCACCCTGTAAGCCTTTAGATATGCGCCAGCTCGCTGGCTTACGAACAGATATCCTAAACCACATCCGCTGATGAGTATAACAAAATTTTCAATGGTGTCCTTATCATTCAAAGTGGAGTTATGGTGATTATAAAAACTAGTTGGGCCGACATGTGGGGGCATTCCCGCTCTGGAGACAGTCCCCCTAGGGGGATCAACTCTTGCAATTCTTCCCTGTCCGGAGACCAGCTATGCTCTATAGTACAACTAGAGTAAGTACCTTTTTATATATGTTTTATTGACTTTATTTGTGAGTACTTACGACTCATATTCTTTTAACGGCCCATGACAGCGCCAATCAAGAGTGCTCTGCTAGGAACAAAACTACCATGTTGTAACAATAGTGACAATATTTTCTATACGTCACTGCACACAATACTATAACATAACATACAAAACTTTTGACGAATATCGAACGAGGTTAGAAATATATAATTATGACTCTGCATATCACTGCACCTGCTTCGGTCACAGTGCGACAAAAATAACGGTATCGGCTATCTCTATTGCCAATGAACCTGAACATGACCTCCAAATGACCATTTATTTGAAGATCAGATAAATGTTTAAGTATACTTACAATTTGTCGGGATATAAAAAAGCGAAACATTTTAGGATCAACGTCACATCATATACTCGACCATGATCTTCAAGGTCATTTGAAGGTCAAATTAATTTTTTTCTTGCTTCCAGAATATCGATTTAACGTCTCGCTAAATCCTCTATGATCGTAAAACCTTCAAGAACGAGATCAAATGACCCTTTTCAAACCTTACAACTTTGTCATACAACATTTTTCTCTACGACACGTATTTTTCAAGATATTTTGATGTCTTCATACTTTCCGGTTACCCTGCATATTATTTAAAAAAAATCGAATTGATCACTCGCGTTCCTGTGCTTTCGTCGAGTCGATGAGAGGCTGTCAGGAATTTTTAAACCAAGAAGTGTAATAAGCTAGAAGTTACCACCCACCTAAACTTGCAGCTAAAAGTCTATGAACCATGATGTCCGCGTATCTTCGTATAGGTGAGGTAAAGTGAGTGTAAATTGGCACACTTAGAGCATAATGCTTGAATTCATCCTCAGACTCCATCGTAGCTGCACAGAAGTATCTTGCTCGCGCCATAGCTTTTGCCGTTAAGTGGTTCAAAACAACTGACCTACACAAACCTAAAAGAAACACTGACGGTAAAACAAAGTGCGGTACTCTTTGGCCTTATATAACCTCGGATTTCACCAGTATTTTTATTAGTATGATCACTGATCAAAGAATACGCAGATGAAGCACTTTCCACGAAAAATTGTTTTACAAAATACTGTATTTATTTTCAGGGTATATACTAAGTGATATATAAAATGCAACACCGAGAATTATCTAATGAAGTTTGATAAAAACATATTTGCTATCATCTCAGCAATTTTGCAAAATTTCGAGTTAGAATATTAATCACTTTCTATTTATCGGTAGAGCTAAAACTTGTAAAAGTATGCTCAAAATTAAAATACTCCTAGTCGGTGTTGCATTTTCTATGTCATTTAGTATATGTTTATTACTATCATACGACGTTTACCGTCTCTGCACATACAAAGAACATCTTTTAAACAATAGATATAGATATATGTGGCCAAACACGTGACGTCATAAAAAAAAATTAGATTCCCCACATCGAGAGGAACCCAAATCACCCCCATATATATGGTCCGATTTTGTTTAGTTTAGGAGTTATGATTTTTTTTCGGATTTTTCGAGAATTTTTGAGTTCTGTGTTTATTTTTACCATAACTTCGTTAATAATTGTGATAAATGCCTGCTTTTTTCACGATTATGTAGCTAAGACCTAAGGCTTAACTATCATATAATCATTCAAGTCATGTAACTAATACTACTTTTTAATTTTTTTCAAAATCTTCGAACATAACAAAAAAGTAAAAAAGTGCAACAACTTTGAACGTTTATAAAAAATTGAAAAAACATGTTCTTACTATTCGTAAGTATCTTAAAAACTTCCTTACGGTATCAGCTATTTACCGTAAAAATTTCATCAACCTAGCTTTACTACATGCTACCGTAATTGTGGCTCAAATAGAACCGAACCCAAAATTGGATAACCCTCTGCTCAATAGAAATTGTTAGTTTCGGAAAAAAATTTTGCAAAAACCACAAAAACACGTTTGATTTTTACTGAACAGCAGATTATTATTCATTTATGTTATTTACAAGAGGTTTTCAAAATGTCTGCCTCTAACAGAAATGCACAGTGTACACCTACGTATGAAATTTTGTTTTAAATCTCTAAATGCTTGTGTGTTGTTTTTCAACACATGTGTCGCTTCTTGAATTTTGTTCCTCAATGAATTTTCATTTGCACATTCTTGGGCGAATGTTATGTCTTTAAAATATCCCCAAACAAAAAAATCAATGGGGTTGAGGTCAGGGGAGCGTGGAGGCCATCGTATCGGTCCGTTTCGTCCGATCCATCTGTCTGGGAACCTTTCGTTTAAGTAGTTTCGCACGATCGTTGCGTTGTGGCATGGTGCACCATCATTCTGGAACACCATGTTCCGTCTGGCTTCCAGGCTTGAATCTTCCAGCAATAATGGTAGGCTATTTTCAAGGAAGCTTTTGTAGGCTACCGAATCCAACCTTGACGGCAGTTCAAATAGACCGATAAATTCCATATTGAATATTGCTGACCACATGTTCACACTAAAACGGTGTTGAAATGTCGATGCATTATTATTATGGCGTTGCTCAAGGCAACGGCGCTTTAGCAGCTCAGCTGTACCGGGAACAACTTATACGCCGAGGCGGACCACAACCTGAGCATTACCCAGACCACCGTGTTTTTATTAACACACATAACACTTTCATGGCAGGCCGCATTCCAGGACGAGGAAGCAATGAAGGATATCCTACAGCTGATCCGGATCGCAGAGAAGTAGTACTTGAAGAAATTAGCCGGAATCCCTCAACGAGTACGAGATCTATGGCACAAAACCTTAGAATACCACGAACATCGATACAAAATATTCTTCATGAAGAAGGTTATCATGCCTATCATGTTCAAAGAGTTCAAGCGTTGATGCCTTCAGATTACCAGTTAAGAGTGGATTTCTGCGAGACAATGCTGCGAAGACAACGAGAGGATCCCGATTTTTTTGATAAAATTTTATGGACTGACGAGTCACGTTTTGAAAGAACAGGGATATTCAATATCCATAATTTACATACTTGGGCTGTTGAAAACCCCCACCAGTCAAGGCCGTCGACATTTCAACACCGTTTTAGTGTGAACATGTGGTCAGGAATATTCAATATGGAATTTATCGGTCCATTTGAACTGCCGTCAAGGTTGGATTCGGTAGCCTACAAAAGCTTCCTTGAAAATAGCCTACCATTATTGCTGGAAGATTCAAGCCTAGAAGCCAGACGGAACATGGTGTTCCAGAATGATGGTGCACCATGCCACAACGCAACGATCGTGCGAAACTACTTAAACGAAAGGTTCCCAGACAGATGGATCGGACGAAACGGACCGATACGATGGCCTCCACGCTCCCCTGACCTCAACGCCATTGATTTTTTTGTTTGGGGATATTTTAAAGACATAACATTCGCCCAAGAATGTGCAAATGAAAATTCATTGAGGAACAAAATTCAAGAAGCGACACATGTGTTGAAAAACAACACACAAGCATTTAGAGATTTAAAACAAAATTTCATATGTAGGTGCACACTGTGCATTTCTGTTAGAGGCAGACATTTTGAAAACCTCTTGTAAATAACATAAATGAATAATAATCTGCTGTTCAGTAAAAATCAAACGTGTTTTTGTGGTTTTTGCAAATTTTTTTTCCGAAACTAACAATTTCTATTGAGCAGAGGGTTATCCAATTTTGGGTTCGGTTCTATTTGAGCCACAATTACGGTAGCATGTAGTAAAGCTAGGTTGATGAAATTTTTACGGTAAATAGCTGATACCGTAAGGAAGTTTTTAAGATACTTACGAATAGTAAGAACATGTTTTTTCAATTTTTTATAAACGTTCAAAGTTGTTGCACTTTTTTACTTTTTTGTTATGTTCGAAGATTTTGAAAAAAATTAAAAAGTAGTATTAGTTACATGACTTGAATGATTATATGATAGTTAAGCCTTAGGTCTTAGCTACATAATCGTTAAAAAAGCAGGGATTTATCACAATTATTAACGAAGTTATGGTAAAAATAAACACAGAACTCAAAAATTCTCGAAAAATCCGAAAAAAAATCATAACTCCTAAACTAAACAAAATCGGACCATATATATGGGGGTGATTTGGGTTCCTCTCGATGTGGGGAATCTAATTTTTTTTTTATGACGTCACGTGTTTGGCCACCCTGTATATATGGCGAACTCATGAATTTCAGTCGTAATTATAGAAATGTTTCCCTAGGTGATAGTATCTGCAATTGACAAGATTCAATTATCGCAAAAACCATAACTGTGTGTATTTAAATCCTCTATACAACTATCGGGTTTTCCAATAGGGACTTGACAACTGTGAACGTTCACTGTGAACGCACCTTTAAATCAATTACCGAACTGCCAATGTCAAAACATTTGGCAAAGAAAACATTTTCATCATGGTGAAGTACACGAACGAATAACGCTTACAAACAATTAAAATTTACTACCGAAATTCCGAGTCTGTGACTTCAACTGTAAGAGCGTTAACTGGTTTGTTCGTAGAGCCTTTAGGCAGCAGCGGTGGCTGCAGTAGTAGACTCTTCGGTCTCCTGATCAGTTGCCGTGCGCTGTGCGGGTTCGAGTCCCTTCCCAGGAGAAATTTTTCTCTTGCTATGGATGTTGTGATTGTCCGTAGGTGGTAGATGGTCTCTGACTGTCGCACGCGGAGGTACCACCCGGCGGATCTCGTTGGCGGAGCCAGAATGTGTGCATGTTCCATGCACACGTGTTCCCTCGCCAGAGTCCGTGTGGCGTTCCCCCTTTCCCATGTATCCCCCTATAGCCCCACGGTACCCAATGGGTGCTTAGGCCTTAGGCCTTCGTGGTAGTTGGAGTATAAAAAAAAGCCTGTTTGCTGACAATCAGCAATCTGATTGTCGGCGACAAGTCATGACCTAGTTTACGCAGTTAACTGTCACTAACAGGTCGCTGATTGTATTAATTGCGTACAAGAGAACATTACGAGTTGGCTGTTTGATGACTGTCAAATCAGTCAGCAGATAATATTCCAGTAAATTGTCAGAGCTCGGAATCAAGTACAATAATTACGTATTCGAATGTAAAATTTTTCAGAATGAAGTAGACAATTTTGAAAAAGTTGGGGGTTCATTTGCTGTAAACCACAATGATCTAGGATTTTTCGTCCAACTGTCCAAATGTGCCCGAATTTTCCTTTATAACATGGACACTTTCTAGAAAAAATAACAGCACCCAAAAATGTCAAGTAGATTTACTCAGTAATTACCATTCTCATATATAAAGTATAAACATAAATTCGAAGAAATATGATTCCACACATCGAATGACAAGTTGAAGAAGGAAATACATAGTAAGAATTCTGAATAAACATCTGCAGTGATTATGCATGAGAAATAAACAAATTATTGTGAATGACTTTTAATAAAACTCGGATAGTAGGGTTTTTGTTCCCTGTTCCCTTGTCGCCCAGCCTCGAAGTGTATGCACAAACAGTATTTATTTATTCCAGCTATGTAAGTCCAACCCAAAGCTGATGAAAATATAAACAAAATAACGAGTTCTGGAGATTTTGTGATACAGCTTTTTCTCACGGGAGGGACTGTTTGTGCTGGGGTGAAAATAATATTTCCCCTATACAGGGTATTTTAAATTCGACCCTTACCTTTGGGATCTCGGAAAATTCAAGGGATACGGAGTCACTTAAATAGGGGCAAAGTTGCGTATCCAGATAATCAGCAAAATGTCGCTTAGAAAGTTTTGAAATTGAAAGTACTTCCGGAAAGAGACTAAAAAACGAAATTTCCCAAAATGGTTTTAATTTTCTTCTGACTTCATTTGTGGTGGGATTTCAAAATAAATTGTACATGATCTCTGCCACATTTCCTCCTCTACAAGACGCCACAATTAGAATTTCAATATGACGTTTCGTCTCTTGTCCTCCAGCATCAACTTAATTTTTTCTTAT